CACACAGGCGCACGCACACACATGTTAAGTGAAACATTTCACTTTCGTTACGACGGCCAAGAGCGAGCATCAATTTGGCAATAATTGGATATTTTAATAAGCCCATTTGCCACTTTCTTTTGGCCCTGAATGCAAATCGAAATTGAAATGCAGCTAACGCCCCATGCCCAACAGTTGCTCTTGCTCTTGCTCTTGTCGCCGTCGCTGTTGCTGTTGTTGTTGTTGTTGTTGTTGTTGTTGTTGTTGTTGTTGTTGTTGTTGTTGTTGTTGTTGTTGTTGTTGTTGTTGTTGTTGTTTAATTGTATGGCAACAATTTGTATTTTGTGAAACAATGTGGAGGCGCCTCGGCTTGTGGATTGTGGCTGTAAAAATCTCTCAGCGCCATAAATCTGCGCCTGGTCACGTAAAATTCGTTTTCGTTTTCGTTTTCACTTTCGTTCGAATTCAAAGTTTGTTTTGCGTTTGGTATTTTTTTCCAGACCCCACCCCCATCGAATAGAAATATGCATTGTTTTTTATTTTATTTTTTTTTCTGGTCTCTTATTTATTTGCATATATTTTTTCTCAAATACCAAATTGTTTCTTAACGAGCTCGGTTTGCTTTTTATTTGTTTGCGTGCGGCCCGGCATCATTTGCATTTGGTTTTAGTTAATTTCAGTTTTTTTCAGTTTGGCGACATTTGCTAAAAATGATCAAATTACGTATATTTTTTTTTGTGTATTTTTTGTTTTTTAATTGATGGCATTAAAATGATGACTTCACTTCGCAATTTGGCAGCGCGATTGGCCCCAAATCGGAGAGACAGAGGCTGCGAATGCATTTCCACAGGCAATCAACACAAAAGCTTTCTCAATATTATTATTTAGTTGAGCTCATAAGATATCTGGGATTTTGTTTTTTTTTTTGTGAAAACGTGAGAAAGCTCCCTAATGATGGAGGCGTCTTGTTACACCTAAAAATGGCCCATGTGAGGCGTATTCTTTCATTTAAGCTTTCAGGTTAGCTTCACGAAAGTTGACAAGAAGTTTTCACCTATCAACAATTTGAAAGTCTTTGGTTTTCTAATACTCTTGTCGATTGATATACAGCACTGTCGATGAGTAGGCAATATTATGAAATTCATATTTATACATCAATCGCTAACTGTTTATTTACAAGCCACATTGCAATTCTATCCACCTGTTAAATATATGATCTGCCGTTCAGCTTGTTAGCTGCCCTCAACACTTTGGCGGACCAATTCAATCATATTTTCAAGTAGGCTCAACGTTGTTCATTTGCTATAAAAGCAGTTTTAGGCAATTAAATATAAATCTTAGAAGTGTGTGTTTAAGAAGCCGCTTTAATTCGTAGACTCGTTTGTACATTTTTATATATTTCTTGTATTTTTTCTTCCCAAGTACATTATTGAAGAATCAGTTGCATTTCATATGCAAGTTAATATGAACCTATGTCAATTTAAATATAAGCTAGATTGAAGCTTAAGCCCTATTCATATTAAGAACCAATTAGGCTTAACTTAATACTATGTCATATTTATATCTAATTGGACACAAATGTCATTTAAGTATCGAGGGTTTTAACTTGAAGTTTATTTGAATGCAAAGCCGTTCTGTTGTTATATCGGGCTTAATTGAGTTTGAAACATGACAAAAACAACTTCATTCAAGTATTTTTCGCTCTTGAAATGTTGCACTCTAATACGAATTGCCCTATGAAAGAAACCCTCACTTTCAAATATAAAATTCGTCATTTTTCATGTCTCTATATTTAACGATGTATGGCTTAAACTCCAACTTTAGTTACGTACAATATATGTACGTAAGGATTTGGTTTGAGTTAAAGTCTAGTCCAAGACGCAATAAATATTTATTTAACAGCAAATAAAATCGCGGCTTGGCAGGCAAATCTTTCAAAATGCTGTTTCAATATAATAAGGAACTCTTGCTGATTGTACAAAGCTGGTCATAATTCAGATATATACACACACACACACACACACATACACATATGTCTTATAAGCTATCCATTATGCTTATGCTAAAAAAAGCGAATACTAAACATTTTTGAATGGACGTTAATCTGTGAAACACTTATAGCACCTGCACATAAATAATAACGTCGAATTGGCGTTGTTGGCCTTGAAGAGCAAATCAATATTATAATTATTGGAAACTGTGTAGACTGAGGGGGATTGTTGAAACAATCGATTGCATAATTTTCAAGAAACCAAAAGCCAAAAGCAAACAAATATGTATTATAATAATAAAGAGCGGCTAGCGCACTAATTATGCGCATCTACAAAAAGTCAAACATATTTTATGTTCCACAGACCCAAAGGGGGGAGGAGGTGGGAGTAGAAGAGATTACAAAAACCCGTCGAGTTTGGGGGCCTTTGTCGTTCGATGGACAAGTTAAATGCGAAAACGAGTTGAAACGAGTCGAGCGGCCATTAAAATATAATTTAGATAATTTACGTTTATGTTTAAAATTTTCTTCTGTTTTTTGTTTTTTGTTTTTTGTTTAAGTATGTTGTTGTGCGTGTCTCGGCCGCTTAGTCCGTTTAGCCGAATTTTGGCATTGCTCATTGACGAAATCATATAAAAATGAAAGCTCTCATAATGACTGTGCGCCACGCCCACATAGATAACTATCACAATTTAATTGAAGTTACAATTTTCCTACACTCATTTTTGCAGGTAATTTACAAATTATGCGTAGATAAGCCAAAAACGACACCCTGTGCCACATGTGTATGTAATTGATTTCGCAAACAACAACAACAAAAACAACAACAACAACAACAACAACAACAACGAACAAGCGATAACAGCATTGGCCAAATAAGCGAATCATCGTTACAGATACAAGCCAAAAGATACAAAGTCATCAAGGTACATACATATGTATCTGTGTGTCTACTATTTTGTCGATGACTCGACAGTTTGTGGGCAATGCGTAAATAATGCAATTTCAATAACACTGCAATTGGGGCTGCTTATTGTTTAATGCTCTGGCTGTTGCTCAATCATCGGCTTTCATGCCAATAAATGGGTCAGTCCGTCGATGGAAGCGTGCCAGGGCCACAGCTGACCCTGATTGAGAACTTTCGCGATAGCCGAAGCAGCCGAAAGAAAGCCAAATAGAAACCAAAAGTAACTACTACTTAGTAACTGCACTTAGTCAGGCTTAGGGAGGGGGGGAGGGGGGGGGGCATCTAAGCTAGCATTTATCGCGTCGTTTTATCTACAACTCGAGCCATCTACTTCCGCCAGACCCAAAAGCGGGCGACACCAAAAACTTTCCCAACTTTTGGAGCTCCGGCTCGCGCGTGTTTATGGAAATTCTGATTCGATGCCATATTGGAGTTGCCCCGAAAGGCTTTCTGTGGCGGGGCAGCATATTAAGCCACTTAACGGTAAATTAAAACAACAACAACAACAACATGTTCTGTAAATAGACAGCAGAGTGTTAATTTTTTGATTTAAGTCTCGACGAACAAATTTCGGTGAGCGCATCGAATGATTTATTAGTTGGTCAAACTTTCAGCGAGCTCTTGTTGTTGCTGTTGTTGTTGTTGTTGCTATGAATCAGTTTTGAAAATAACAACAACAACAAAACAGTAACAGAAACAATAACAACAACAACAGCTGGACAAGCTTGGCTTTCACATAGCCCAAAACGTGAGTCAATCTGGGGGTGTTGACTGTTAATTGAAGACTGCAGACTGAACATTTCCAGCAGCAGACACATGCGCGCCCGCACACACACTAACACACATGCATTGCATAACGTGTGTGTATGCGTGTGTGTGTGCGTGTGTGGGGGGGGAGTCAGCGACCCAAACAGACACCCACGCAACTCACTGACAGCCGCAGACAAAAGTTAAACACACAAAGCCAACTTTCTCAATGAATCTCATGAAGCAAAGACAAAACCAATTAATACCCACTCTTCTTTTTGTTTTTCGAATATTTTGAATAACCGCTGCATGTGAATGCACTCATTCATAGCTCATTCTCGATTCAAAGTGATTCTATAGGCATTATGCAACCTGCATGCATTCTCAATTCAATTTTCTCAAATTGCGAGAGAGTTCTCAAAAGTATGCTACATTAAGAGCAGAGATATAACTCCAAAGGATCCTTAGTTTCAGAGCTCTGGAATGTGGTTATGCTCTATAGCTAAAAGCAAGTAGTTTCCAATTTTAAGTTTTGCGATGGCCCCTCCTCTCTATTTGCTGGAAAGACTATGTGAAATAATCGTACTCCACAATTAATTAGATTGCCTCGTCCGTGTTGAATGTTTCACAAAGACAAAAAGACGCTGACACGCCTACTTTCCAAACACAATCAGCCTTGAACTGTTTAGAAAGAAAACAGCTGCTCTAATCATTGGATAATTATCTAATTCCCGAAAAACGAGTGTATAATCGATAATAATCGATTTCAAGGAAAGACATTGAAACTGAGCCTCCAATTTCCAAGTTTCTTTGGGGTTGAATTTCAGAAATTGATAGAAATATCAAACAATCGAACAATTTCTTAAGAAACATGCAAATCAATGGAATGATAATACAAATTTGTGATTTCCTCTTGACCGAATAAACTTCGTCTTCTAATTGAACTTCTTATCTTAGTTTCGGATTCAGGAAAGGTACAATTAAAATTGTAAACTAAGCTCCTCAGCAAAAAAAAAAATTAAAATTGGACATATAATAAAATAGGCAAATAATTCAAGAATTTAATTTAAATACTTATCAAAATTTCAGAAGTATGAAACAAGCAACCGAAACTTAAAGGGAATATACCAATAACTAAATCTGTCATTCGACTTGAACGAGCCAGCAAATCGATGATCTCTCAATAAGCAGCTCGAAACGTGACTCTTGAGCTTGTGTACTACACACTCTAACTGTGAGTTTAAGTACTCATTGTATAATTAACGAGTACTTTTGAGTACTGGCACTTAAACACAAACGTAATCAGCTGGCACTCACCTTGACATTCGGCTGCTGCAACTGCAAGAAGGTGGCTACTCCATTGCGCACACGATTCTTGACGCCGCGCACGGTGCCCTTGGAGGAGCGTATTGTGGATGTTTGTGAGGAGCGGCGCACGTCCTTGTAGCCGGCAAAAGCGTCCTCATCCTGCTCCTCGGCTTCGCCTGGCAAACTGTACGCCTCGTATTCCGGCGACATACGACTGCAGCTCTCCGGACCGAAACTACGATAATTTGCATGCTCGTTCACATGAAAATTGTAATATTGATCTGCCTCATATTGCAGAGGACGTCCATCGATTTTGGTCGCCGTCGAAGACTGTTCCATCTGCCCCTCCCTGGCCACCTCTCTGTCGCGTATATCGCGCAGCAGCGAATTGGGCAAAAGGGCGCCTAATTTAAGTATCGGCGCCGCCTCATTGGAATGCAGCGAATCACAGCTCAGCGAGGAGCTACTCTCGTCACACTCCTCGCTGTCCGTCAAGCTGTAAGCGCGCGAGTGCGTTCCGGATTGCCCGCTCGGAGTATTAACTCGGATACGCGTCGTCTTCAGATGCAGCTCCAGCTTGGGCACGCCGCTGCTGCCCATGTTGCTGTTGCCAATGTTGCTGTTGCTGTTGCCAATGTTACTGCTGTTGCTGTTGCTGCTGGGCGACTTGATGCTCTCCAGATCGCTGCCAGTGCCGCTATCTAGAGTCTCGCAGGGCGAGTACTGGCCACTGGACACCAAATAGCATAGCTGATAGGGCGCTGTGGGTGGCTGTGCCTCCGTTTGCGAATGCTGTTGCTGCTGCAGCTGCAATTGTAGCAGTTGCTGCTGCTGCTGTTGCTCCTGCTGCTGCTGCTGCTGTTGCTTTAAATGTAATACCATGTCGCTGTCGCTTTGGCTATCGTTCAGTTTTACCACGCTTATCTGTTTGCCGAGCCTGGGCTGGCTTTGACTTGAATACGAGCTCTGACCGTTGGCTATCTGTATCTTGACCGTGTGCTGTGGCGCACAGACGCCAACTGTTTCGGTCACTGCACCTAACGTTAACTGACTAGCGTCGCCGTCGCCGTCGCCGTTGCCGTTGCCGTTGCCGTGGAGAGCGCTCTCTTCAATTCCAATAGCTTCGAGCTCAGCTGGGGCTGCAGCTCGTAACACGTTTCTAACGTCATCGGCAACATTGCAGCTGATAATAGTTGCTGCTGCTGGCGCCATTTCTACAGCAACAGCATCAGCAACAACATCAGCATCAGGCACAGAGTTAACCTCGGCCTCGGCCTGGCCAATGCACAGCAGCAGCTGTGGATATAATTTAGTTGCTGGCTCGTTTGTTGCTGCAGCTGTTGTTGCTCCCACCGTGTTGCAACTAGTTTCCAAAACAACATGGCTTGCATGGTCAACCTGCGGCGTCTGCAAATTGTTGTCTTGATCGTTATTGCTGCTGTTGTCATTGCTGCTGCTGCTGCTGCTGCTGCTGCTGCTGCTGCTGCTGTTGTCGCCAAATGCCAACAACATGGTCTGCGACTTGAGCGACATTTCGTCGCCTTCAATGTTGTTGCCTGCCGGCTTAGCTGGCTGCTCAGATTCAATTATTATTGAAATACCGCGCAACGGCCTTTGCTGCTGCTGCTGCTGCTGCATGCTGCCAATCGCTGCTGCTGCTGCTGTTGCTGCTGTTGTTGTTGTAGTTGTTGTTGCCATGATTTTTGTCGTTGCCATAGTTCTGGCAACAGCAACAGCATTTGGTAATTTGATGCGCTGCCAATATCTAATTTCAATTTTATGCAATTCTCAAGTGTGTTGCTGTTGTCGCTGTTGTTGCTGTCGTTACAGGTTGTTGCTGATGCTGTTGTGCTATTTGCTGCTGACCGTTGCACGGCGCGTTTTACAGTTAGTTGGCCGCATGCAGATTGTACCTGCAACGAAAGAGCAAACAGAATGTCATTAGAAAAAGAGAGCGCCAGCGAAAGAGAGAAGGAGAGAAAGAGCGAGCGAGCGAGAAACAGCGAAAGAGACAAGACTTGGCCAACTGGCTAACTTGGCTAACTGGCCAACTGGTTGACTGGGTGAATGGTGGCTCCCAGCATGAGCTTGACATTTAAGCCGAAGATGTGCCCGGTTCGCTGGAAACACTCAGACTCAGACTCAGACGCAGACGCTGGGGACGAACGGCTGCATAATAAATGTTAAAAGCTTTGCCCAAGCAACAACAACAACAACAACAAGACGGCAATAAAAAATGAGATATAACAATAATCATCATTATAATGAAACACACAAAACCGCATTTAAGCCTGTCAGAACAAATAAAAAAAACAAAAAACCAAAAAAAGAATAGACCACAACAAAAACAAGTGAGAGTGTCGACTTGGAGATACTCTGTACCCAGCTTCTTCTTCTTCCCTCAGCCCCACACTGCACAAATTGAATTCTTATCGATTTCGGGAAAACGTTACGATTCACCTGCGATTGAAAGTCTCTAGCTGGCCGAATATATATTTACATATATTTATTTTATGTGTTGGCCTGTTATATGCACAACAATTAAACATTTATTAATCTACCTTCAATTGTTACAGGGTATAAGATGTATAAAGATTACGAGTATGTACGACGTTGCCTGCACTTTAATTTTTGTTCTAGGCGCAAAAAAAGACAGAAGCGACATCAACAAAGGAATTTTTTTAAAGAAAACAAATGGAAACAAGTAAGAGGCTCTAGTCGGGAGCTCCCGACTAGGGGATACCCTGAACCCTCTTCTTCCAACATCAAATCTATTTTAAAAGCCATATGTCAAGTTTGGTGACTCTAGCTCTTATTATTTACCAAAATTGCCCAAAAAACAGGATATCGATATCGATTCTTATCGATTGCTTGGAAACGGAGTAAGTTATCGATTATCGGAAACAAACTCGATCTGCCCAGGCACTAGGAGCACCTACATCTAAAATTTCAGACTCTAGCTCTTTTAGGTTCTGAGATACTTGCGTTCATACATACGGACAGACGGACAGACAGACAGACGGACATGGCTAGATCGACTCGGCTATTGGTGCTGATCAAGAATATATACTTTATGGGGTCGGAGATGCTTCCTTCTGCCTGTTACATACATTTGGATTTTGCACAAATACAATATACCCGTATACCCATTTTTAATGGGTTCAGGGTATGACTAGAGTAATTTTGTAAAAAATACAAAAGAAATGAACTTTACTACGAATAAAAGTATTTATGTTAGTTGTTTTATTTTACGACATTTGAGATTACTTTTTGTCTTGTTTCAATAAGGTATACTAAGCTTTATTCATTATTTACTCCGAGTTCTTATTGCAAATATTATTTTTAAGGGACTCATAAATGAAAAGCTTTATTTATACACATGTTATCAAGGCAATAATTTCGACAGCGATTTTCAAGATATGTTGAAGTTCAAACTTGTAAGGGGCACTAGACAATAATTGTATCTCAAAATATGTTTAAGAACCTCTGTTAAGAACATCTAAACCCCAGTCTGAGTTGCGAGATTCGTCTTAGAGACTAACTGTGATCACTAAACTATTGAGATTGATTGATTGATTTTGCTCCGTGTTTGTCACACCTGAGCATTGTTCATGGGCATTTCTATGATACATGTATAGCCCAAGCAGCTTTAATAAAGAACAAACAGCACTTACAGCGTCCAGTAAAAAACGAAATTCATTGTTTCCAAATGCTGGGCAAAGCGAATACACCAGTTTTTATGGGTCGCACATCATCGATACTTTTGGAGTCGAAAACAAAAAGCAACAATACAAAAAAAAAATCGCTGTTAAGAACAAGATTTACATACATTTGAAGTGGATGTTGGGCCGCGGCTTTTGAAGCTGTTGCTGTTGTTGTTGTTGTTGCTGTTGTTGAGGTTGTTGTTGCTGTTGTTGTTGTCGTGTTTCTGGAAACTGGTAACTGGTTACACTTGAACCTGGCGCTGACCAGTTGTGGGATACCCAGTCCGAAAATATTTGAAGCGGGCGGACAAGGCGCCTAACCTCTAAAAGTAACAGTTGTTGTTGTTGTTGCTGTTGCTGTTGCTGTTGCTGCTGCTGTTGCTGCTGGCCTGCATTCGCCGCTTGTTGCACACAAATTTCATTTGGCGGCACATGCACAACAACAACACGAATATAACAAACCAAACTTAGCCAATAAAAACAACAACAAAAAATACAACAAAATGTGCAGCTTGTGGGGGCGGGTGGGCGCGGCTCACACACACACACACAGGCACGCACGCACGCACGATTCTGAAGAGTTTCGAGTTATGGTTTTTGGTTTTCGGTTTTCGGTTTTCAGTTTTGGGCGCCTCAAAGCGAACGCGGCGCGTACAACTCATTCAAAATCGCGCTGGCAACTGAAAACCGCAGCAACAAAGTCGCGCTGGGTTGGCGTGTTTTGCCAGGGATTTGTTGTTGTTGTTGCTGTTGCTGTTGCTGCTGTTTGTTGTGTGTGTGTGTGTGTTTTTTTTTTCTACGTGCCTCTGTCGCTGCCGCGTCCGCTGCTGTTGCTTTTATTTTTTAAATTTTTGCTTTCAAGAAAACAAAAAAAAAAACCCGCAAAGCAGTTAAAAAGCAGCAGCAGCAGCAACGTCGCCGTCGTCGTCGCCGTTGCCAACGAAATAACTTAAAACAACAAAAATAACAGCAAGAACAACAACAAAATGTCTGCAATCGCAGTCATAAACGTTGCGCTGCGACGACGCAGCCAGCGGCAGCAGTGGCTAAAACAATGTGAGCCGAGAATTTGTTTACGTGCGCAGGCGCAGCCACTGTCTACGTCGACGCTGACGCCAACGCCAACGCTGGCAGCGCCTCAGCCATCGTACACACCCCCATGCCGCCACCACCCCGCAACCCACCTGTTGTTGCCGCTGCCGCTGCCGCTGCCGCTGCTGCTGCTGTTATTGTTGTAGTACTCGTTTGTTGCCAAAGTTAATTGTGTGCGGCTGCCGCAGTTGCCCCAAGCCGCACAGTGTCACCAACATCGCAAACAGCTTAGAATCAGATGCATATTATTCTAGAATATAGTATTTCTGCACTTATTTGCCATTATGGCAGTTCTTTTCACAAAACTCTAACTTTTAAATTACATTAATTTTAATCCATTTAAATGTCAATTTATAAAGAAAAATCTTTTTATATAACCTTTGAGTAACTATAAAAATTTCAAATATTTTTTTTACTTCTTTAATATTTAGAAAATATTATTGAAATACATTTGAAATTGAGAAAAGAATGAAAAATAAATAAGTAAAATAAATACCACTTTTACCATAAATTATGGATTTTCGATGAATTATGGATTTCATTGATGCTGAAATTTCCAAGCTGAAAGCTCAAACATAATCTTTAGCTTTTAAATTTTCCTTTACGCTTACACATCAATCCTATCAAAATATACTCAAACTAATGTAGATTTTCGTGAACATTCCGAATAACAGTGTAATATGTGCCAAACCTGCTGTCAATGAACAGAACCTGTTAACAGATGCGCGTTATCTTAAGCCACTGTGCATACCACTGTCGGTCGCTTGTAAACGTCGACTTTTGCGGCATTCGTCTTAGCTATTTCATTTATTTCGCCTGCCTCATATGTGTATATATATTGCATACACATACGTATGTATGCATGTATGGGTTACGCCTGGGCATGGCTCAATGGTTATCTTCGCTCGCTCTCTCTCTCTCTCCCTCTATCTCTCTTACTCTCTTCGTCTGTACATATTTATCTTTTCTATTCAACATATGTATTTGTGCATTGTTGTTGCTGCTATTACTGTTGTTGGCGCCTTAGGTTTGTGTAGGCTCGTCCGTCTAAGGTTGACTAGTTGTCGTCGTGACGTTGCAGTCGCCGTCGCCGTCGCAGTCGCTGCAAGCGTCGCTGCTGCTGTTGACTTACCATTTAACATGTCTGTTATCGATCGATTGGCGTTGTCGATTGTTGTTGTTGCTGTTATTATTGGCGCTGCCACAAAAACTATGCCAGCAATTTGTGTGCAGGTGTCGCAGCTACAACAAAAACATAAACAACAACAGCAACAACAACAGCAACTACAGCAGCAACAACAGCAGCAGCAGCATGATATTGTTGCATTTTGAATTTTGCTTTTAATTGTGCTCGCCTGGCTGGATTTCCATTAACATCTATGCAAAGCTTTTCAAATTTGTGTGTGCATTCAACGAAGCCACAAAACTGTTCAAATGCACATGAACAGAGTTAGCGAAACGGCAACACCAAACCCAAGAGCAACACCAACACCAACACCAACAGCAACAGCAACAACAACAGCAACAACAACAGAAAAGCCCACTGCAAGCTGTAATTTTCCGCTAATTTGATGCGCAAGCTGCGGCCAAGACGCTGACGGACTAAGCATTGCTGCCCAGCCTATTGACTGCCTGGCTGGCTACCTGGTTACCCAGCAGCCTGTCTACACCCCCCGCCCGCCAGGCTGATCACCTGGCAACCGTTTCCGCCTGTTGCGCTTCGCTGCGGCAAGCCCAGGGGTGTCAACGGGCAAAGGGGCACAGCTTGTGACTGGACAAGTTAGAAGCCCAGTTGTGCTGACCGTTAGGAATGCGTGGCATGACTTCCAGCTGTGGCTGGCAAGTTGCCTACCAACTCACCTAAGACTACCAGTTATCTGGCAAGGCATAAAAGCTCTCGGCTCGCAACAAAGCTACAACAGACTGAGACCTGCAACCGCTTAGCGCCCCAGTAAAAGAACTCTGTACCTGGCTCTAGATACCCACCCATTTTCCGCCCGATTCGCATTCACGCGCGAAATGCAAGACTTACATTTTATTCACTTTTTAATGGGTACCAGAAAGAAGGAAGCAAGTAAGAAGTACGGGTCCAGCTGACTGCGCAGTACACATTTTTTAGCCCGACTCCTTTGAAAATGGGTGAAAACCGTATAATTGTCGATCCAGCCAAGCCTGCCTCTCCGGCTGTACGAAAAATATTTACATATGCTAATGTAATCATAATCAAATGTGTTTTTCATTAACATTACTTTTTCTATAATAATGAAAGGATGATACAAAAAAATAAATAAATATGTTGATTAACATAAAGGTTTTCCATACAAGAAATGCATTTTCGACAACCTATGGCAGCTATATGATATAGTGGTCAGATCCGACCGGTTCCAACATATATACTGTCTCACATGTCTATATCAACTCGGCTGTTGATACTGATATAGAACATATATATATACTATATGGGGTCGAAGATGTCTCATTCTAAGCGTTACACACTTAAAGACAAAATTATAATACCCTCTGCAAAGGTATAAAAAAAGCCCAGGCACAGGCTTGAAGCACTCTTACCTCTTGATTATAAGATCAAGGACTCTGAAAACTATACTGAGTTCCAGCCTGGAATATTCCGTGGACTTGGCTGTTAAACTGCCGAACATCCACTTTCTAAGTGCGAAAACACAAATACGTATCGAAGCATTTTGTATAACATTGCCCAAAAACAATATACCCTTTATCTCAATCGAAAACATTCAGCGGACAGTGTACAAAATAATCTTAATTTCAGATTAAAGATCATAGATGGGTCGCCTAAATGACTCAGCTAAACAAGAATCCGGGTTCAAATCCTAGACAAAGTTTATGGATATAATATATAAACTATGTATATCCGTATCTCATTATTATAATTATAATAATAACAGCAATGATATTTTATTTTTATATATTATCATTGTCCCCATGGTAACAATGAAGATCATAAAAGTAGGATTACTATCCATGCGAATAAGTCTGTCCGTATCAGAAACACATTTTGCATCCTTTAAAGTATTTATTTAAGAGCTGTCAATTTCTAAAATAATATAATTAGAAGTCGATTTAGAGGTGGCTTTTTACACAATTGCTTTATTGTCATTAGGTAAATTGTTGTTATTGTTCATCATTGGCCAACTTTTAACATAATCGTAATGATATCGAAGTGTCCTTTTATACACAATGCACATCATTTTATATATATATATATGTATGTATATGTATCGTAAATTACATATTATCATTTTTATACAATAGAACAAAATGCAATATTTATTAGAATAGTAAACAATACTTCAATGGAATTTCCAGGGCTATTTTGTTCAATCAATATATGTTTATTTATATATTTTTTGCTAGTTTCATATAGCAAAGCAAATTGTGGGCTGGGTCTTTTGTGTGTAGGGGGGGGGGGGGGGGGGGGGGGGTGGAATGACTGGGTATAGTATAATTGTATATGGCATTAAAACATTCTTTCATAATTATTGTCAACATCGATAACACTTAATACAGTTCAATATGCATGTATGTATATACTATATAATAATCTCAACTATACATGGATGCATGTATATGTATTTATGTAAATATAGTACAACTATGTTAAATAAATTATTAGTTGCATTGCACATTTAACACACATAAATACGCACATATATAGGTACTTATGTAAGTATATTCCTTCAGTGGCATGATATTTTTTTTTCTATAATATTTATAACTCCTTTAGCATATCTTAGTATCGGCTAGATGAACGGTTTCGTTTAGTTAGGCATTTAAAATATGTAGATGTATACTATATAGTATATAGCTGTTAAAACACCAAATGATCAGAGCCCAAAGATATATAGCACATATAAATATATATGTGACTGGCTCTTATCACGTTTAGCTTTACCTCTTATTACAGTTTATGTAGTTTACGTTTTTGGCTAAGACGTTCAGATCATAAATAAGTACATTTGTTGAACTGAGAAACAAACAATTTTTAAGAATAACATTCAAGACTTAAAGAAAATAAACTCATTTAGATTTCTTTATATTCCAGATCCTAATATGGACCAAAATATAAACGTATGCATAATGTCTGAATGTATGCATGTATATGTATATATATTATTTATATTATAATAGATATGTTCGTATTTTAAGCGACTTAAGAGCTAGAAAATGTTCCTATAATCCAAACACAGATCAAATTTATTTCAGTTTTCATACTGTCCCCACTTGAAAAAGAATTTCAGTAAGCTTCTTAGAAACTACAAAACGATTACAAAATAAACATAGGAACTGAGAACTATATGAGAACAGGGTATTTTTCTAGCCAAGGCGTCTTGTTTAGTGATTGAACAACAACATAAAAAGCTAAGCGAATCACAACAGACAGGTATATATAGTATGTCTAGCAGTATTACATGGCTTATCCAGGCGCCCAGACATATCATATTATTTAATATACATGTGGGTGATGTATAACTAAAGAGATATGGTACGGTTTCATCATTGCTTTATCAATAAACATAGATTGTACGTATACATATAGGCGAAAGGCAAAAACAAAAGCAATTAGAGGACTTAAGAACAAACTATCGAAACACTTGAATAACTTTAAGCGTCTTTAAACGCTTCAGATACGATTACATTATAAATATATTTATAAGTAGTTTCATATATTAGATATAAGTATATATGTATATATAGTCAGCAATTCAATTTCACTTTGCGTTTCAATTTTTCCGTTTCTTCATTTATGTGGAAATTAAAGATTCAACTTCGAATATGGCGCGCCATACGAAATCGGAAATGTAGTACATACACATATGTGGGTAATGCCAAAACGATCCGAGTATTGTATATGTGAGTACCATAATGTGTCCCACTTTTAACTATATTAAAAAAAAAAAAATACATTTCCGAAGTTGATTTCATATTATTGTTATTGGCTTTTCTGCTATCCGAGCTGCCTTATACACACATACATAATTATCGTAGAACATTGAACATATTTATGAAGTTATGCGGAAACATTTTATAGATTTTAGTCATTTTGTTTTTTATTAGTATTTGTTTTATTTATTTTGATTTTTTTTTTGTATTTTTTGTTACTGAAACCGCGCACCAGGCGCTGAGTTCACCGTGGTTTTTGTTCTGTGGCTGTTGGGGTTCCTATCATTGTTGTTGTCTTTCGAGCAGTCTTTGGGAACATATAGATACATAGCATAAATGGGAGATACAGATAGTTGTCGGTATTGACGCTGCCTTCCATCGGTGAGCGAGCTTTTGGCTTAGTTATTGTCCATATTTACACATAATTGTTTAGTTTCGTTATTGTCAGCAATTGCAATAGCTGCCGCGTCTATTCCTCCTCCTCTTCGAGCGACTTCTCGGGCAGCCCGTATTTGGGACAGCACATACCCTCCGTGCCGTCCATATTAAAGCAGAAGATGCTGCGCTCCAGCTCGGTGGGCTCATGGGGCACGATGCCGTGCACCTCTTTCAGTTCCGCCTCAGGGAACCAGGCAGGATCCGAATCCTCTACTACCTTGATGCCGCACAGACTATTGTTTGTCAAAAAACGACAATAAATTAGCGAACTTTGTAAACGGTTTATGCATTTAGACAATAAAACCTATGAATCGGTTACCAACAAAAAACCAATATATACTATACTGGCAGGTATTTATCGAACTTGCTCGATTCATCATTCATTCAAATATTTGACATCTACTTTTCGCCCAAATTTCCGCCCGGGTAACATTTAAATCTGTCCGCACTATCTTGAGCTTGAGGTCTCAGCGCATTCACAAAAAAAAAAAGAAAGTACAATTCAGAGTTGAGGGTCATACTCAAAATTGAAATGATTCTCGTTATCGTAAAGCTATCCCCCCTGCGATAAGTATTCGAATATCAGACTGTGAGGTGCATGAACCGATGTTAGCTGTAAGAGCTTTGAACTTACCGCAATATAGCCACAAGTGGTATCCACAGTATGGATGAGAGTATCAGGATGAAGGCGATGACAATGCACCAATGTGGCCACTCCATATTCTCGGTGGCGCCCTTAGCCGCGATCCAGGCCGGGTAGCTGCTGCCCTCGGTCAGCAGCTGGTAGAAGGAGGCCAACAGTATGGTAACCATGGCGCAGGGCGACAAATACTTCCAGCAGAACATCCAATAGAAGCCTGGCCTCGAGCCGGTCATCATTTCAATGTCATCCGAGAAGCGCCTCACCCCATAGATGTAGCTGATCGATAGGCACTCGAAGAGCGCAATAATTAGCAGCGGAAAGTTGCCGGCAAAGCTGTCCATTAGCTGAAAGATGTAGCTGCCGGCGCCATTGGCAAAGCACATGGAAATCAGGCAGCAGGAGAGGCACAGTGCCTGCAATAAAATTATATCCAGGGATTAGCTGATGCAGCAGCTGCTGCTGTATGGGAGGGGTACAACATACGCCAACGATCCACTCCTTGGGCAGATTGGGGAACAGCTTCATGTCTACCAGCGATGTGACCACGCCCTCCAGCGTGCCAAACTGCGAATCGATGCCCAGCGTGAAGAGCATGAGGAAGAAGAGCACAGCCCAGAGCTGGGCGCCGGGAAACTGATTAATCGCTTCCGTAAATATGATAAAGGCCAGTCCAGTACCCGAGGCGCTCTGCAAATGATGACAACTTGCAAATAAGAAAAGTCCAAACATTTAATGCGCGACACACACTTACATTGGCCAGCTCCTGCTCCAGATCGCAGATGGGTAAATTGTGTGTTCGATTCTGGGCAACCAGAGCGGCTCGGTCCTCCGTACAGCGGTCAAAGGTCGCTGTGGCCTTAAAGCCAATCACCGAAAAGACCACGACGCCGGCGAACATGGAGGTGCCACAATTGGTTAGCGAAACGAGTATTGCATCCCGATAGCAATTGTTGTTGGCTGGATTGTAGGAGCTGAACGCTATCAAGCCGCCGAATGCGAGGCCCAGCGAGAAGAAAATCTGTGTGCCAGCCTCCAGCCAGACCACCGGGTCGAGCAGCGTGTCCCAGCGCGGGGTAAACAGATGGGCAACCCCGTCGGCGGCGCCCTTCAGTGTAATGCCACGAAAGAAGAATATGATCAGCACCACATAGGGAAATATAGCCGTCATATAGACGATTTTGCCAGACGATGTGATGCCCTGCACCATGCATATGTAGACCAGAAACCAGGACACAATCAGTGCAATGGCCATGTGATAATTGAAGTTCTCCGGCATGTCCACGCCCTCCGAGCACTGCAACGTGGTGCGATACCAATAGAATTGAGTTGGCGACGATGCCACACACTCCGGCTCATGGTCGTAGGTGTAGTTCCTGTAGAGGCGCGTCGGGCAATCGGCCCATGGCAATGGCGACTCAAAGCTGTGCAGCAGGTAGATCAAGCACCAGGCAATGATCGTGTTGTAGTACAGCGCCACAATAAAGCTGACCACGGCCGAGGAGATGCCAATGCCCCCGAGATACGGCGACACCTGGCTCCATACGCCAATTGCCCCCTTGCGCAGTCGCTGTCCAATGGCCAGCTCTAGATAGAAGATCGGTATGCCCTGGATGCACAGCATTATGAAGTACGGCACCAAAAAGGCGCCGCCGCCATTCTTCTGCGCCAGATACGGAAAGCGCCACACATTGCCCAGGCCGACTGCATAGCTGTGTGGCAAGCAGAAAGCAAAATGTTCCCAGTTCATAAACAGTTCAAGCTAAGATTTTTAGACAATCGTATTGTTACTTAATTAAAACAGGAATCAGAGAGAATTGTTGAGTTATTGCAGATATCCTATCGAAATTCCAACGAGCTAGTTGACGAATTTTTCGAATTTAAAGCACAGCTCTTTGAGTCTTTGAGTCTTTGATTTAATCAAACGCCATGCCTTGAATGTTTTTTCGTGGACCTCGCCTAACATACTAGGTAGGAATCTAGGTTTTGGCTCGAACATTGATTGAACACATTCTTCACATTCTTCATAAGTCAATTGAACTAATAATGTCCATGTATTGACTTATCTATGTACTTATTTGTTTTATGTATTTATCAAAATTACTTAAATTTTCTACACTACATTTAAAAATAACAATTTAAGAAAAGAATACAAAGCATTTTTGAAAAAAAAAATATGTTCGATTCATATTATAGTTCGGCTTATGTTTAGCCAACTTATCCAATTTAAGGTTCGAGTAAATACGAATATTGAAAATCTGAGATCCTTGCATTCATAAATACGGACGGACTGACAGATAGACGGACATGGCTAGATCGAATCGGCAATTTATGCTGATCAAGAATATATATACTTTATGGGGTCGGAGATGCTTCCTTCTGCCTGTTACATACATTTGGCTTTCGCACAAATACAATATACCCTTATACCCATTTTTAATGGGTTCAGGGTATAAAAACGTTCATGGTTTGGGCTTGCTTTAAAGTAATTATGAAGCATTAGTCAAAAAGAGAGAGACGCGTGAAAAACTGTTTCATTTTACAGATAAATAGTTTTTCATCATTTTTTCTTCAATCTGTCTAATATTACAAATCAAAAACGTATATGGATAAAAAAGTTGTACTCTTTAATTAATTAATTTTTAAGCTTTTGTTTATGTAATAAGTATAGTATATCAGGTAAATCTTTACTCACCCTATGGTGGCCAGCAGAAACATAATTTTGCTATCCCAGCTCTCGCGCTCGTCACCCTCCTTCTCGCCCTCAACGATATCCTGCTGTTCCTGTTGATCCACAGCGGTGGCCAGCTCGACCTTAATTTTGCTGGTGCTGGCATCGGATCCAAATGGCGGCTCCTGTTCCAGTTCGGATGACTCGTCAAAGGCATCGGACATGAAGCCCTGATTTGTGGCACCATACATGGGCTGATGATGGTGGTGCAATGATGTGTGATGATGATGACTGACGCCATGCTCCTTGGACACCAGGCGGCCACGCAGCTCCTTGAACATCAAATATAATAAGTCCAATGTTCAACTGGTTGATGGGTTTCATGATTCACTCACCCGCAACTCCAACTGATCGATACTTTTTTGGCTCTTAAGCACAATGTCGCGCGAGCTCTGGCGGCGCAACAGTTGCGCTGTGTTGGCCATTGTCGACGATTAGAGTTAAACGTTAAGAGTTTTGTTGTAGTTGTGTTTGTTACTTCTTAGATTACTTTTGTCTAAGTCGTTCTAACTGTTAGTTACTTAGCAAACAAGTACTTGGTACATAAGAAATGTGCGCTCTTGTGCGTGGGCTGCTTGCTGTTGCTGTGCTGCTCATGGAACTAACGGCTTAATCGTGACATTCGCATTGCATACTTTTGTGCGCTAAGTAAAATTATCACTAGACGCCATCTTAATTGGTGCTGGTCTTGGTTTCCTTTGGGCTTGAGGGTGACGGCTAAACAAAATGTAATTTCAGGCAAATGAGCAAGAACGTAAAATAACCAAAACGTATATAAAAATAGCATGCAGCAATAACAATCAATCAGTGTATAAAGACACAATATAAAACAGCCAATGGAGACACAAACATGCCCACAGACGACTGAAAGCTCCCGTTCAGGACACATACTGACAGTCATTGACAAAGCGCAGCATGGCGAGAGCACCCGTCCATAATAAATCAATCAAATGAACTTTACTACAACGACCCACATACGCAACATAACACACACACGCACACACACACACACGCATACACACACACAGGAACACCCATAGCAACTGATACCTAATACGATAGGATTTCAGGCTGATAAAGTACCTAGGATAATGGTTTTCACTGCCAGAAACAAAAGTAAATGTTGCCTTGAAAACCCTTTGATACCGTGAGTGCTAGTCAGTCGTCCAATACTGTATTCTAACAACACATACATATATATTTTAACGATTTTTTGTACATTTCTCATAATTAAACGCGTGCATACACAGCATTCCACAATTTTTGATTAACTATATTGTTTATTTGAATTTAAATTTTGAATTCATTTTTCGTACCGTCGTCAGCGATTGAGTTAGTGAGATTAATAAAAAAAAATTCGCCGTTGCCTACTTTTCGGCGAACACTTTTACCTATATAAAAAGCCCACGCAAATTTGTTGGCCCTTATATAACGAAACGCTACTGCTGCAGACGATTAAAACGAATATGACGATAACGAAACGAGCGTAGGGTAAAGGACACTTTACAGAATGCGTGCTTGGCTGCACGTGCTGCTACACAGGTGAGTGTCTAGGCATTAAACTGTATTTAGAGCCCTTCACATACATACATAAGCTGATAATGCACATATATATCCAAATATATATGCGTAAGTATGTATGCGATTACAAGCTTATACCAGTAGCGGGTCGCAATGACGCGCCGTACTGCTGAAACTGCAGGACGATGACAAGAAACTGTTGAGCGGACGACAGGATGAATACCAGAGGTCGCATACGCAGCATGCTGCTGCTATATTAAGCGCGCGCGCAGTCAACAACCAGGATAGCTGGTGGTAGTGGGCGTCAGTTAGAGCGAGACGACAACAGTGGGGGGTAGCTGGAGTTCTGAATGGAATGGTTTGTGTAAACAGAAAAGGCCAAAACAAAGAAATGAGCAGCAACAAATTAGGCCAAAACCACCACTTCCACAGACAGCTGTTGGACATATGCTTTTATATTTGTATGACAGTTGCGTGAATTGTGAAATTCAAAAACTGTCACGACCGTTACATGTGAAATCAAACGCAAGGAGTGCGTTAATGTTAATGACAGTTAAATAAACAGCGTCAACGTAAAATAATAAAGACGTAGAGCCAGAAACGTAAGCGCAGTTAATGTAAATACAAAAAATACCCAAAAAATACGGAGCGCAAAGTATCGAATCATCGCAAAGCAGAACAACGTAACGTAACGCAAACGCAATTGAACACGTTACGATATTTACCGAATGCATTTGTTTTTGTTGTTCCCGGTTTGGGGCCCTGTAAATGACAACACTTGCCAAAAGATTTCATAATTAACCCAAACAAACAGCTGCTAACAACATGGTCTTCAAATGTCAGGAAGACAGCTTCCTTAAGCAGGCAAGATACACTCGCCTTAAAAGGAAGCCAACACCGCTTAATCCATGACTTTCTCGCAGTTCCGGACGACTGTCGTCTCGTGCGAATATGCTACTTTGGAGTGGAGCGGCGAGGATAATAGCGCAGAAGCGCGTCAGCTGCGCGGCGTCAACGTAGTCTGTGAGGACACCATCCTGTTTCCCGAGGGCGGCGGTCAGCCCTGCGACTATGGCACGATCAATGGGCAACCGGTGCGCAATGTCTTGCGCAAGGGCAGCACAGCCATCCACTTTGTCGAGTCCTCTACCTGCTTTGAGGAGGGTTCCGAAGTGCAGCAGCATTTGGATTGGCCGCGACGTCTGGACCACATGCAGCAACATTCCGGACAGCATCTGATAACAGCACTGTTCGATCGCGAGTTCAAGTACGACACAACGTCCTGGTCGCTGGGCGCCAGCGTCTCATATATACAGCTGAGCACACCACATCTTATTAGTCGCGAGTCTCTTGATCTTATCGAACGGCAAGCCAATGATCTAATTCGGGAGGGTCGCGCTGTCAGCGTGCTGCTCGTGGACCCGGAGGTGGCACAAGAGTTTCAGGATGCACGCGCACCACGCGGCCTGCCCAAGGACCATGAGGGACTGGCACGTGTTGTCCGCATCGAGGGCATTGAGTCCAACATGTGCTGCGGCACACACGTGACCAATTTGTCCCAACTACAGTGCATCAAGCTGTTGTATGCCGAGAAGGTCAAGTCAAATGTTCTGGTGTATTTTGTTGTGGGCGAACGCGTCCTGCGAAAGCTGGGCGAGATCTTCAAACGCGAGCAGCAGCTCACAGTGGCGCTCAAGTAAGATAAGAGCCCCTTTCCCTTATCATGAAGAATCCCAGAATGTTATCCAATCGAATTTTTTTAGGGGCGGCCCACAGCAGCATCTGGAGCTGGTGCAAAAGCTGCATCAAAATGTGAAATCCACACGCAAATCGTTTCAACAGCTGTTAAAAGATTTCGCCAACGCGGAAGCCGAACGCCTGGAGAATCTGCCCAAAGCTATGCGTCCCAAATACTTTGCCCTTCATCGGCGTGACGGCATCGAAGTTGACTTCATAAACACATTTTTGCGGAATGCCCCAGAGGAAATTTTCTATTTTTTGACCGTGTCCGAGAGCGTGTCGAGCGGCAGTGGCGCCAAAGGACATATGGTCCTGCGCGGTGAGCCGACGCTGGTGGAACAGCTTGGTCCGAAGTTTCTGGAGCTACTCGAGGGCAAGGGCAATGGCAAGGAGAACAATTTTCAGGGCAAGATAACGAATCTTTCCGGACTACAAGAATGCAATGCTCTGTTAGAGGCGCACTTTAAGCCAAAAAAACCAAATGCAGATCCCGCGAGCGCCTCGTGAAACTGCAAATATTGCGTTACTAATATTAATTTGTACTATTTGGTTTGTTTTTTCTTGAAATGATGTACAATTTATGATATTAAACATAACTAAGCAGAGGTAACAGACAAGTTGATTTCGCGATCACTAGATGAAGCACAATGTGGTGCGCCTATTCAAACACTATCACAGATAGTTGATATCGTAATTTCGCATCTTCCACTTGAGACGCCAGAACTGGTTCCAAAAGCCCACATCGATGATGCGTTCGTGGAAATTCAGAAGGCCTACTGTTGTGTACTCACAAATGGCCGGATAGGTGCAGTCATCCTCGTCATACATATCCACCCACATCAGCGTGAAGAAGCCCAGGGAGAGGAGGCGCAGCTTCTTCTGATTGATGGCACGCTCCAGCATAATCAGATATTCGGCTGATTCGGGGTTCTGTTGTGCCGGTGGCAGCGTTATCATGCGGTTTGTTTGTTTACGCAATAGCGTCATAAAGGCAAGGTGATCTGGATTGTTCTTGGCCGTCTGGTACAGGGCGATTATGCACGTTCCGTATGCCAGCGTTTTCTTAGGCTTAGCATACGACTCTTTTATGACGCCAGCGGCCACTTCTGAGTAGTCACGCAACAATCCCTTCCAGTAGCTGGCCCACTTCTCCACGACAGTTCCTTTGAAACGCTCTGGCAGTGTAAATTTCTCCTCCAAACGCACACGCAGAGCGGCCATGCGGTTGCCCACTTTAAGCAAACGCATTATGCAGCGCTGCAAAAGATAATTTAATTCAATTTGATGCAACAAAAATAAAAAGTCCAAAATATTTTACATACGTTCCGAACCTTATATTAACTATCGAAATTATTTTGTTACATTGAGATAGTTTGACATGTAAGATTATGTTATTGAAAACTATCGATATACTTTATCAGTTGCAGCCCGTCACGACGCGGCGAATAGCTATAGTTTTCATAATGTGAGTAATAAACTTATAAGCTAAAAACTACCTTTTTTTATTCATTACCTGATTTCGACGTTATTTTCCTACGGTGATTAAAACAAATAGTTCATTAAATATTTCCAACACATTTGAGTGAATGAATTTCCGTTATAAATTCCTAAGGATGGCACTTAATTGAATTTTAGCGAAACGATAGCGAAACTCATCGTATCATGATCTTATGACTTGAATTATTCTTGGCACATATCGATGTCTCGATATCAATAACAATTACAGTGTTGTTTTGAGGACGGTGCTGCCCGCGCGTAGCAAAATAATTGCATAAAAAACGCGAAACAAATGCTATTTTCAGAGTTTTGATTACCATTGTGTCGAAATCAATCGCGCGTGTAGACGTAGCGCCCACCGTCTGATTCATGCCAACGTCACACATTAACTTTCCAGACACACACACACACGCGTATACACTGCTCGCCTGCGCTTCGCTGCGCGGTTGGACGACAACAACGACGACCACCGACCACAAATTTTATTTATCAAAAACGTCATTTGCTCTGAGCACTCGCATTTCACAGTCTCGGCGACGGGGTAATTACAGTGCAATCGGAGGCGTTTGTTTGTTGTTGTTGTTGTCATTGTTGTTGTTGTCATTGTTTTTGTTGTTGTTGTTGTTGTTGTGGCAACTAGCCAGCAACTGCGTCGAGCCTGAGTGAAAACGGAAGAGAAGCCTTAAATTGCAAATAGAAGTTGGCCATTGGAAAAAAAAAAACAAACTTGTTGCTCACTGCCGAGCCAGAGGCTGGGGCTGCGCATTGTGAAATTCAATTCAAAGAACCAAACCAATCAGAAAATCATCTCAGTCAAACTGGAGAAGTGGAAGAGAACTCGCAATTCCACTAAAAAGATGGACCAACGCCAGCGTAGTCCAGGGGGCGCTTCATCAGCTGCTGAGACAGCTGCAACACCCAACACCGATAAGCCCACAGTTCTAGAAGGTAAATACCAATTGTTATAGTATTCATTTGAATAAGCTATATACATCCCAGTTAAATATGCATGACACACCACCAGCCGATATGCTCAGATGTTAAATTTCACATGAAAATATATGTACGTGTATTTTCGAGAACAAAGCTAGCTGCCTTAAAGAAAGGGCCGCAGGGCGCCAGCAATCGCTCCGGCGAACAAAACATGGCCAGTCTATAAATATAACTACGCATTAGCTGCTTTTGTATCCTGAAAAGGATTCGCACACACACACACACTTGTGTGTATTTAGTGTTTGGTGTGCGTATATGTGACCTGTTGATTGAGCTATTTTTATGTGCCTCAACCCGTGGCCCATTTACAATTGCGACCCGACACTGAGCTGGAGCCCTATGAAAGGCAACCCACTCAGCTCTCAATGTTAATGTTTCTATTGATGCGCCCTCCTACCGGCCCGACATACAGCATTTGCTGGTAGATTAGGGGCACGAATCGCCCTTGCCGCCACTTCATTAAAATTGTAATTTTTTTTTTAATACATCAAAGAAAATTATGTGATATTAATTTAAGTCAGCTGATAGCAATTATCTATGGAACTGGCGAAATAATGCTCTTTGTTATATATAACAAAAAAGGGGATATTTTAGCTATAAAATAATCCATTGTTCTGCAGTGTCCGACTTAGAGATACCCTGAATCGAGTGCCAAGATACGATTACAAACATTCTAACTTCTTTCTATAGATTGTCACACAAAATGCTCGCTGCTTTAGTTAATTCCAATAATGGGGAAGTGATGGAGATAGCCATAAATTAAAATATTCTTAACCCATCTACTATACGATAACTAACATGTTAGGTTTGGTGCAGCCCATATCTTCGAGTTATGCATTCAAAACCATGTCTCAAAATTATTATAATCGATATTATGAGAATGGAAGGGGCTGCAAATCGTTCTGCGTATGGCATAGAAGCATATATACTTTAGATTTCAAGTCTCTATCTGTTTTAGTTGAAATATTAAAGTATTGTAACTGATCTGTTAGTCGCCCTTGTTGATCAATCTGAACCATGTTCGGTATGAACTCAAGCTGCAAACCTATTGAGAAACGCCCCCGTTAAGTCATTGTGTTTGTGCATTCCACAGGCGTGATGTCCAACATATTTGATGGTCTGACTGATAAAGATGAGCAAGTGCGTCAGGCCATGCAGCAGGCGATAGTGAAGATTCTGGAGACGCATCCATTGCGTGCCACGCTCATACTGACTGATTATCGCGCCAAAAACGCTAAGCTTAGCGAACAAACTGTGTCCATGATATTAGAGTAAGTGCCTACCGATATTTTCCTGTTTCCTGCTTATTTAATTGTTGATGTTTCAGTTGCATTCATCGGGTGGTTGCCGCGGACACCCCGTTGCCAACGGCGGCTAATGAAAAACTGATTGCCCTGGCCTTAGAGGAACTGACACGCAGCGTGGATCAGCATGTGCCGTTAATACAGAATCCCTCATTGCATATACTCGTGTGCATTGGTCGGGGGGATGACTGCAACCTGGTGGTTGAGGCACTGCAAGCGCACAGTGGCCCCTCGAGCACCGTGCCGCATTTTATGCTGATGCAGTGCCTCGGCCAGCTGGCCATGGCCAATACAGCTGGGCTGGTGCCGCACATCAAGACAATATTGGCGCGTTGCTTGCCACATTTGGGTGGCATTAAGCAGGATCACGTCAAGCTGGCATATGCCTATGCAATCGGACGCTTTAGTGAGGCGCTTATGGAACACGGCACCAACACGCCCACAGGCGAAGCCAAGGCGGCCGCCAATTGTGCCACGGAAATCAGCGTTGCCTACGACGTGCTCTTCAATCAGTGGCTGCACTCGCGTGAGCCTAAGGTATGCATGGAGATACTGCAGGCACTGTCCAGCATGTATCCATTGTTGCCAAGCGATCGGATATTGGACCAAGCGCCGCGGCTGGTGCCGCAAATTCTGACGCTCTATCGGCGCAGCGTCGATCGCAATGCAGTCACACAATTTTTGTGTTCAGTGCTAAAAACGAATCTCTTGATGCACGCCCAGGTCCTGGATGGAGTAGTCGACGGGCTTATAACGCACCTCTTCGATTTAGTCTGCGTTTATCCGGACTACGAAAAGCCTCAGACGGTCAAGGGTCACTACGAGGTGCTGCGCTGCTTCCATCTGCTGGCAGGCAACTACGCAGCGAAGATCATGGACACGCTGCTCATCCATCTGCGAAACAACAGCGAACGGGAGCGCATCAAATCGCTGCTTATATTGACGCACCTGCTGAACAGCTGTGCGGTGCACATTGAAAGCCGCCTGCAGGCGCTCATCGAGTGCCTCAAGCAGCTGATACTGGCCGAGCGCAGCGTCAAGATGAAACTAACGCTGCTCAAGACCATTGTGGCCCTCGCGCAGAAATCACTTATCCGCGACAAAGAGTTTGTGTGGTTTGTGGTGCGTCACAGCTGCAAGTACAGCAAAATTAGCCAGGAGCATGGCACTCTGGAGGAGCATGCCACCCTGGTGCTTAGTTGCGAAAATACGCTATTCATGCTCGCCTCCACGGTGGGTACACTTGACGAGCTGCTCAAACGCGAGTTGCTCAACTATTTTCTGCTATTGGACTACACAGACATTTGCGGCAATCTGGCCAAGTGCTTAGCCAGCTTGTTTGCCAAATCGCCGCACATTGAATACGACATAGCCGACGATGAGGACCAACAATCGTCGCCAGCGGTAGCAGGTGGCGAAGCAGCGGCGGCAGCTGCTGAGGATCGCGGAGGCCTGGTGAAGCGCGGCAAAGTGATTGTGCCTAGCGCCGAAAGCATCTATGCACGCTGCTTGGCTCTGCTGGGCAATCAGCAGTGCATCAAACGTGCATCGAACATACTCAGCTTCCTTAAGTACTATCATCCGCAGCTAAATCCAGCTCTGGAGGAGCTCTGGAACCGCCGTATCTCCGACATGCTGCTGCACATCAACAAGCCGCAGGCATATCTGCAGCAGCTGCAGGACTTTCTGCTGGAGACCAACGAGTTTTTGGGCGCACGCGATGAGCAGTTTCCGCAGCGCTTGGCCATCAAGCTGGGCGATCAAATGTATTTGTACCCCATGCAATTGCCGCACTCAGAGTGGCAGCTGCCGGATCTGAGCGCCGAGCGGGGCATGCTGCTGCAGTCTGTGGCGCTGACACTCTGTCAGGTGACGGATGTCGCCTGCATCCATACCAAGATAGATTTGATTGTAACAACGGCGCGACAGGAGCGTCTCGATAAGCACATCAAGCATGCGGAATACGAGCGACGCATCGAACCATGCGCTCGGGCACTCGGCTATATAGCCCGACAACACTTGGCCCATGTGATCAAGAAGCTGTCGGAACTGGCGCAAATGGGCGGACGCAAACATTCAACGGGTTTCTTTAGCAATCTGCACTTTATTAAGGACACGCACAAGGAGCTAGAGAACTACAAGAGCAATCTGCTGGTAGTGAAAGCCTTTGGCCGCATCATGGACGAGGCAGATCCGTTGCAATCACTGCAGCATCTAGATGATACCATGCTCAACTTCTTAATGATACAACTGGCCGGTCACAAGGATCAGACCATTATGTCGGCCATACTACAAACGCTGCTTAGCATTTGTAATCAACTAATTGTCACCAAAGAACAACTGCCAGCTCCGCTCAAGCATCGCAAGCAAATCATGGAAACTGTCTTCAGTATACCCATTGAATCGCCCTTCCACGACTTGCCGTTGCTGCCCACCATTTTGAAGCTGGGCACAGATTTCATACGCATCGGTAAGTGAGCACAGACCCAACCGAATAAAGTATTTACTCCATTAATAACTTTGTTGCTATCTTCGTGTATTTTTGGCAGGCGGCAGCGATAGCTCCGAGTGCGTGGACGGCAGTATCATCTTCGAAATAGCCTGCAAAAACTTTTTTGGCTGCGCCAGGCAGTTGAAAATGAAATTTGACTCGCAGGAGGAGGATGAGCACAACAGTTTTCTTGCCAAGCATCTGAACGAATCGCTGCCACAGCTTAATGCACTGGTTCGCGCCATTGTTGAACTGGATCCGTCACCCTCAACGCTGGATCTTATCATTGGCATACTGGAGTGCTGGATGCGGGATAAGAACTCGGAGGTGCGCATCTGCGCCAGCCATGTGCTGAATAACACACTTGAAGTGTACATTAAGTCCATGAAAATTGGCGGCTGTGAGGCGCCTTCCAAGTTCAACCAGACTGGCCAAATGCTGGGCAAAATTGTGCCCCGTTGCATCGACTCCAATGGCACCGTGCGCCAGGTGTCAGTGGACATACTGCAAAAGACGCTGGAAATCGCCTGCATCTATGAGACTCTGACCATAGCGAGTATTGACAGCAGCGCCGAGTGGCTAAAGGAGATTGAATCCATCAAGGAGCACATCATCACGGATGAGCCCAAGCAGATCTATAATCTGGCTGGCGATATTGCTAAGATTATAGCGCAACGCATTTCCAGTTTCCAGTATCTGCAGTTCTGGTTAGTATGATTTAATATCTTTACACATTAACTTTTGATCAACTTTTCGCCCCCTATCTATTGGCTTTAGCCTCTCCATTTCATTTCAATTTTTTAATATATATTCATAAGACGTAACACATTGAAGGTATTCATATTTTCGATATCCACTTCGTGGATAATAGCAGCATTTTTACTGCAAGCTCATGAAAAGATCATTCAAATGTGATGTATGATATTTAGAATTATAAAACCAAACAAAAGCCAGGTTCCAGTTTTTGGATTCTTCTATTATGGCAAATATCAGAAAGAAACACTGGAATTGCTTATCTCCCCGCCATTTGATTTGTTTCTCGAAAAATCGTACAAAAGTATCAAAGCAGAATTTTGAATCAAGAATTAACTCGAATAGAGAATTTTGAATGCATGTGGCAACAATAAATAAATGAACTACTTATAACTTATCTAAAAAACAAAGGTCGTATGCGCGTGTACGTCTCTCTCTCTCGCTCTCTTTCGTACGCCATTTACTTTGAGTCAAGCTTCTGGGCCTGGGCTCATATTCCTCATCTTTTGACGAGCTGCTTCCCGACGCTTGGCCTGCTTCATATCGGCCGAAGGACTCACGACGTAGTAGGGCAGTTCGTAGAGCTTGTGAAATTGGCCATCAACTTCGGCACAGACGCAATGAATTTCCCGCTTCTTCTCCCTTAGACGAGCGCTGCGTCGCAACTCCCTCACCGGCCTATAGGTAGGCAATTCAATTTGTTCATCCGACATCTCCTCATCCGTATTATCAGTGTTCACTTCCTGGTTTTGGTCATCTTGAACGGATGCCTCATCGCTTAAGCGCTTGAAGAAGATTGTGTTCGCAGCTGAGGCAGCCTAAAGGATCCTTGACATTTTCCATTTGAATTTTATTTCACTCTCCATTAAAGAATACTTACCAATTGATAAACAGTGCCAAAAATGTTAAATATTCCGCTCATTTTATACTAGTGTTTGATGTTACTGCTATGAAATCAAATCTCGACTGAGGACTATATTTTCAGCTGTGCTAAAATGTTGTTGTGCCGCATGGCAGCTAGCTCGGTACGTACTCGATCAAAGTAGGGGGATATTGTTCACAGTCATAAGACGGCGCTAGACTAGACGTTGTCTGTAGTTCAATCATTCTGTTCTCAAATGGCAAACGAGTATGTTTTTGATCAATGTCCTAGGGTATATCGGCCTTCAGTTTCTATTGCCACGCCACCTTTAACAATTTTAGGCAGACTATCGATGAAGTCATCTAAGGATCAAGACAAAATAGCCATTATTCTGGAAGACTCTTCCGACTGGTTCACTGAGAACAGGCAACCCGACTGACACGTTCGTATTGTGTGTTCTAGCCTTGCTAAGAGTAAAGTAAAGTCAAAGATCCCAGGATGATAAGCTTAGTCGATAAGGCATCGCACGTCTACCCATTCGACTGTATATCTTTCTGCAAACCAATCCCCGTTGAAACAAAGCATTGGATGCTTCTTTAGCTGCAAGTACAGCATATTAACGATCGGGCAAGAAATGAGATCCCTAAGAACAGACCAAATTATGGGTTTCAAATCGATTTGTGGATGGTAATAGAAAACGTAAACTATAAATTTAGTCTGAGAACGAAAGGCTGCTGACCGATATATTTATATATTTTATATAAATGCTTATAAGAATATAAGAAAAGATGCGAATTCTTGCGCCGCACCTGCAACGCTGTCTCTTTCCAGCTAATGGAAACTTCTATTTGTGTCTCTCACAGACTCGTGTGAGGTATCAAAATAAAAATTTGGAAGAAAAAAAAACAAATTAACATCAATCGATTAGTGAATTTGGGAATATATGAAGGAATAATGGAAATGAACTATTTATAACCGATCTTCAGAAACAAACTGCAAATGTTGCTCTACCGTGCGCCGGATGCTACGCGGCAGGCTTAGGGGCTGGTGGTATCCAGTTTGCGCTTTTTGACGAGCTTCTTCGCGACGCATGGCCTGCTGCATATCGTCTTGAGGATCAAGCACGTAATCCCGCAGATCGTAGAGCTTATGTAAACGACCATTAACCTCCTCACAGACGCAGTGAACTTCCCTTTCCTTATTGGGACTCGAGCTGATATTGAGCGGATCGTCGTGCAACTCCTCCGCATTATCGGTGGACTCTTCCTGGCTTTCATCCTCTTTAGCAGATAGCTCATCGTCCAAAGGCCCGAATAAGATTGTATTTATAACTGAGGCAGCCTAAAAAATATATATATAGTGTGTTATGGTCCTCTTCTTCTGGATCCGTTGGCCATTTCTTTTGATTCTTACCAGTTGACAGAAAGTGCCGAAGATGTTGAATATTCCCCTCATTTTGTGAAAGTCTTTGATGTCTTTGAGGACTTTATTCTAGTCTGTGCAGGCATGTTGTGTCCGATGACAGCTAGTTCAGAGACCAACTTGATCAGAATAAGGAAATATTATTCAAAGTCCTGAGACGAGGATAACTTTAATTTGATCGACCAGGATTCTATAGAAATAGTCGGTATACATTTCTAACTATTTTAAACATTTATTGTTTTTAAAAATACTTTTGACCAAACTTAGTAGCTGTTCGTTGTGTTGTGCGCCCCGATAATACCATATCTTATTCTTACAAAAACAAATCCATCCTTCCCGGCCCATAAAACAAGCCATTTTTGGACAGATACAAAGCTACTCAGGCCAAATCGCATTATTTATATATATATATATATATATATATATATATATATATCTATACAATTTGGTATTTTTTATATAGTTTGGGTACTCTTATTTCAATTACTTTCTTCTATTTTTTTTTTTTCAAGTAAAACTCTGTTGCAGTCCCTGCGCGATCCGGAACAGAGCTCCACCATTGGCGCTAGTGTTGTCCTGAAGTTCTTCATACAGCAGAAGGGCTCAGAGCTGTTCCATGCCATACCCGATCTGGTCAAGGACAGTCTGGTGGCGCTGCAACTGTGCGATGTGCCGCGTGCCAAGTCTGGCGTACTTAAGGCCCTGGTGGCGTTGACCAAGCACCATCCGAAGCTCGTCTGCGCGGAGATGCTGCAACAGCCGCTGCCCTACGATGAACATCTGGTCGAGTATTGGCATCTGGTCTGCAATGATGGGGAGCTCACCGGCCTTATGCTGGACAACTTTTTGCAGCTGCTCAGCGGCGCCTGCCTGCACGAACCGCAGGATGCGAGTAGTATGCCGCACGATCGCCAAAGATTGGCTAGCGTTCAGCCGTTTGCCATATTTTGTGCGCTGCACGAGATGCTGCCCTGCAAGGACATACATGATGTGAGTAGCCAGTGGGCATGTTTCCGAGATTTGTGAATTAATTGATTGTGGTTTTGATTGCAGCAATTGAAGGCGAGATTTGCAGAGATGTTCAGCATGCTGTTGACTTCACTGTCCAGCTATACGAATCTGGCCGCACCCATGCCAGCAGCACCGCCGGCAAGTCCCAGCCAGCCGAATAAGTCGTCCAGCAAGTTTGGATTTGTGCCCAACAAGGAGCTAATCAAGCTGAATCCCTGCCAAATAGCACTCGAAACGTTTCAGGCATTCCTTAACAATTTGGAGATGGAGCAAATTGCCACCGTGCTGACGGTTAATACCCAACTGGCTGCCAGCACGGACTGGCACAGTTACATTGAGCTATTGACCCCGATGGCCATTGGCCTGGCCAATCAGCTGCAGCTAACCAGCCCTGGCATGCGCCAGCTGGTAAATGCTTTAAGCAAATACGTGGCCTCGCCCCATGATGGCCAGCGCGTTGCAGCCGTTGGCCTGTACTCACGCCTTGTGCCGCTCAAGCCGTGTGGCGAACTGGCCAGCTGCCTAATGCTACATCTGGGTGCCGCTCTAAGCGATCCCAATGCGGTTGTGCGCGGCCTCAGTCTGCAGGGCATGGGCTATGTGGGCCAGCTGGGCGAGCACGAGTCACCGCGCTATTCGGAGATGGCAATACAAGCTCTGCTCAAGGGCGTCGACGATACTGTTGGCGAATGTCTTATCAATGTACCGCTGGAGAGCATGCGCGGACTCTCTCGCATTTTACAGGCGTTGCCCAGTGATCGAGTCGAGCCCTTTCATGTCTCGCTGGCCATACGCATACGTCCCTTCTTTGGCAGCTATTCGATGGAAATGCGCGAGGCGGCAATTATTCTATTTGGGGATTTGTGCGAATCAAAACATGATGACGGCAGCAGTTCGCCAACGTCATCGATGGAGGCACTACGAGAACAGCTCTTTGCCAATCTATTTCCGCTGCTGCTCCACCTGAGCGAGAGCGAGCCGGCCATTGCCTCCGCTTGCAAAGGCACCCTTCGACGTGTCTGCCGCCTGCTGCGCGCTGTACGCGTCAATGAGATTGCCCAGCAGCAGCTTGTGAGCGACGCGGATCAGCATCGTCCACTTAACTACAGCAACTTTGTCGTAGATTTTGTCAAATTGATCGTAAGTTTGAGAGGATAATAACGATGCTCTAAACCTTTACCTTTTACCTTTCAACCATTAACAGGCACTGGAACTGACCGAACACATCCAGGACTTTATAGACTCGTGCATGCCCAAGCTGCGTAGCCAATGGCCGGAAGTGCGCGGCAGTGCGGCCATTGTAATCGGTAGGTGTCCATCCCAATGTTGATGACAGTGGACGAAATCTATAAACATATTTACCCTTAGGCATACTGCACAATTTCCTTAGCGAGCGGAATGCACAAACCGAGTCTGTAGCCGGCAAGATTGCAGTGTTGCTCAAGGATGAGCACGTGACGGTGCGCGTGCGTGCTGCTCAGGCGCTGGGCTATTTCTTTGGAGACATCTAGAATGGGAACATCTAGTGCGCCTTCAGGCTACAGGCACTGGGACCAATATAAACGCAACTCTGATCTTAACTAAGTATAAACACACACCAGCAGTCGTATTTTATGATACACATTAAATTTAGTATTTCTCCAAGTGTGATCCCGCATGCGCTAAGCATGGACGTCTAACCTTCATGTATCCTTATTATGTTTGATAATCGTTTAACTGTTTGTTCTGTTATGCGTATATGTGTAAGCATATATATATATATATATATATATATGTGTATATATGCGTATATTACATTTATGGAAATCGTTATTTTTTTGTTTGGCATATTTCTTGTATATAATATATATATTTATATAAGGTATGATTGTTATCCCAGTACATTTGAACACGCGACACATTTGGTCTTGTGCACGACCATAACATAGCCGAAGACAATACCTTAGACTTGTTTCTCAATAGATCTTAATTTGCGCACGAGCTTCAGCTTCAGCGTCAGCTTTGTGTCAATTATTTGTACTTTCCAGTAACCAAAACTTTTTAGCATCTAAGTCTAACTCTTAGCACAAGATCAAATGCTCCTCTGTCAGCGAACCGTTATTTTAATTCCAACATGTTATTTGTGTACCTTTATTAACGCTTATAAAAACCAAATACATAAAAATAAATAAATCCTATTCACATAGAATCGTTTAATCTAAAGCATAGAACTGAATGCGACCACTTGACCAGCCAATGGTCAGTACCGAGCGATCGTTGTCCTTGTTCAATGGCTGGAAGCAAACGAAGCTGGGATATTCGGCCGTCGTTTGGCCATTTAAATAGTAACCGCCCGATATTTGCAAATCGTACTTCTGTATGTATGTGCGGAAAATGGCTATGGAATTGGTTGACTTGAAGGTGATCACCAGATATTTGCCCTGCGGATCCCATACCAACTGCTGGACAGTGCCTCCAATGAGCGTATGCTTGCTGCTATCCAAGGTGCACGCATTTAGATCGGCAACAGGCAGCACTTCCTTATCATCAGATTTCGCTGTAGCAAGGCAAATGGGAATCAGTTTATGAAACATTAAAAGACACTAAGAGCTTTGAATATTACAAAGCATGTAGGCAGCATTATACAGACGATCTGGATGCTTAAACAGTCGCCTACCTGTTGCATGCCAACCTAACTAGTTTTGGGTTTGCTCTTGGGCAAGCTGCGAGGCGTGTGCTTGCATTAACTTGACAGACACGCACTGTACCAGCAGTGCCCGCATTGGATAAGGGATTAAGTCTGGTCGGAGCACTTACATGACTGGAGAAGCAGCTGAACGAATTGAAGACGGTATAAAATTGGCTCAGCAGTGCTCGCAAATAGCAGAAAGCGACCGTAGGGTGACCAGCAGGCGGCTTGAACGTTGCCGCCATCGCATACCCAACGATCTGAGGTCCAGCGATCGTGACATTTCCACACGCGAAACACGCGATCCACAGTTGCCGCAAAGATCCATTCATTGCACGGTGACCAGCTGAGCAGAGAGCCTGGTGGACCCAGACGTTTCAGAGGCTTCAACCTTTTACTGTCAGGATGCCAAATGAGTATGGCGCGATCACCAATGGAGGCGGTGGCCAGCAAGGTGCCATCCTTGTTCCACTGCATCGAGCTTATGGGTAGATTGTCCGGACTGAAAACAAAAATAAATAAGCTGAGTAATCGCACGCTTCAGCTGGAGATTTACGCACTGTTTCAATGTGTGACTGGGATTGATGGTGCGACCCAGATGCAGGTTGTTGTCAATTATCCAAAAGCACAAGCCCTGACGGCAGCCAACCACAAGCTCAAAGGCACACAGCGGCCGCCAGGCCATGCATGTTATTTGGGTTTGTGTTGGGCTTTTCAGCACGGGGCCCATGCCAGCATTATTATCTGTAATCTTACTGTAAACACGCACCACGTCGTCCACGCCGGCCACCGCCAGTTTAAAGAGATGCACGTGCCAGGCGATGTAGCGAACAGAACTGTTTACCCAATCTCTGCAAAATATATAAGAGCAAGTCTTATAGTAGCATCTATATATACTATATAGAGAACAGAGATCGCACCTGGTCTCAGCATATTGAGCAATGCGCTCAGCGCTCAGCTGCTGTGTGTGAGGAAATACCTTTAATTTAAATCTGCTATAGAGGTCCAGCAGATGCGCAATGTAATCGGCTGTTTTGCTTATAAGAGGCGCTTGTTCGCGCGTTTTTTCGCTACGCGCCTCCGCCAGCGATTCCCAAAAGCCGCCATCGAAGAATGTGCGCGAAATGCGCTTCGGCACGCTTTCGCTCTCGACCGGTATGAAGCTGTGGCCCACAGAAAAGCGGTGAGCTGATGGATTGAGCAGCTCGTTCTTTAGATTAATTGTTGGATATTGCTCCAACTCCGGTATATAGTTTTGGCGATGCCCCACGCCCGTTGGTGAGGACAATGTAGGTATTTGTTTTAGGTTGCTTAAAGATGCCATTTAAATTTATTGTGCTTGTTGAGCTTAGAGCTGTGCGATATTTACGTACCAGTTACTTGTCACGAATATGACAAACAAGTCGCGGCTCTGCCAACCTATGAAAAACCTTCAGCGAAATTAACAGTTATGAACAGATAACTTAAAATGAATCTTCTGCTCAATAAATACTGCAGTGGCAATTATATTATGCCGATGATGGTTTTTGAAAGCAGAGCAAACGTTTTAAATTATTTGTTCAACATTCTTAGGCGATGGCGTGTTTCGATTCATCGTACGTTAATCACGATTGCAGGTTAAATATCGTTTAAAAACTAGTTCATTTTTTTAAATGTTTATGTGCAGCAGTTACTGTAACTTGTACTGTATGAAGTAACCGTTTAAACCCAAGTAGGCTACTTTAGCATGCGTTAGACTCCCGTTGGTTTTTCTCATTATGAACCAAAATTGACAGCAGATTGCCAGGAAAAGACTCAAATGATTTTGCAATAGAATCGAATGAACATTTTGGGAACCACTGCATACAGTTCAGTTCAGAACCTGCTAGCATCCCTCGTTTTTTCTTAATTGTTTGGCAGCAAACAAATTCAAACGAGCACTTTGCCTTTATTATTATTAACAATTAGTATCCAGTTAGGCGTTTTACCGTTTCAGTTTTGTTTCTGAGTTGTCATTTTTAGCATGTGAATTGCGGCATTCGAAGGGAGAGCACAAGTGAAGTCTCTGCAGCTGTGTTATCCGTTCATTCGTCCAGCAGTTGTTGTTTTTTGTCCCACCGCCATTTTTGACACAAACACAAACGCGCGCGCCTTCTATAAATTTGGCGAACGATTAATATTGTATGCTACAAATTGGCAAACGCAGTGCTTTAGCAGAACAACAACAGAAGAAAAGATGCCTAACTCGAATAACAACACAAGTAGCAAAAATATTGGATATGAATTCAAAAGCCTTATATCGAAACTCAGGGAGGGCGTACACCCCAAGGACTCGCAGGAATTATTAGGTATATTACGCAGCTCTTACACTTGCTCTGCTTTCTAATATGCATTTGTACTATCCAGATCGAATGGTGCCGCTTGCCGTGCAGTATATTAACAAGTGCCCCGATATATTTGATAGTCCACCGCCACTGACCGAGGATGATTGCCTAGACAAGATTATGACTATATTGGAGTCAAATCCGATGTGGGGTGAGGAAGATAAGCCTGGATCGGTCTTCCACGAGCATTACGTTGTTGCCTCCTGTGAGGTAAGTGTGGTGTGGCTGTAATTGGATGACGCACCAAATACTCTTACTCATGCTGTTGCAGATTGAAGATCAGCGTATGCGGGACCTTCTATCGAATCTTATATTGTTTAGCCTGGAAACTGATGCACAGTACGTCCCCTTGAACGAAGTTGGACAGCCACCTAGTCGACGTTCCAGATCGTCAATCAAAGTGGACAGCACAAACCGGAGCTCGTGCAGCAGCGTCCTTCAATCTAACGGCATTGGCTTAAATGGCAATAAAAATGGGATGTCAGTAAAGCCCTGCAGCTACGATCCAACACAGACGAGCGTGGGTCTTGGCAACCTTCCTTTGCCCAACTACATCCTGGATACAACAAAGCAAAATAACGTCAACACCGATCATGATGTTGTGCAGAATGCGATATATTCGTTTATGGGCGTACAGGGCAAGTATCTTAAGAAGGATGTGATTACGGGACGCTTCAAGCTCGATCCGCTCACCATGAAGACCATCTCACCAGTGCAGTGTGGTATGCTATTGAGGCTGTCCGAGCTGGGTTATTATCATGATCGGGTGTCCAAATTTTCGAATACAATGACCGGCTACAATGCCATGGGCAGTATGGGCCAGGCATTCATGGCGAAGCTGAAACTGGAGATGAGCGAATTTCATGGGCAGGTGGCACTCTTGCAGGATCAGCTTAACGCATTTCGTCAGACGCAGATGCGAGACTTCGTCGATCGTGATCAGAGCTGGTTGGACAGGCAACGTGAGCAGCTGACGCTAATGAAGCTGCTTTGCTGGTACATGGAGCCACTGCGGCGCATGCAATGGCTGACGAAAATCGCCGATGCCTGCCAGCTAAAGAAGGGCGGTGACCTGGCCTCCGTGCTATATACATTTCTAAACAATGGTGATCCCATGATCAATAAACTAGCCAATGATCTGTTGACCGTGAGCTGTGGACCGTTGGTACGCATGATCTCAAAATGGATGCTCGAGGGCGGCATCGAGGATAGCCACGGCGAATTCTTTGTTGAATCCCTTGACGAGGTCGGCGCTGATCGACTCTGGCATGATAAGTTTCGGCTGCGACACAGCATGCTACCCAAATTTATCACACTTGAACTGGCCGACAAGATACTTAAAACCGGCAAGAGCATTAACTTTTTGCGTGAGATTTGCAAAATGGAGGAAGCGGTAAAGGGCCGTAAAGAGCTTAAGTACGTTATTGACAATCATGGTAAGCCGGCATCGATATATATATATATATTAATTATTCATTGTATCCATTCGCTTTTGTGCAGTTTCCCACATCTTTTCGTACGTGCCAGACACAACCTGGCATGCGGCCATTGAGACCTGCTATTCGCAAACTTCCAAGCATGTGCTGGACATTATGGTTGGACCACACAAGCTGTTGGATCATCTGCAGGGGATGCGTCGCTATCTATTGCTTGGCCAAGGCGACTTTGTCAGCATTTTCATCGAGAACATGAAGTGCGTTCAAGAACTAATTCAATATATGACCTGCTTTTCAGTTTGTTTGCTTGTTTTGTGGCTTCCGCAGGGATGAGCTGGAGAAAATTGGCACCGACATTTACTCACACGATCTATCCGCAATGCTTGATGCCGCCCTGCGCTGCACAAATGCCCAGTACGACGATCCAGATATACTAAATCATTTGGATGTGGTGGTTAAGACGCCTTATGCCGGTGACTGCGGCTGGGATGTCATCTCATTGCAATACACGGTCCGTGGACCGTTGGCCACCATGCTGGAACCCGCCATGCCCACATACAAGGCGCTATTCAAGCCACTCTGGCGCATCAAGCACATGGAATTCGTCTTATCCACAAAAATTTGGAAGGTACAAATGGGCAACGCCAAGGTGAGTAAATACCGAAATCCGGGTTTTCAATTTTGGGGTGAAAAAAGGGAACCAAAAATATTCCACGCGAAACTACTAACCAGATTCTAGCTCTTGCGAGCTCCGGACAAGCAACAAGCCTGATATACAAATCGGTTCTAATCGATTTTATGGCAACGGGCGATTCATCGATTATTTGTTAAAACAAACTTGATCAATCCGTGCAATTCAGAGAGCTACGCTCCAAAGTCTCCAGTCCATAGTTTATGGGATCGTTGCCATTATACAGATTATATCGATCATTTACTTGAGGACTGTCATAGGTAATGATGCACAATTAGTATGCATTATAAACACAATTATTTGTTAGTTTTGCTACAAGCTGCAACTCATTTTTTTTAGTTTATTGCAAAATTGTGCATTTCGCTTCGCTTAAACGAGTGTCAGCCTGTACTTTATGGGAAGGATGGCTACTTCTAAAATATTTATCCATTATCAATGGGTTTAGGCTATGCAAACTAAGAAACTGTTTATTGTATTGCGTTTTGATTGTGTCAGTCGAGCAAGATATCCCTGTTGCCCTCCATAGAAAATGGAGAATTCTGTTTTTCTTTTATGGCTAAGATTAGCGCATACCTTGGCACGTAATCTAATCCATGGCCCCGAAACATACGGCTAACAATAGTCGACTTCCCGTTGCACATTTGCCGTTGCCAAACCAAGATAAGGGGCTAGCCTATCGATATCTGGGTATCAGGGCGCAGGTTTAAAGTACACGTACTCGTCAGGTACTTTGTGCTTGGGGTATAATTAGATTGAATGCAATAATAAATCGAGCATAAATTCCTTCTAGGCTTATGTATTATTTTCTAATTACACATAGTATTAACATACAAAAAAAAACACACAGATACACATTGTGCAAACACGGCGAAAATATCGCAATTACGATGCAAACAAAAAAAAAACAAATGCGATACAAACTGGGCATACATATGTGGGATATATGTACGTTGGTGTGCGTTAGATTGTGAAATCACCAAAATGTCTGTTTACAATTTGGCGTCCGTCTTGAGCAGAGGCGCCAGCTTCTGCGTCAGCATGATGTTGCCGGCAATCTTCAATTTGCCCTTCATGAAGGCAGCCTGGGGATTCAGCTTGCCCAAGGCAATGTCGACCATGTCCTCGTCGGCAACCGTTAGTGTGGTGTCCACCTTGACGCCCTGGGCGGGTCCCTCATACGCCTTGGCGCTCTTGCAGTCGAGGGCTGTTAATTAATGAAATCAATTAGGTCGCCGTTATTATCTATCTAGCTAAATAGCAGCTGGTGCCGAAGTACGCGACTGTTAACTGCACTTTGAACTTTACACGGTGCGTTATCGTTTGCGTTGCGTGTGTAAATAGAAGTTTGGACATTTACTTACTCCATTCCTTGGCTACTTTGCCATCCTTGGTGATTTTATAGAGGAACACGCCGTTAATGGCCTTGGCCTTGGCGGCATTATCCTTCAAGCCTTCGATAATTTTCTGGAAAACGGCGTCCGATTGCAGCGACATATTAATTGGTTTTGTTGATTTGTTGGAACTGCGATTTAATGAAACCACAAAAAGAAACGAATTAGTGTTTCATTAAAAATTGTGCAATATATGAATAACGCGCGTCAAATGCTTACACCTGAAAGGGAAAACGCCAAATAATGAGCAAGCAGCGGCAATCGTTGATATTTATGTGCTTTTCTTCTCTAATTCCGCTTTGCTCAAGCGCTCTGACACTCGACTGCTGAGCTCTCGTTCATTTTTTGACAGACACACACACACACACACACACACACACACATGCGACACGCACACGCACACACACAAAACAAATAGTGACCAATAAAATAAATCGATAGTCCGTTGGAGTTTGCACTCTCTCTCTCTCGCTCGCTACCGGTCTGTTAACTAACATGAGCAGCAGCTGTTGGCGCTCGTACTCGCACTGTGCAAAGTGCGCCAACGATTTGAAGATCATAAATTCTCAATGGGTATAACGATTAGTGGCAGATTATGGATTACGCTCTGCTCGCCCTACCATTTTTTATCAGCATGTACTTCATTTGGTACATAGTATTATATTTATTATGTACATTTTAATATTAAAGTGAGCTTAATGCTTATGCCTGCAATGCGTTCTCAAACTTTTCCGGGTCCAGTCCGGCCTGCTTCATCTGGACGGCAATGGAGAATAGGTAGTCATAGCACTCCGACCTGTAAGCATTCACACAATCGCACATTGCCCTAATAATTACATATATGTATTTACTTACATAGTCTTAGCCTTTTCCCATGTCTGACCCCAAACATAGACGCCGTGGCGGCGCACAAGAACAGCAGAACATCCGGGGTATTCCATCATGGCCGCATACATGCTGTCGGCCAGGTCCCGTTCGAAGGGCGTATTCTCAATGATGGGCACAACCAGTAGCTCGTCGTACCGAAGATAGCGCTTATCAGCTTCATCATAGACGCCCTGCAATAGATCAAATTAGCAAATTACTGCCCTCTGCATGGGACTCGTACCTTAATCATTTCCAGATGTGTGCAACGAAACGTTTTCCCTGGCCACAGCAATGTTGCCATTACAGCATGCTGGGAATGCGTGTGAATGACTGCGCCGGCATTGCGATGCCTGTATGCCAGCATGAAGAGCGGGGTGCACTGACTCTTGCTCAGGCCCTTGATCTCTGGTGGCAATTGCAAATCCTTGCCATCTATGTCCTGCACAAAGAGGTCTTCCGGTTGCATACGCTCCTTTTGTACCCCCGATGGCGCGATATAGATTTCGTTGCTGTTTCAAAAGTCATTCAGGTTCATTTTTATGGGGTTAACATTCGTGATGCACTTGCTTGTATTTAATGCTCATGCCGCCACCAGTCCCGGTTACCCAGCCCAGGTGATAGAATTGCCTACATAGCGACGGTATCAAGTTGCGCGGATGCTCCTCAGGTAAATCCTTAAAAATTGACAATGCCATTATAGAGTTGTGCGACTGATAAGACGGCGAATGGTCAGTCACGCAGTCACGTATGTAAACAATGATTAGTGCGATTGTTAGTTTCACAGTCACTCTGCGCGCTGTTAATATTATCGATGTATCTATGTGAATATATCGATAGCAGCCGTATAGTTTAAATCTGAGTTTAACTGTTTTTCCATGTATGGTAAACGGGTATACTATTTATATATTTTCAGGCGCTGCGTTCGATGGGCAGTGAGATTGCCAAGGCCACCTACCGATTGCATCTGTTCACATCGGAAATCATGCACTTTGTTCATCAAATGCAGTACTATGTACTCTTCGAAGTGATCGAATGCAACTGGGTGGAACTGCAGAAGCGCATGCAACAGGCCAAGGCATTGGATGACATACTCGATGCACACTCCAAGTTTTTGCACGCGATCAGCATTGGATGCTTCGTGAACACGTCAACGAACATGGAAAGCCATCTTGAGGTGGTCTATGAGAACATCATTTCGCTGGAAAATTGGCAGGCCAACTTTTATCAAGACTGCTTCGCTGAATTGGAGGCACGTCAGCAAATGGCTAAAACGATTGCCGAGTCCGAACAGGCCGGACGTTATGGTCTGACCACTGTACAAAAAATGGAACGCGATCAGGAGCGCAAGATATTCGAGCAGAAGCTAATAACCTCCTGTCGGACGCTCGAAGGATTTGCCGTGTCCTATGGGAAAGCAGTGGGTGGCTTTCTGCTGGCGCTTAATTCCAGCGACGATCCCAATCTGCAGCTGTTTGGCACCCGTCTGGACTTCAATGAATATTATAAAAAGCGAGATACAAATCTCAGCAAACCGTTAACCTTCGAACATTGGCGCTTGAGCAACGTGTTTGGCACCTCCAAAAGCCACATGGGCGGTCGCTACAGCATGCATCCGCAAACACCATCACAGTTTGCAAACCATGGTCACACTCCATTACTGTCCTGGGACTAACGGTTAACTCAGGCGGAAGATTGTGGTACTCACAATGAGAAAGCGCTTTATCCCAGTGCCAACAACAACAGCAACAACAACAACGACAACAACAACAATAACCGCGTTAAAGATTACAGTTTTAATCGAGTTGCTTTGGCTCGAGGCCCACTTTTAAAATACAGGGTTGCAAATTGTTGCGATGTCATGTAAATTGCATCGTGCTTTTATTTCGTCATTAGGCAAGATAAACAAAAGTATTTAGCTTTAAAGGCCATTACCGCACGCGAGCTACCTGCATATTGTTGTTACAAGACAAGCGTTTTTAAATGTATCATAATTGCCAAAATATCCCCAGGAAAGTATTCTACTCTAATCACATCTCTCCGAACGAGAAGTAAGAAGCAAACAACATGCACCGTTAAAATGTTTTGTTTTTTTCTTTCTCAAAAAGATACGATTGTAGCAGAAAGCGTTGTAATGAAATGTAAGGAAATACTCGCTACACAGCACATTTGCTTAGCTAACCGTGCCAAAAGTATTAGAAAATTCGAAATTCTCTTGTATTAAATTAAAACATTCTGCGGCCATTTCAGCCAGTTTAATCTACACATCAAAGAAACTCCTTCATCAAATCAATTAATCAATCATATTAAAGACTTGCATTTTCTGTTATATATATCTCATATAAATCGTTAATGCTATAAACAATTTGTTAATTAACTATGTAAAATTTTAAAATCGTTTTAAAGCAAGAACCCAATTTTAGAGAAATGTCACATAACATGTTTCCACTTATAATTCGAATAATGATAGAAACGATTTTAAATGTTAATATATTGAAAGCAACTCCACAAGTTCTAAATAAATGGTTATGTATTTTAAATGAAATCTGCTTGCCTTTTTCAACTGATCAAAATTTTGGAATCTGTTTTTGTCTAACCAATCCGAATATGCCCGATGTCTTGAACAGTATTAAGTTGAAATAGCATATCGATATAATGTAGCAATCGGAATGCTCGTATCGATAGTTTATGCAATATCGGCTGCAATATTTTTTTGTCGGGCGATAAACAAATAGCACAACAAACTTGTAAAAGAGCGACAAAAAAAAAAAATCAATTGCAAAAAATAACAGTGGAATCCAAGCTAAGCCACATCGCTTATCGGCAACAATTAAAAGCTGAAATCGGTTAAGCGCATACAAGTTCAGCAGCTTATCAAAGCGAAAGGCGTCAACAGTTTGGATTCGCAGTTTCGAGTGCTATTCGCGTTGGCAGTGATTTTTGCAAGTGCAAAGCAGCAAAGCAAAAGAACAAACGAAAAGAGAAAATCTGACGCTGCCGGCGCTGGCATTACCAATACATATATTAATTATTTTCTATTTGTTATTGGTGCTGTGGCTGTCGAGTTCTTTTATTAAAATTTCAAGCAACCATATTGCTGCTCTGGAGGCGAATACAACAGCAACAACAAAAACAAAAACAACGAGAGCAACAAAAGCAGCGCACGCATCAACTGCGACGTCGACGTCGACGAAATGGCGTTAAAAAAAGTGAAGGGAAATTTCGAGCGCATGTTTGATAAAAACTTGACAGACCTTGTGCGCGGCATACGAAATAACAAGGATAATGAGGCAAGTGCTACATCGCCAAATAGATTTGATTGTTGTTGTTGTTTCTGTCGGCCAACAAAACTTGTTAATTAGCTGTCAAACTTTATTTGCATTTGCATTGGCGTAGGCGTGTGTGTTCATGTGTGTGTGTGTGTGTGTGCTGTCAGCATCTGCTAGCTCCGCAAGGCTCAAAAGCTTGACTTAATTAGCGGCAGTTTGTAGCGTCTCGCACTCTATGTCTCTCTCTCTCTCTCTCTCTCCCTCTCTATTAATGTCTTTCAGCTCATTTCCCTGATGTGCCACCTCACACACAGATACAAGCACAGGCACACGCACACCCACACACACACACAACAGCGAATGAGAACGCGTTGTCTGTGCAAAGCCGAACTTTCCTACTAACTTTTGACTTGCGTTTCCTTATCAAACCAAAAGCATTTGCTCTCATGACTTCACAGGAGATCTGCAGCTGATAAAAATTGTAAAAAAAAACTGAATCTTTGGCTGTCGTAGGAATTGGCTTGTGTGTATGTACATATAAGCTGCCCCAACCCGCATCCTTCTGCTGATAGCCAAGCCCATTCTGCTGAATCTCCACAGTCCCAGCAATTTGAACTTTTCTGTTGATATAGCAACAAACGCTCCTTTATGCGCAATCTGCATACCAACTGAAACTGTATTAATGTCAACTGATAGCAGCCGACAGCCCCCTCCCCGTACTTGACCACAGCCACGAACTGTGTTGACCCAACTGAATCGCTTGACTCTGGGGATGATGTTAATTTATAACTTTTGCTTCGATTCGTCTATCACATGGGTCATGCAGACGGGCCATGATACCACAGCGTGATTAGACATGCCTTCAATTGTTTTTGCAGTCTCCATGCACACTCGCACACACTCACACACATATACACATAAAAAGGCCTGAACATGCCAATTGAGGAGCTATTTGGCTTTTGTAATTGAGACCTTTCTTACTTTCTTTTGTACTCCGCAGGCCAAATACATATCGCAGTGCATTGAGGAAATCAAACAGGAGCTGCGTCAGGACAATATCAGCGTCAAGTGCAATGCTGTGGCCAAGCTGACCTATGTAAGTCCACCCTCGATCAACGCGGAGGCGGCTCCCGTGTTGGCCACAGACCAACCGCAGAGTGTCGTAAGAGATTGAAGACAGCCCCTTAATGGAATTCATAAGGAGCTAAAGTTCCAAATACAAGTTAAGATTGGGCGGTTCAATGTGGTGGTATCCATCCTTAAATCACATGTAGCCCTATTAGTTTCTTGATACGAAGAAGATTTCACTTATTGGAAATGTTCGCACAGCTATTCCAGCCAATGTGAAAGCCTATCTGAATCAAGTTACTCTCTCTGGACAATTCCGAATTAGCTCTATTAATAAGGAATGCGCCAGATGTGATCAAAGGCTTGATGCACATCAAGGAATACCACAGGACATCTCACATCTTTCTCTCGAAGGTAGCTAGCCTATGGTTGGTTACTTTATTGAGTTGCTTTGGAATATTATGCCGCACTCTAAATCCAAATGACAAAGTCTATGCTAACTATGCTCAGCAGACGAAACAGCAGTTTTTAATGATAAATAGGCTTGAATTTCCAAGTAGTTAATATAATTGACTGAAAATCACTGTGTTGCAAGGCATTGTATTGACTGCTTTTAATTTTTATAGATACAAATGCTCGGATATGACATCTCGTGGGCAGGCTTTAATATAATTGAGGTGATGAGTTCCTCGCGCTTCACATGCAAGCGAATTGGTTACCTGGCCGCCAGTCAATGCTTTCATCCGGACAGCGAGGTAAGCGCCTGTCAATTCATAAACTTATCAAATCGATCTAATCAAATTGCATTTGATCGATTTGCAGCTACTCATGCTAACCACGAACATGATACGCAAGGACCTCAACTCACAGAATCAATACGATGCCGGCGTGGCGCTGAGCGGTCTTAGTTGTTTTATATCGCCAGATTTATCGCGGGATCTGGCCAATGATATTATGACACTGGTGCGTTTTATTAGATTTGTATGTTCGAGTTGACCGATTTAACTGTATTTGCTTGTTACCTCGCACAGATGAGCTCGACCAAACCATATCTGCGCATGAAGGCTGTGCTGATGATGTATAAGGTATTCTTGCGCTATCCCGAAGCCTTGCGACCTGCATTTCCCAAACTGAAAGAGAAGCTCGAGGATCCGGATCCAGGTGTGCCATTGACAAATATCCATTGGCAGTCCAATGCTAGTTAATAATACTTGTATTCTTAGGTGTACAATCGGCTGCTGTTAATGTCATTTGTGAGCTGGCGCGCAAGAATCCAAAAAACTATCTTCCTTTGGCGCCTGTGTTTTTCAAGCTCATGACCACGTCGACAAATAATTGGATGCTAATTAAGATAATTAAACTGGTGAGTATATGCGGTGCCGTGTTACTCAATGAGTTTCCTTTTTGGTTTTCTTTTTTTTTCTGTTTTTTTTTTTTTGTGTTCAAATAATGAAAACCCTTTTTTTGCTGTACAATAATATGAATAAGAACTGAATATTTGTCTATCAAGTTAATTAACACAACTCCTACTCCTCCACTTCCCTTACCTGCCCAACCAAAAACGATTATTAAAAACAAAAAAATTATTCAAAAAAACCAAAAAAAAAAAAACAGTTCGCGAGCCTCACAACTATTGAACCGGCGCTGGGACGCAAATTGACTCAGCCCCTAATTGAAATTATTTCCAGGTTTTTATCGGCGCGCTTTTATTTATTGAAGCAAGCAGCCATATTAAGAAACTTATTTATTTATTTACAAAAAAAAAATAATAATAATAATAAGATAAACAGCACGCGCTTTTGTTTTAATTTCTTTAAGCATTTCTCCTTAACGATTGAGTTGTAATTCTTGTTTTTTTTGTTTCTTATTCTTATTTGTGCAACTGAAAGTTGTTCCTTACGTTAATTTTCGTTAGATTTTTCACCGTTTACATATATTCACATATATTCACATTCACGATACAATTTGTACACGATTTGAGCCCATTAATTGGACAATTTGTTGTATTTAAATGCAAGAAATCAACTTCCAAATTCAATATCAACTGTAAATGTTGTTATCGAACATCGAGATCCTTTGTCCTTCTGCACTCACCTCACATATATGTGTTTATCCTGCTGTTATCCGTTATGCTACTAAATGTAGGTTCCTGGTTCAAATCATGCGAAAACAAGTTAAAGCTGGTTAAATACTTGAATATGTTGAAATTGGCATTTAAAAAGTTAAATCGAATGTTATACTCCCGTTTGACTCGTATATAAATCGGATGTATCGAAAGCGGACACACATATATGTACACACACACACATATATATATATATATATATATATATATATATATATATATATATATGTGTGCGTGTGTGTCTGAAACACAGCAGGCAGACGCACTCACTAGCCCTCACCGTATGCATACGAGTACATAAATATGTTTATTTACCGCTATTTATTTAAATTAATATACAAACATATGCGTATGTATTTGTTATTTGCTTTACTTTGCCCTTGCTAAGAGATGTCCCTGAGAGTCGCAGAAGCCAACTCTAGTCTAGCTACATGCCGTACATGTCATGTATATATATCTATGTATGCAGTATATATGTGTGTGTATGTACATGGATGTATGTGTGTGATCAATTGATTTTTCAATTAAAAATTGCGTTTATATGTTGTTTTCTATTTTTTTTTTTTACACTCAGTTTAACTAAGTGTTAAGTCTGCATCATTTCTTACATATTTATTTTTATGTCTTTAAAAAGGAATAAAAAATTAAATAATAATAATTTAAAAAACGGTTGTATGTATTGTGTATGGTATAATTTGTTGCTTGTTTCTTTTTCTCTTTGCATATTTGCAGTTTGGCGCTTTAACTCCCTTAGAACCCCGGCTAGGAAAGAAATTAATAGAGCCACTCACAAATCTAATTCATAGGCAAGTTTTTATCATTTACAAAAAAAAAACAAAAAATAAAAATGAAACATAAAACAAAAACAAAAAAACTGCAAAACTGCGCTCTCAGCTGTTCGATGATCGAAAGCTGATGTACAGATAAAAACACAAAAAGAAGAAACAAAAACGAAAACAAAAACGAAACAAAACATAAGCCAATAAAACGCTTGTTAAGTCTCTTATATATGTTCAGTTACATTTGCGCTCTCCCTTCAGCTCTCTTGCGCTTGCTCTCTTGCGCTTACTCTCTTACGTTGAATGCTTCTCTTCGAGCACCAAAATTGAAATCTTTACAGTTATTTTGTTTGTTTTTTTGTTCTCTTATTATTTGCGTTTTTATGCTACGCTTGAATTGTTAGCTGTTTATATATAAGTACATTTATACATAGATCTACATATATATATTTTTTTATTATTCAAGTAGAATTTCTATATATTATTATGCTATTCTTTTTTTTTTTTGCTGTTGCTATTACCGTTGTTGCTGTTGTTGCTGTTGTTGTTGTTGCTGTTGTTGTTTTTTGTTTTACGCTTCTTTTGGGCCGCTTTAATCGAACTGAACTCTTTGATATACCGCCGCCCTAACCCGCCAACCCGTGTCCAACCGTTCAACCCAAACAGCACATCGGCAATGAGCCTCCTCTACGAGTGCATCAACACGGTCATCGCGGTGCTCATCAGCATCAGCAGCGGCATGCCCAACCACAGTGCCTCCATACAGCTGTGCGTGCAGAAGCTGCGCATCCTTATCGTGGACTCCGACCAGAATCGTAAGTACAGCTGCATATCAATCCAATCTGCAGGCTATTGAGCACAAATCGTCATCTAGAAGGGCAGATCTGTCAATTCCTGAACAATACACAAGCTCCTTTTACCCAAAAGTTGTTTCATTTTGTATATAACATTCTACTATCTGATTTAGTATGAAAAGAATACAAATTATTGAAAAACAATAAAGAACGCTCATCGAATATTAGATGCCCTTCTAGAACTCGAAATCAGGTTTTGCAGAGAAATCTTTGAAAGCAATCAACTTCTTTATTTAAGGAGTTTAGTGAAATTCGCATTAGCTGCGTTTTGCCAGGAGAAGCTTACTTCTAACTCACATTTGCTGCCTTTTGTTCATTTCAAGTCAAATACTTGGGCCTGCTGGCCATGTCAAAGATACTGAAAACACATCCGAAGAGTGTGCAGACGCACAAGGATTTGATATTGGCGTGCCTGGACGACAAGGACGAGTCGATACGATTACGCGCCTTGGATCTGCTATATGGCATGGTATCGAAAAAGAATCTCATGGAGATTGTGAAACGCCTGCTCGGCCACATGGAGCGCGCCGAGGGCTCAGCGTATCGCGATGAGCTGCTCTACAAAGTGATCGAGATATGTGCCCAAAGTTCCTATCTGTATGTGACCAATTTCGAGTGGTACATGACCGTGCTCGTCGAGCTAATCCAACTGGAGGCCGGCTCCAAGCACGGCCGCCTGATTGCCGAGCAACTGCTGGACGTGGCCATACGTGTGCCCGTGGTGCGTCAATTTGCCGTCGTCGAGATGACCAATCTGCTGGACACGTTCGCCATTTCGACGCAAAGCAACTCCATGTACGAGGTGCTGTATGCGGCCGCCTGGATTGTGGGTGAATTCTCTGGCGAACTGGCCGATGCCGAGAAGACCCTCAACATATTGCTGCGACCGCGTCAACTACCTGGCCACATCCAGGGCGTCTATGTGCAGAATGTGATCAAGCTCTTTGCACGCCTGGCCACCTCCTGTCTCGAGCTGCAGGATTTGCCCGGCATTGTGCGCGTAAGTAACCGGATCAACCCACAAACTATATTTCTGCATGAATTTGTACAGCTCACCTTTGTCTGGATTTACAGCTGTGCGATCATGTGCTGGAAAAGCTGCAGCACTTCAATGGCTCCAGCGACATTGAGGTGCAGGAGCGTGCCAACTCCGCCTGCATGCTTATCGAAATGCTGCGCAAGCAACTGACTGCAGCTGTGGGGGATGATGAGGAGGCGACAACGGGATCAATACCAAGCATGGCAATTGAGATTGTCCAGGAGATGGCACTGCTCTTTGCCGGCGACCTGATACCCGTGGCGCCCAAGGCGCAGCGCAAGGTGCCGCTGCCGGATGGGCTTGACTTGGATGAGTGGATCAATGCACCGCCTCCGGAGGACGCCAGTAGCTTCTCTTCGGAGCACGACAAGGATGAGTTATTTGTCAGCTCAGCTCACGATGGCACCGGTGTCGGCCATACAGACGTCAAGCGACGCAAGAGCCTCGAGCTGACACCGGAACAACTGGAGCGTCAGCGCATGGCGCGTCTCATCGAACAGTCAAACAATCCGCACTACCTGAAGTCAGCGCCAATCTCTGCATCCGCTGCCATCGGCAGCAGCAGCAATAACTCCAATGCGGATCAGTATGACAATATTGATGACATACCCATAACTGAGCTCCCACTGGACATCGAGGGCGTATCCGCGCTGCGTGTGGGCAGTAAGTAAACCCTATATAACACACTCTCGATGCCTGGCTGATTGGCTATTCATGTGTTGCAGTTACGAAACGTTCGGACAAGTATCTGAAGGAGCAGCAGGCGGCCGCTGCGGCGCACAGTAGCAAAGATGGCAAAAAGAAGCATAAAAAGAGCAAGAAGAGCAAAAAATCAAAAAACAAACTAGCCTACAACAGCAGCTCCGAATCGGATGCGGGTAAGCTTCAGCGAAACAGCAGAGTCCAAAAGCCAGAACACAAATTAATATGAATTGTTGACCCCGTAGAACCGAAGCCTCTACATATTGTGAACACAACGCTGGACATGCCCGAGGGCGTTACGCTGTCCGACAGCGAGGATAAGGACGGCAAATACGATCCAAACGATCCACACCGTGCACTTGACATTGAGCTAGACATGTAAGCTTTATTTCCAGGCTAAATAGTTTCAACATTAACACCAACTCTTTTACAATAACAATCAGGGCTGATTTTGAAGCGCCGACAAAGTCATCCAAGGCTGCGTCAGCTGGCAAAGAAAATCTCAAGGCGCAAACTCAAGCCACGTCCAGTTCAGCAGGCACGGGCACAGGTACAGGCACAGGTGAAGTGGCTGGTAAGAAGGCTAAGAAATCAAAAGACAAGACACGCGAGCATAAAACGCGCAAGGTTCATCCAGAGCCCGATTTGATCGATACGGGGAGCAGTCCCTGCCGGACAGCCACAGACAACGACGGCGGCGGCAGCAGCACCAACAACAATAACATTAACAATAACAACAACAACAACAACACTGTCCAACCCGAAGCTGTCCATAGTCAGCAGAAAAAGAAGAAGCGCGAGAAGAGCGAGCGCAGTGAAAAGAGGGCGCACAAATCAAGCAAAAAACCAAATGATGACGCACCCACAATCACAAGCTCCGCGAACATTATCGATGTGGGGTTTGAACTGGCCGGCGCACAGCCGGCAGAGCCGCAAGCCGAGGCGGCCGTCAGCAAGGGGCATAAGAAGAAGCATAAGAAAGACAAGTCGCAGCACAAGGAGAAGCGGACACAGGAGTCGGCCGCCTCCGACTACGAACAGCCTATGGGCATTTCGACGCCCAGCAAAGAGATTTTCTAGGTACTAAATAATGGAATAAAACACGCATCTTCATCAATGGATCCATTCACGATTTCCATGCAATATGCATAGTTAAGAACTTTGCCATTAAGTTTGAATAATGCCTACTCCTAATCCTACGTCTAAATTATCGCTGCGATATAAAAACAAGTTGAACAAATTTAAAACAAGTACTAGTAATATTTGTGAAGCAAACAAAAAAAAAAACAAACGAATGAAGAAACTTATGAACAAAAAGAAAATATAAGAAGAGATGATTTTCTATTTTTTAAATGAATTTGTAGCCAGGACCAGGCAGTCGATTCCATTATATACAATTTGATCAAAATACAATTATAATATTTTAAATAATGCTAATTGAACAGGATTAAGTGCAAATATACATGCCGTAGAATGTATATAGGTTCATACCATATATATATATATATATATAGAGTGCATAATGTATATATAGTATTAAAAACAGGCAAAATATTGGAGAACATGTAATACCTAGACCTACAACCAATGTGCAAATGTTGCGTCCAATTATTCAACAAGTTGTTTAACTCAATATCTATAAAGATCTGCTAACAATATAGGATACGTATACCCTTGCCCAGCCAAGGTATTATTCACTTGAAGACATCTCAATCGAGCTGAAACAATATGATGTCTGTCTGTTTTCTGGCCAGTTCTCAGTTTAAAGTTCTTGCACGTGTCTTGCTCTTACTTGTTTACCTGTCCGATTAGTTTCCCTTTGGAAATACCTTGCCAAAAGTCCAACAATTGCAAATATGACCTGATTGCAAACTTTTTACAAATACATTTCGTTTCAGGTACGACGAGTATGTCTGCAAGGGTATAGAGTCTTCGGTGCCCCGAAGAAAGCTCTTCTATTTTGTTATTTTTATTTATTTTTTTTTTTAGCAGTAAAACAAAAGGAAATTTGTTTATATATATTCACAACACACACACACACAATAAATATAACAATCAAAAAGAAAATATTTGTTTGTAATTTTCAACAAAAGTTTTTATTGCTGACGAAATGAACCAAATTGTTTTTTAAGCTTTGCAGTTTTTAATAGCTCAGAGCTGCAAACTTGAAGAGAATGAATGAAAGACAATATGAAATTTTTATTGAGATAGATCCCATACGAAATTGAACAAAAAATCAGTTTTCACAAAACGTCCGACTCCGAAAACTGTCCCATAAATATATATTTAAATAGATTGTTGTTGCCAAGGCGCGGCACAGGGATTCAATGAATCGGTTAATCCATGAATCCAAATTAAGAACTTTTCTTTACGAGCCAAGCACTTCTGTTTAGAGAAGATCGCCACGGCTAAAGTTGGTAAAAGGCCGATGATTAGCCAGGCTCAGCGAACCAGGAATCGTCAACCGATTCAAACCGATTCAAACCGACTCGAACCGATTGGAACCGTTTGGAGAAGCCGTTAAGCCAACGACTAACAGTATTTTTTTTAACGGTTCGGATCAATTGAATTATGGCACTAGCTTAAATCGATTATTTGTGTAGCCATAGCTCTGGCGATTTTAATTGGGATCGTAGTAATTATATACATATATATATATATAATATGTATATATATGTATATATGTATATGCCTAGTGAATTTTGCACACAAGAGTCTTATGATAGAACTAAGAACGTTGCAACTCCATTGAGATTCTTGCAGCCTAGACGGGTGGATATTTCTCCTCGATGGAGTGATTGCAATCATGAAGATGATAAATGGAATACCAGTGCATTATCTGCTCGGTGGCGAAACCGAACAGTATGCAGTAGACCATCAGGGCCTTGGCGAAGCAGTGCCAGGAGCTCAAGACCAGGGTGCGTTCCGTGATCTTAAACAATAGTAACGAGTTGGTCACGAACATCAGGCAACAGGTGGATACCCAGGGCATCACGAGGAGCACAAACAACTTCTTGCCAGGCTTGATAATGCCATTGAATTCTTGAATGGGCAGCACTGCCAGCATGGTGAACAGCGCCGCAAGTAGAATGCTCTTCCGGAAGCCCTTGATGGCCGCATGGAACTGATGTGACCGATTCGCGTCCAACGTAATCAGTATGGATACCTTTGGCGTGTGAATAATCAACGCCAGCAGAAGAGTACCGTAAATAACCTTTGCAATTGTGTCCGACATAGTTTTTATTCGATGTTTTTTGTTTGTTTGTTTACTTCTTCTCAATTGTTGCCTTATCGCAGCGGTCGTCAGAATTACTCTTTAAAATTTGGATTCGTCCGGAAGTAAAATAATATGTGTACTAGATTCATGAGCTACACTGTTCAACAATGATATGCTCCAACAGTTTGCTAGACGTGCGCTTCACAGCACTGACGATCGCACATTTCCAAATTTCAGTGCTGTAAAATGCAAGTCCTACTGAGGCGTGCGTCTCGCCAGTACAACCCGTTAGCGTGACAAAAGTCTACACGACGAGCGACAAACTCTACACAAACGAACCACATACCACATTCCAGTTGTAGAAAATGCTCTGTGCGCTTTTGTAGACTTTGCTTGAGTTGACATCTGCTTGAATCGGAAACGGAATTGAAACAATTTGATTCATTTGGTTGTTTTTTGTTTTTCTTTTTTGTTTGTTTGTTTGTTTGTATTTATTTTGAGTTGACTGCAACTAAGGCAGTTGTGTACTGTATTTTAACGGTACGTTTACTGTACTTAAATATTTTGTGTTCTCTTTGCATTTCTTTGCTGTTCACGTCAAACTAGATGCTAACGGTAAACGGTTAACGGTTAACGGTAAACTGTAAACGGTAAACTAGATGTTTTGACGAGCTTGCCTTCTTCCACAGTTTATTTCTTGTTGTTGTTTATAGTTTATGTAAGAAGCATATTATGTCTTGCTCAAATAATTAACTGTTGCTGTTTTGATTTAAATATTTATGTGGTCGAACCTTTCTCTCTTGAGATACACATACACATGTATGTGTATCCTTTGAATCGAATAATGCAAGTGACGCTAGACTAACTAAATGTACACACACATACATGCTTATCATATGCACGTGCATGTCTCTATAATTAATAGTTTTTTTTGTTTTTGTTTTTTGTTTTTTGTTTGCAACGCATTTGCTTAGTCTAATTGTTGATTTTTGGGTTACCAGAAATGATACTTAATTCTCGAATAAATAACTCATCCGCGATCTTGAACTTATTGTATGCTCGCATTTCTTCTATATCATATTTATATGTTATTTCTTAGTTTTTCAATGGCTTTGCTAGCGCATTTTATTAAGGTATATTCATCTTGCTTTTCGTAATTATTGCAGGCCTTTTAAGTTGACTTTGTTAAAGTTAATTTTTTTTTAATTAAAACACTTAACTTTGCTCTTGGTATTTGCGTTTCTATAATTACAGTACAGCTTATGTGCTAATAAATAAAAGTTTTTCTTTAGGTTTTATTTTTTTTTTTTAATATTTAAAGTAACGCCTAATTTTAGTTTTCGTTCTTCTTTTTTTTTACAAATTTTGTAGCTCTGTTTTCCATACTTTTTAAATGTATGAATATATATATATATATATATATATATATATATATATATGATTAATTGTTGGTATAATGCAGTCTTTACGGCAAAACAAAAACATAATTATGCTATTTGATTTTTCACTTGTGTGTGTGTGTGTGTGTGTGTGTGTGTAAACTTTCATTTGACGCTTTAAAAATTACTTGTTTTAAATACGTAATAATAAAAAATATATGTGTATACTATATAAATATTTAGGTTTTTTTTGCATTTAAAGTTTATGAAACCAAATACACTTATTTAGGCGTTTGCTTCTTGCTTTTGTTGTTGTTGTTGTTGTTGTTGTTGTTGTTGTTGTGAAATAAATAATATCTCAACTGTTTTCGAAATCAATTGCCAATTTATTGAGAATAATATGTGCCTATAATTGCATTTATTCTTTTGTTAAAATTTCTTTTTTTTTTTTAAATTGAAGCTTGTGTCATTTTGTGTTTTTCTTCTCTTTTTTGTTTTTTTTTTTTTTTATATTAATTTAAATTAATTTTTTGAAGGCAGTTAGAAGTGAACTTCACTTTAAGATGTATCTCAACTTATCTAGTTTTTGTCAATTTTCAATTATTTTCCCCTTTCGCAGTTTTTCTTGCTTTTTGTTTTTGTCATTGTATTGTTAACAGTTACAGACTACGTAATGTTAATTGTTTACATTTGCTTAGATTGCGTGTTTTGGCTTACGTTTAGTATTCAAATTTGAAGCTTCGATTTGTATATGCATCTCTTCCTCTTCTCTGGCTAGCATTCACACAAAAATACATTTTGGTTTTGCTTCTTGGTTTCACACTTTTATTTGTTCCCTAAAGGCAATTTCTTTTTGTTTTTGTTTATGTTTAAGTTTGTTTTTTTTTTTCAAAATATATATGTATGTATATATGTGTGTGTATAAGTATTTGTATTAATTTAGGCATTCATTGATGTATGTACATGAAATTCTACACTAACAAAATGAATACATTCAAATGAACATGCAGTAAAACTCTAGTTAATATCGCCAAGTTGATATATGTATGTATCTATGTATGTATGTAGTATATGTGTAGTTATTTTATTATTTGTTTCTGCTAATGATTTGTTTTTTGATTATGCATAATTTAACGATATGAACGAATTTCTGATTTTCAAGGACCTCAGTGGTGGTGGCATAGTTGAAAGGAAACAAAATTCAACCAAATTTCATAAGGCAGAAACTTGAATACCCATATGAACTTGAAATAACTGTTGTTGTTTTTTTTTCAATCTAGGCAATGAACTCAGCATGAGTGTACGAAAAGAGAATAATAAAAGAAAAAGCTACATCACTTTGTATGCATAACACATACACACACGCATACATGTGTGTGTATGTGGTGTCAATATGTTAGTGCGGATTCTGCAACGCTTGCTGCGCAATATAAATAATACGTAACGCAACGTAACGTAACGTAATGTAACGCATTTACATTGTGTTGTGTATTGTTAATAATATTACAATAAATATTCACAATTCCGTTTTTTTTGTTTTTTTTTTTTTTTTTTGCTTAATGTACATATGTTTAAATAATTACGTATGTACAAATTATGTTTATTGAACAATTTGGGCTGGCCTTAATTTGTGTTGTGTACGTTCTGCCACAAATGTTAACAAAAATTGTATGGCATGGAAGCGATGTGTTACGATTTACTTTTTGTTATATGATTGTACAATTTGCTATTTGATTTAGTTTGAGAGGGGTTCCATGAATATGTGGGACGCTAATGAACCAAAGAGAAAATGCACACCTACAAATTCATATGCATGCATGTATGCACGTATGTATGTATGTATTTATGGACGAGCCCATGCATATGCATCTGCCCGCGTTTTCTACTTCTACTCCCACTCATTCGCTCTTACTCTCATTTCTCTCTCTAGCGCAAGCATGTGTGCGTGAGTATTTTATGCGGCAAAGAACTAGCGATGGTATTTCAATCCACTTTCTTAACATGTTAATGCCTTTCTTGTTGTTGAAAATCAACTGTACATTGTGCATACAATATGCATATGCATGTATGTATGTATGTGATTACATATTAGACGCTTATGCCCATCTTCTCTCCTTGTTTAATGCTATCTTGCTGTTTGCTTTACATGTACGTTTCTTTCGTTTGTAAACGTTTAATGAACAGTATTTATTGCTTATGATTTTGCTGTCGTCACTAATTTTGAATGCAAGTATGTATGTGTGTGTGTGTTGTGTGTGTGTGTTGTGTGTGTGTGTGTGTGTGTGTGTGTGTGTGTGTGTGTGTGTGTGTGTGTGTGTGTGTGTGTGTGTGTGTGTGTGTGTGTGTGTGTGTTTGTTTGTGTGAATGCGTGAGTACGCATGTTAAATACATACATATAGTTTATGAACTACATTTTTTGTTTACACTTTGTTTTTCTTCATTTTAACAACACAGGAACAAGTTTGAAATCTTAAAAATTATGAAAAAAAAAAAAAAAATGTTGACGCGTAAGACTTAATTATCTTACTGAATGCGGATAATTGGCAAATTATAATATGTATTTCTGCCCTTTCCATATGCAATGTATAAAGTATAAATTTAATGAATTAAATGTAATTTGTTTTAGCATATTTTGCGTATTTTTGTTATTGGTTTACAAGTGACCAGATATAAGTGTAGTATGCATATGTAAATATAATTTCTTAGATTTGAATTTTTAAAGCACTTAAAATAGTTTAAAAACAAACAAAATTAATATTAATCCCTTACAGTAATAATAATGCACTACATTAAAGTTCAAGCGCCTGCTGTTGGTCTAGAACTCGAATCTTCTATATATTTAAATTAATTGATGTTATTATTAAATAAGAAATCCAAAAGTCAAAAATAAACAAATGAAAAAAAAAAAAATACTAATAAAATGTGCTAATTAAAAGTTTATTTTTGTTGGGATTCGCTATGCGCAATGGCGGCTGTTGAATTGTGACGTCAGAGCCGCGATACATTTGCTTAATATGTTAAATGTAACAGCGGTTGTGCAGCAAATTCTAAGAGTTCTGTTTAACATTGAACTAAATGTAAATGAAACATAGAACTAAATGTATTCCATAGTGTATTTGCTTTAGTTTTTGTTTTTGTTTTTGTTTATGTTGTAATGTAGTAACAGTATTTATTAGGCGGTGGTTCCTCACATACGCAGTTACATATGCATTAACGATACAAATTGGTATCAAAGAAATCGATTATGTCGATCGATCTGTATATATATATATATATATGTGTGTGTATGTGTATGTGTGTGTGTATGTGTCTGTGTTTGTGTGCAATAGTTTATTAAGTTTCAGTTTCCACTTGTTCCTTTGAGTTCGGGTCGCTGTTGCAGGTTGTTGTAACTGCAGTTATTGAGGGTTTTAATACGTATATGTAAATGATATATTTATTTATACGTATGTGTATGTGTAGCGCACATAATTGCTGATATTTGTTGCATTTAGTCTATATGTGTATATGCCTATGGTAAATCAAATTTATACCATTTCGTAAAAGCTGATCAATTGTTGAATCGCGGTGTCCGTAGTTTCCTGTACTTTAAACTACATACGTACATTGCTCTGTCTAAACATAATCTGAAAAAGGAATAAAACAAAAGATGGTTAACCAAATGTTTATACTAGCAATAAACAAAGCAATTGGTTTAAAAACTCACCTTAAATATAAATATTTGGCTCTTGTTTTGTTTTGTTTTTTTTTTAATAGAAAATATTTGATTTGGATTTTGAATTCGCCGTCCTCTGTTGATGTTGATGTTAATGCTGCTGCAGTTGCCCTTTCCGCTTCTGATGCGCATGGATGCATGTATGTGTGACTGTGGCTGTGTGTGTGTGTATTTGTATGTGCATGTGTGTGTGTGTGTTTGCTTGCTGTGTTCTGTTTCCATTATGTTAAGCTTATGTTAAATGCATTGAAAGAGCACATAAGAAAAATACACATCATGCTTATATGTCTGTCTGTTTGTGTGTGCGTGTGTGTGTTTGTGTGTGTTGAGCATGCTGCATTTTTCTTTGTGTCTTTCTTTTGTAAAAAACTCTCGATAAATTTGGCATAGGCAACTTCTGTTATCAACAAATTCAATTAGCTTGCTCTGCTTGGATCATCGATGCTGCGCTGGCTGCGCTGCTGCGCTGGCTGCTCTTAAAAGTGCATATCCAAGTCATCCTCATCCTCCTCGATCAGATCGTCCACTTGGAAATCCGTTGGGGAGAATGTCTCACGTTTCGTGTAGACGCCGCCATCATCGTAAGCTGTCGCCGAAACACCAGCTGCAGCATTGCGCGCTCTGGAGCTGCTCTGCTTGAGCACGACATCGACGGGAATGAGCGGCGGCTTGTTGTTGCGCAGCTTATTCGCCGCACTCGCTGTCGCAGTCGCAGTCGCAGTAGCAGCGACGCCGACAGCGCTGTAGCTGGTATTGTAACTGGCGACGGCGGTGGTGGCAGTGCGCGCAATGGCGCCGGCAGTGACTGTCGCCGTGGAGCCAGGATCATTGTAGCGCGGACGTTTGTTTTGCAGCTTTGTCGCCCAGCATTCGGTGGCGCGGCGTCGGGCATTGGCACAGATATTGTCGCCGGTGCTGCTGCTGCTGTTGTTGCTGCCTTTGGCGGCGTCGCTAGCATAGCTGACGTGGCGGCGCTCCATTTGCGTCAGCTCCTGCATGTCCTGGTAGCTTTTATATTGCTCAATGCGGCGCGCCGTGTATAGGGATGCTGTGGGCAGGCTGTTGGCGGCGCCAGCTCCTTGCGGCCGGCTGGCATTTGTGTGTGCGGCGGTGGTGTTTAAGAATATATCATCATCCTTGACAGCGCTCTTCCCCTCCAGCAGCGCCAGTTGATCGTCCAGCTCGTTGAGATCGTCCCCGCCCTGGGCTCGCTGCTTTTGTCGCAGATGCTGCAGCTCCTCCGCGGAACGCTGCTTACGGAACTCATGCACCAACGGGTAAATGTGCTGTATGGCGGATTCCACGTCATTCACGCTGGCGGCTGTGGACACAACAAATTATTAATAACCTTCTCTAGATGAACAAAACGTTTACGAAAACAACAGAAGCGAAGCTAAAAATCTAGTTTCCAAAAAAAAAAAAAAAACAAATAAAACATGTTTTTCGACAGATTATCTGAGATCCGTTGCAACAAATCAACTGTCTGTCTGTCTCTCTCTCTCTCTCTCTCTCTCTCTTTCCCTCTAGCAATGCACAAACGTTTACGAATGTGATAACAAAGCAAAGCAGCTGATAATGTGAAATACTCTGACAGCAAATGTAATTTCAGCTATACATTTGTTTTTGGAAGCATTGCAAAGAGTTGGAATTGTCGCTTTTGTCGCTCACCTGTTACCGTTATGCTGCCCGTGGAGAAGATCTTGAGCGTGGCCTTTGGCTCGCGCATCTTGTACGTAACACCCGGATGCAGTTCGGGCTCGTAGCTGGCATTGTCGCGATGGCGCTCCGAGAAATTGACTATTTTAATTGCCCAGGGCATGCTACAGGTGCCCAGCACATTGACGATCCGAAAGTTCTGGAAGTGCGTCGGAAAACCCAGCTTGCTCAGGCAGCGCGCGTACCGACGGGCGGCGATCTTGGCCTGCAATCAAACGATTGTGAGTGTGTGCGGAAGAGAAATGCTATGCTATTTGGTTGCAGGGCGGGGGAGCAGAAGGAGGAGAAGGAGGAGGAGGAGGAGAAGGAGGAGGAGAAGGAGGAAGAGGAGGAGGAAGAGGAGGAAGAGGAGGAGGAGGAGAAGGAGGAGGAGGAGGAGAAGGAGGAGGAGGCTTACCTGTGATTCAGATGTGGCACCCGTACACGTGATCCGGCCCGATGACCAAATGGAGGCGGTCGTATAGGGACGCCGCAACTTCATCGTAACCATGCCGTTCTCCCGCCTGTACTCCACATTGGAGCCATTGAGCGCGATCTCGCGCAACTTGAGATGACAGCGAACACTGAACGAGCAGACCACATTGTTTATCACAATGTCCAGCTCGGGCTCGGCATCCTGGTCGGCGGACTTGATTGAGTTTGGCGCTGATGACGTTAGCAAGGCCAGTGGCTCCTCCAGCTCCTGCTTGATCTCAATTATGTCTCCAATTTCGTTGCCAATCTGCAGCTCCTCGTGCTGCAGTTCATCAATCACAGTCGCTGGCTGTTGTTCTTGTTGTTGTTGTTGCTGTTGTTGTTTTTGTTGTTGTAGTTGCTGCTTGTTGATTAACAGCCTGTTGCCATTAGGAACTGTTGTTGTTGCGGTTGTTGTTGCTGTCGCTGCTGTTGTTGTTGTTGCTGCTGCTGTTGTTGTTGCTGCTGCTGCTGCTGCTGCTGCTATCAACTTGTTGTTGTTGTGGTTTGGGGTGGCAAAGATCAGCGGCTTGCTGCCATTAACCAACACCATGGTGTCGCCATTGAGCAGCTTCCGTTGCCCAACACTGGTGTTCAGCTGCTGCACCGGCTGCAGTTTGCTAAACTGCGAAAAGTAGCGCACGGTGCCAGCTGTGCTGGTGGATGCTGCCGCATTTGTATTGTTGCTGTTGTTGTTGTTGTTGTTGTTGTTGTTGCTGCTGCTGCTGTTGTTGTTGATGTTGTTGTTGATGTTGTTGTTGTTATTGCCCGCTTTGGCAGTGGCAACGACGCCAACGCCTGCGGTTGCAGCGCCGCTGACAGTTGTTTGTCGCGCAGCTAGATGGTAACTGGAGGCGGGCGTCAAATAGACGCGCTGCGCATTTGTCAACACTGTACCGGCAACGCCGACGCCGACGCCAACGCCAACGACGGTGCCGCTGCCGTTGGCTGCCTTAAGGCCGCCGTTCATATTGGCCGCTGGTATGCTTACCATGTTGTTTTGCATTAGGCCGCTGCCCCCCACCGCCTGCACTTGCTTAAGTATTTGAAAATGTTTTTATTACAGTTAACTTTGCACTATTTTCTCTTTGTGCCTCTCTCTTTATTGCCGTGTATCGCAGCAGAGGTACGGCAATAGCGGGTTCTAAAGCACTTGCTAACGTAACTGCTGCTATTCCTGCTGGGTGTTCATCGCTGCCCACTGCTGCGCTGCTGCTGCTGCTGCTGCTTTCGTCTGGCAGCGGCTGCGGCTGCGGCGGCAGCGTTGACGGCGCTCAAGACTAACAAATGTCGCGCTTGATGCTGCTTGCTTCTTTTTTTTTAGTAGTTGTTGATTCGCTGCAGCTGTTGCCAGAGTTGCCGTACTGCACGATTGTTGATTTTCTGCTTCCTGTTGCCTGTTCGTGCTCTTGTCTTCTCCTTGCTGTCAGACAGAGAGCGAGAGAGAGTGCGAGAGAGAGAGAGAGAGAGAGAGTAGGCGATAGTTCTTTTTCTTGTTCTATTGACGGCTCTTTGTAACTGTCGCTGTTTGTGTTATTAGCTTGTTTTAGCCTACTTAGAGCGTAGCCAGATTTCTTCCTTTTATCGCGAATGCAATTTCTTATGGTAATATACTAGTGTTTTGTTGTTGTATATAAGGCTAAAGTGATTTTTGTTGTGTTCGCTGTTTGAATGATGACAAAAAACAAATACTTTGCTTTTTAGATTTAAATTAGGTTTTGATTTGTGGCTGTTGTTATTATTATAATTATTATTATTGCTAGTCTTCCGTTCTTTCTCCTTGTTTTTTTTGTTTTTTGTTTTTGTTTTTTTATGAATTTAGCTTGGGGTTTTGTTGTTCCTTGTTAACAGTCTGCAACGAGAAAGCAAACAATCGTATATGAATATCAATTGATGGCACGAAAATCAGCTTATTTTGTTTATTTTTATTCAACGCTTGCCTAGCTCAGACAGAGTACGAAATATGTCAACCCTCACCTTGCCAAATACTGCGAACATAACAACAGGTAGCTGACGTCGACGCAGCTCTGCCTGCAGATGATGCATGCAAAACAAAACATCAATGAAATCGATGACACACATCGCATATGGCTATCGATATGCGTATAAAATATACATACATACATATACATAGATATGCTCATACATATGCATTGGTTACAGTTCGAAGTGCCTAAATGTATATGTATGATACACGCCCACCCACAACAAAATCGAACAACTATCAACAGCTGAGCACGCCTAACAGCTGTTGCTAACAGTCATCTGTTTGTTAACAGCTCATAGGATCGCATAGCAGCAACAGCGGCGACAGCGAATTCAACCTTAACCCAGTTACGCTGCCTGGGGTGGCCTGGTCGGACCGATGCAAAATGCATGTATGTGCGTGCGTGTGTGTGTGTGTGTGTGTGTGTGTGTGTGTGTGTGTGTGTGTGTGTGTGTGTGTGTGTGTGTGTGTGTGTGTGTATGGCAACTGTTAGGCGAGGCGTCGATTTGCTGTTTGCCGGTGCAACTTTTGGGTCAAGGGCGGCATGCGAAAAGTGGCACACACGGCATCAAAATGTGGCGCGATGTCAATTGAGCACAACGTTGACGCAACTGCAGCTACGAAACTGCGACTACTGCAGCCGCGCTGCAGTTTGTCATTTAGCATCCAAAATCAAATGCACTTGCTAACGCACACAAGCACACCTACGCACACACATGCAAGCGCACGGCGACAGAATACCGCAAATGAGCAACAACGACTGCGAACGTGAAGCTGCAACTGCTGCTGCTCAGCTCTGCTATTTTTAGAGCGGCCGGGCGGGTGGTTGGGTGGTCGCTTGGTCGGGTGGTCGGCCAGGCGAGCAACGGCAGCAAGTGCAAATCAAAAATTGTTATTGTAAATTAGCGCAAATTGAGTTGCGGGAACAGCGGCAGCTTTAATTGTAAATTTGCGCTAGTTCGCTCTGTGCTTGTTGTTTGCATTAAAGAATATGACAACAAGTAACATACATACATATGTATGTCTAAATGTAAATAATTCAAAATATTTGACAAACGCTTGCTTCACACGCGAGTGCTATTAAATTGTTATTATTATTGAATCATGTCTCTCTCCTCCCACAACATGACTCACAATCAGCTGTGCAGCAGTGACTACGCTAAGGGTAACGAGTGAAACACACATACATACATACATACATAATTGCTCATCTGTTATGCATCTGCAAGCGTGCGTGTGTGCGTGTGCTTTGTGACCCAATATATTTATATATGGGCACATCAGCTGAGTCTGACTTTAATTTGTAAGAGCTCTTATTTATTTTGAAATTGAAAGATCAATTCAATTGAATAGCATATTTTATTTTTTTATTACATAGTTACTCAATTGGCGTAGAAAGCCATAACAGATATACATACATATGTACATGTATGATGCGTTGTGCGTGCGTGCGTGCGTGAGTGCGCGCGTGCGTCGCATTCTGTTGCTGTAGCCGCTTTTATCCGACTATTTTTGACGGCGGCAGCAGATAAAGTCAGCAAAAATCTGCTTGTCGAGAATGTTCGGTTTGCTGATACCCTATACCGAACACAAAATATAAGTGTACATGCATTCTTTTCGAGATTACATATAGTAAATTTCAATTATAGTTGGTCAAAAATGTCTACAAAAATCAGCGAGTGGATGTATATCAATACATATAAGTATATATATATATATATATATATCACCGTTATTCGATTCAGGCGTCAATAGATTCGGATAACAAGTATGCCTTTTACTGAAATTGCCAAGCCCTTTTTAGTCAACTACAGGGTATACGACACGCGAAACAAAAATATAGGAAGCAATAAAACTTAAAAGAAACAAATGCACAATAAAATGCAAATCAAATGACAAATGACAAATGTGTGTGCTCATTGCTTGAATTTCAATACAAAATAGCAGAAATGTAAAAAAAATTTATTTGCCCAGCAATAAAATTTGAAATATGTATGCGCAGACGAAGGCATCTGCGATGTTCAACTACACAAACATACAGATGAATGCGTATGAATGTACATACATATGTACATACATATGTACAAACATATGTATTCAAATTCATAGGTAAGGTGCATTCTATCGAAATCGAAATTTGAATTATTTTACAACACTGCATGTATGTGTGTATACATGACAGCCATTTTGGCAATTGTCCATTCAGCTATGATACCCTGTAAATGGTATTTGAATCTCTTCACTTAACGATATACAGTTATTCTAGAGCAATCGATTCGATGCGAAAAGTTTACATTTTCCCAAGCTGAAACAAGTCTATTAACCAAGGAAAAAATCTGACGAAAATAAATAATTCAGTTGCAAGGGTATTATAATTTCAGCGTGCCGCAGATACCCCTTATTTTTTCTTTTACTTTATTTTTTTATTAATTAAACGCTTAAAACAGCAAAGTTAAATAAAAACAAAAGGCGTAACAACGAAAGCGTACGGGAACGACCCCTAGATACCTGTGCACATACATATGTACATACATGTGTACATACATGTGTGCATATGTATGCATGTATAATGTGCGTCAGTTCATTAACCTAGAACGCGAACAAGTAAATGCGGTAAGTCCGTGCGATCGACTATGACACACCTCACCTAAATTCAACATACATATGTATGTATGTATGTATGTACTTCTAATTGGAACGCTTATCAGCGAGAGAGCGAGTCCTAGACGACATCTTCGGAGCTCTCTCATTTCATTGCTATCCCACAGATTTGAATAAGGCTTTATGTGATCAATATGCATGCATGTACAATACAAATGCAATGCACACATTCATACACACATAAACATTTGAATATCTCAAATACATACACACATGCACAACAATATAATAAGTTCTCTCAGTGATTAATTCCGCGCTCATATTTCCATTGTGATAAAAAACTCAGAGCAAAAAAAAAATAATAATATACGCATATATTGTATATATAAATACGTACATATAAAAATACACCTGTGCTCAGAACATTTGCTAGCCACAACCTTTTAACCTTTCATTTCCATGCAAAGATCTAAAACTTTAGAATAACCAACAATACATGCATACATGCGTACATGCATACATGCGTACATGCATACATGCGTACATGCATACATGCGTACATGCATACATACACATGTATTGATATTGGCAAAAAATGCCAGTCAACGTACCATAACACAACAAATATGCACTCACATATGTGCACATACAAATTTGTGCATGTGTATGCGTGCGTGCACATACATACATACTTCAAAAGGCAAAACAAATCGCGTACAAAAAAAAAAAAAAAGAGAAGCAAAAAAAACCGTAGCTGAACTTCGAAATTCAGGTTCAAGGCCAAATGACAACTGTTTTCTAGCAATGGCAACAAAACGAAGACATCCATACATATGCATATACACATATACACATGCACAAATACACACATACAAACACATGTAGCGAGGCGAGGCGAGGCGAGGCACACATTCATACACTCAGAAATTGTCGCTTGTTGTTGCCAAATAGCAAAAAGCACAAAATCAATCGATTTCTGCATAAAGCTCGGGGTGGGAGGGGTGGTAGCCCGCCCAAGAGACTTTAGACTTCCATTTAATACGGATTGACTATACGTAAACAACATATATATGTACATATGTATGTTAGTGCATGTACATATGTACATTTTTAGCGGGTTTTACCCGGCTTTGCCCGGATCGCCGCTCACTTCACGCTATACCTGAAGTCTCCCCCTTTTTCCACTCGGCAGAATTGATTTTCTGCAATCGATGGATGCTACGTTTAGATGGTTTTTAATAAAAATGGCTCAACATGTCTTTATTCTTTTCATTATGTGGAGTTTTAGAAATAAGTTTGAAGCCGATCGGATCAACTTGATGCGGATGATGTTGCTGTCGTATTCTCGGACAAAGAGCTAATCGCACACGGAACTAGGCCCATTTCCTACTCTACTGATAGTAGATGTAGCCATTAGCTATACTAGACAATAATTAGACCAGGGGTATGTATGTGTCCATAACTATGCATAGTCCATTTCGCTAAAAGAGTAAAACTCACCCCTTTCGGTGAAAATCGGGTTTCAATGAATGATTCTTGTGAATTCAGTTGTGTGGAAAAGCGGGCGATATGTGTAAAATCGAAACTTATAAAAAGTAGGTTATAAAGCTGAACTGCATTTTTGATCTTCTGTTATAAACATCACGAAAAAACAAAACATGATTTGCACAAACACAAAGAAAACTTGAATATTGACAAGATATTAGAAAAAATATTGGGATTTACGAAATGATGAATGAATGAATTTGATGAGGCATCTTTGAATGACGAATTAAAAATTGTATAAATAAATAGACACTTCACCCGTCTATGTGAAATTTAGTTACTTTCAATTTGGATAAACGATCAGCTTCTATTTAACATTTACCTTACATATTTTGTGTAAATGCAGCTAACAGTAACAATAACAGACTGTTAAACACAAGTTAATACAAGATTTGATTAGTTGACAATTTCCTGTTAATCACAGAATGTTAAGTGTGTTAAAAGAGTAGCTATGTTGGGCACCAGAAAAGATCAAGCAATAGAGAAAAGCAAATGCAGCAAACAGTGCCAAATGAGTAAATGAGCAAAGCTCGCCGACAGACATACTACTCAAATGTTTGATGCACCGTTATACATAGTTCGCACCACAACTGTTTTTTTTTTTTTTTTTTTTTTTTTTTTTTTTTTTTTGCAAAGAACGTAACACACACCAAACCAATTATTGTATTAATAGTTTTTGTTTTACTTTTATTATAGAACGTACACATGTATGTGTATGGATGCATTGGAGTATGCGTGTGTTTGTATACATATGCATGTGCATGTATGCTTCCGTTCCATATTTCTAGAAATTTAAGTGTTATCAACAACAAAAACGACAATATAAACAAGAGTTCCCTTATAGTCTCCGACTAGGCGATGCCCTGTACGCAGCTTAAGGCTGACGAAAATGCGTACTTCCCAAATTTGTATACTTATCGAAAACTGGCATTCCACGAGTAGTGTATATATTTATGTGTATCGATATTTATCGATTTTAGATTAAGATCGATTTAATCCAAAAAGCGTTATACCAAACTTAATTTCTATATTCACTTGACGCATTCATACCCCTTCTTTTCAATAGGTACGGGGTATAGCATGGGCAGTAAGAGCCCCTCTACTGCAAATGAAACGAGTAAGAGGATCTAGTCGGGAGCTCCCGACTAGGGGATACCCTGAACCCTCTTCTTCCAACATCAAATGCAAATATATATACTATCCTAGAAGCTACATGTCAAGTTTGGTGACCGTAGCTCTTATTATTTACCAAAAAAAACAGGATTTCGATATCGATTTTTATTGATTACTTGGAATCGGGGCAAGTTATCGAATATTGGAAACTAACTCGATCTGCACGGGCACTAGAAGGACTTACAGCTATAAAGTTTAAGTCTGTAGCTCTTATAGGTTCTGAGATCCTTGCGTTCATACATACGGACGGACAGACAGACGGACGGTCATGGCTAGATCGACTCGACTGTTGATGCTGATCAAAAGTAACAGAACTATGAATATCATTCACGCTCTTCAGATTTTGCCTTTGCTGCCCACTCACACGCACGCAAAGAGCACATACATACATACATACATACATGCATGCATGCATATGTATGCATGTAGTATCTATGCTGTTACTGTTATATTGACGCTCTTGTTGCTTTTTATCAGTGCTATTTTGAAGCTTGAATATGCTGCTCGAAAGCGAGACTCAATTTCAACGCACACATGCATACATACATACATCATGTGTTAGATTAGTGCTTAAATTGTGGGAAAGCTTGCGATTACTATATAATGACATCACAATTATCGTTGGCCGGAAATAATATCGTGCACATTCACATACATGTGTATGCATACATGCATATGTATATTTATGTATGTATGTATGTCTATGCAAGAAGTTTAGTACATGATTAAGCGCGATCGCCAAGCGCAGCGTCAGCCAGAGAGAATGACGGGTGAGCCGACGCACGCTGTTCTTTGCACGGCTATGGTAGCCACTTTTTTTTTTTTGCTGTTGACAAATGTAAGTCGCCAAGACGGCGTTTAGGTTTCGGGGCTTCGATGTTTTAGGCCGCTGCCTGTTCTCTAACGGTATGAATCATAGACATTTCATCATCTGTTGCAAAATGTACAACAGTTACGCTTTAAGTGCGTCATAAATACTCATTTCCCCCCACCACTAATATATCAAACAATTGTATAAACGCTTGTATAACTGCAATAAGAATGCATAGAAATTGAAACAAAAAGCTCAGGGTGAGGTGCGTGCTTATGCTTGTTTTTGTGTGTGTGTGTGTGAACTCTGTTTGGCAGTCATGCGTAAACAAACCTGTTCATGGAGTAGCGGGCGCTTGGCAACAACAATATACAAAATACTCGCACAACAGGTGACTGCGTAGAGCTTGAATTAATAAGTGCATATGTATATGTATATGCATAAATGTATGAGTTTACATAAGTACACAGCGTAACAGTGGCCTGAATGTAGAGAGCGTTTACAGCAGCATGTTAACGCCGAACAGAAGCTGTTAAGTCCAGAGGCATGACCCAATTTGTATGTGTATATATGTATGTATGTTTGTATTTGACAAAGCAGCTGACCGTGTTCATAACAGCAGCAACAACCATCACAAACTCAGCAAAGAGGGGCAATATATCATACACACATACACACATACATATATATGCAAAAGTACGTATATACATACATATATGTTTTATTGATTAAATGCAGTTGACGCATCGTGCTGTAACGCCAGACGCTCAAAAGTGCCAAGAGTTTGTCGCCATTTCCAATTGACATAATCAAATTTATATATATGTACATACATATAAAAATATGGTATGATTTATATAATTGCAGGACCCAGCGCTCAGCCGAGCTCAAAATCTGTACAGATCTGTATGTTAGTGGGTGCGTGCGCATGTGCATGTGTGTGACGTCAACCGTATTTGCGGGTGAAGTGGACCGACGACAGCGCTGCTCGCCCCCGAAGCAATCAGCTGCAGGTGTCCAAAAGCACTGCAGCAATGCCGTTAGACTTATGCCAGCTAACAGTTGCCATGCGTTTATGTAAATGTACATATGTACAATAACATATGTATATTGATATGTGTGCAGCCTTATGTATATTTTATGTTAAAAGTTCTATCGAGAATATTGACATGGGCATTTTTAATGCATTAGACGCATTCTGTCTGAAACTCTTATTTTGGACAAGTCTAAGCAATTTTTTTAATGGAGAAACAAGGCTTTACAAAAATCAGAAACACCTGTCGAACCCAAACGTTCTAATCAGCAACAATTATTGATATTTCAAATGCTCTCAAATAAAAACAGCTGATTTTAGCATAGTAAATCACTTGACGATAAAAAAAAAAAAAAAAAACAATTCTTAAAACAACAATATAACAGCATCTGCATCTGCAGCACGACAAAAGCCGCACTTGCTAACAGAAGCAACAAAATGAAGAGAGAAAAACAAACGTTTTTAGCGGATTTACAGACAAAACCGGTTTAACATTAACAAAGTGCATAAACATATGTGCTTTATATGTATGCATGTGCATACGTGTAAGCCGCCTGGTGCATAGATGTGTGAGAGTCTAAGAGAGTGAGACCGGCGTCTTGTTGCCGGCTATTTGGATAATACTATCGGCCCAGTGCGTCATCGATAGTTACATATGTACATGTATTTGGTTACTCAGCGTCCGAATCAGAGACGGAAGAGACGCCCACGAACGCTCTCTCTGTATTCGCTCACGACTGGACGAGTGTTTCGTTATCGATACTCGTTATCGATAGGCGATTGCAGTCACTCACCTCTTAATAGTCCTTAATTAGTTTTGTTGGAAATCTCGACCAAGGAGCCTGAAAACAAAAGAAATAACAAAATTAGATAACGATATCAAATATTTGTTAACTATTGATTTGAATGCCCAACGATTTTCTATAATTTGGATAATCAGCTTTGATGGCAACATTAACTTGTTAAGAATATTTGCTTGCAAGTGAAATGGCAATACATAAGAAAGAAGAAGAGGAGAGAGAGCAGCAATCACTTTAAAACATAAAATACTCGTCGAGAATTGTACATGCACATACATGTATGTATGTATGTATGTACGCGAAATGAAAAACATACAAAAAAAATTACAAAAAAAAAAAATTGAAATTCCAACTTATCGAGATTATGCTGCATATAGCATTGTAGCGTAAATCTGAAACTTTTAGTTTACGAATCAGAATTGAAATATTTGTGATACGTTCTTTTTGGATTTCAGCTTTCTGACGACTTGAACGAACACGATCCACTGTTTATACACACACACACACACACACACACACACACACACACACACACATGCATACATGCATAAGCAGATAAACACACATACACCGATATAAATTGCGATGTTAGAAATATGCTGAGAGAAGCAGAATGTGCGACGCACAGTTTGTAAAAGCTTAAGAGTTGGCTGGCAGGGGTGGGGGGAGCGCATGGTCTTATCGAAAAAACAGTTATCGGGTTAACATAAACATTAAGGGAACCTACTTAGACCGGATGTATATAGGAATGTTTCTGTTTTCATTTGCCTATGTACAACAAATAAGTTGCAGTTGTTATTGTTGCAATGAATGTATGAATGTATGTACATGCATGTGTGTGTGGCAGTGTTGAAAAATGTTTGCTGACATGCGCCATACTTAAAAAGGGATCCCATTAAAAAAAAGCAGAAGGAAAAAACACTTGGTATCCCTAAGCAAAGGAAAAAGGGCAAAGACAAAATGCAACCCCAAATGCCGACATCTCGCCCTTAATTCAGTTCAAAAGATGTCAATGAACCACACAAAAAGGAGAAGCTGTACTCAATGGGATAGGGAACACGACAACAAACTCCAAGTCGTTGACATTTTTGGGTTCCCATAATGCAACAACAACAGCTCGCACAGCTGTCGATTTATTATGATTAACTGTTAACCGAGGCGCCGCCAGACAACATGGCTTTGCTGAAATTTGTTTTTTGGCAGGATAATGAAATCAATATACAGACACAGCAGCAGAGTTTAAGTGGAAATGTGCTTAAAAGCTTGCCAATGCAAAAGTTGGAGACGCTGTCTGGCAGGCCAATAACACACACACACGCACACACACACACAAACTTACGGCGAGTGCAGACAGCTGAGAACAGAGAAAGACAGACAACAACAAAATAAAATGTTAAACGCTGCTCATCATAAGACTGACCTTGACCGCAGTTACCGTTAGGTGGCGAAACACAATTTTATTTACTCTACATCGAAAGCTACTTACATACATATGTATGTATTTATTATATATTATATTATTAAATATTTGTATTACTTTACAACGTGATCGAAGCGTAAATCAATTAAACTAACATAAATATGTATGTTTGTTAATACACATATATACACACATGTGTGCATGCAATTGCTTGTGTAAGCATACGCGTTTACACACATACTAATGCCACGATTTGGTTAATTCCAATAAGAATAACACATGTGCTTGCAAGTCCGCAGTGTGTACACACTGTTCGGGCACACATAAACAGCTGACAGCCATGGGCGTGCCAATTTCGATCGCCTTGCCTCGATTTGTATTAACATACATACGTACATATGTATGTGCCCGTATGCAAGTATGCATACAAGCCTACTAATCATTTACTCAATGGGTATGACACACTTCCGTGATAGAAGCAGTAAACAATAACATTGAGAAAAATACTGTAATGTGAGCATACACAAATTCTGCTAAAATGAAGCCATTGGACCATTGGACAATAGAGAGCGCGTTAACAGCAAACATTCGAATATACATATCCATACATACACACACACACACACACTTACATAGGACATAAACGATAGACAACATAAAACCAACAAAGAAAGCGCAACAATGGGGGCAGAAGCAGCGAAAAACGAAGACGAGCTTAACAGAAAGTAAAAGTCGAAATCAATGAATTTGTATATTCCGCTTGTTGAGTAGTAAATTTCTTTTCGTATGCCATCTTCTATTCACACACACACACATCAGTACAAGTTTGCAACATACATGGGTAAAGATTACGTAGATGTCTACTCCACAGCAAGCTGTAGACGCATGCGTACACTCCGTTTGACAACAGCTGATGTTGACTGCGAAAATGTTTAACATTGACATTCGTTTTTGACTTGTACCTGCCTGCCTAAATCTCTCCTCTCTCGTTATTTCTGCCTTTCTCTCTCTCCCTCCCACTCTCTTTTTCTTTTTCTCACTTTGCCCTTCGCACATTAACCGTTCGTTTTTGATGGTCAGTAACCAAATAAACAAGCGTGTGTAAATCAGGAATATGTGCTTACATATATGTACATACATACATATATATATATGTATATGTTAATTTATGTAGAGACATTTATGTATATAAATTGGACTGCACTGGCTAATTTTAATTGCGTTGCTGGTCACGACAAAGCCGCCCGGACCCGCCAGACTCGTATCTATTGTTATTACAATTATAAGGTGCCCAATTCTGCTTGAGAACTGCGTCAAAATAATGAGACAAGAAGGTTGTACCAGATTAACAGTTCGCCAACCCAAATAATCGATAAGCATTGCAATCTGCCGATCGATCAGTTGTATCAGGAGATTGGAACGTTTATGGAAAGGGGGAGGGGGGGTAACGATGACGATGACAAATGCGGCACACACACACGCATGCATATAGAATATTAAAATTTCATAAGCATAAGAGTCAGAAATTGGATATTTTCACAACCTACATACAAGCAAGCTTAGGAAAACAAACCGTGTGTACGTACAAATGTATGTATGTATGTATGTATGTATGTATGTATGTATGTATGTATGTATGTATGTATGTATGTATATATACAAAATCAATTACGAGCCATTTGCAAGCGATAAGGCGCGCACAGCTCTTTTCACTCTCTCGCACACTCACTGACACAATCGTTGCCTCTTGCGATCATTTACAAAAAAGGAGGGCAAATTCCATTTTGTAAACAGCTGTAATGACGACGCTGGCTAATAAATTTGAAAATCAATTGAATATGCGGGTAGAGGCAACACTCATGAGCACCGCTATCTTCTCTGTTACGTTGTATTTGCGTTCTTACTCTCGTTGACAGGTACATACATACATACATACATACATACATAGCTAAACGCCTCTCACAAGCACGACAACGACGACGACGCCATCGATCGATGTTTCCGCACACACGCGCGCTTCTTCCCCATAATTGTCAGTGTATGTGTATGTGTGTGTGAGTGTAACTGTGACGTCGCCTTACATGCTCTAGTTAAAGTATGTACATATTTGAAATCAGTGAAAATACATACATACAATTTGTATGAATGTACATATTATGTACAAATGAAGCACACTCGTTAAAGAGACACCACGAAGCACCGTCGGATGCAATATTTGCATGACATGAACTATGCCTTTTATTTCATGGAGGTCAATTTAAAAATACATTTTAATGGGACAAATTTAGAAAACATACACACACCCTCATATGTACATGTATATACATAGAGATGATCAAGCAAGAAAAATCAAAACTACCGATTACATGTACATACATACTTATGTATGAGTATTGCTATGACATACTAAAAATTAGCGATAAGTGTGACTATCACATCACTATCACATGTGACTAACACATTTACACGCACGCACATTAATGCGGGCACCACAATTTTTTATTTATGCAAATTTGTCAAGCGGAAGTTACAATACACGTGTACCCTGATACATACTTATGTACATACATACATACATAAAACAGCATGGAACAAAAGGGGCAAGCAGAAGGAAGATCTATTGCTGCAACGATGACAAGTGGGAAAGAGTATGTTGGAAAGAGATGTGCACAGTCTAGAAAAACAACGGTCAACAATCGGCATTGGTGTTTGTGTAGCTTGTATGTATGTATGTATGTGTATTGTACGATTCAATTTTCTACTTTTATGTACATACATACATACATACATACACATATATGACCCCGTTTGGCAAAGTATGAATAGTATAACAAAGAATAGCAAAAAATAAACTGAAAAAGAAGTCGTAGCCGCACCTAAAAAACTATTACATCACTATGAAAATTGACACACATGCATATGTTCATACAAACGTGTGCATGTATGGATAACGGAAGCAAACACAAACTCATACACAGATGTAGATATGAGCAAATTGAGCGTGCATGTATGTATATATGTACAAATATATATGTGTAAATGTATATATGTATAAAGTTGTAATTTTCATTTCGGGTATGTTGGTAAAATATACGGTATTAATTATAATTGCATTTAATGAACATAAACAAATTGAAAACAGAACAGGAACAAAAGCTGCAGCTGACTTCTTTTGTAATGAGCAAAAAGAAAAGCAACGAATAATTCATAGGAGAGGAAACAGTGAAATGAGTAAATTGCGGCGAAAACTTGTTAGCCTTCGTGCTGTCTGATGGTGTCGCTACACTCCGCACGCTACAAAGCTACAAAAGAGAGTTGCGGCGAATTCACAATGAACGCCGACGACGACAGCGGCAGCGGTGGTTGACGGCCACAAACCGAAGTTCGTTGAAATTTCGAATGTATGAAAACGTTCAGTCTGCCGCCAGCGCGGGCCCGAGCGTTTAGCTCGAAAACGCGGCAGAGGGCCCAGCGAAAAATAAGCTGGGTCAACAAGGTGACGGACGGGTGGTGGCAGAGCAAGAGCAGAGCATTGTCGTACGAGCGTCTGTTTGCCATTGCCTCTGTGGGTATGCACGTGTGTTTGTGTGTGTGCGCGCCTGTGTGCATGTGTGTGTGCGCGCGCGCGCGACAATGCGATGTGCTTTGCTGTATATAGCGTTTGGCTATTTTTCCCCCCATTATAAAATACGAAATTATTTGAGGAATGCGAATGCGGCGATGGCAACAGCGATACACACACGCATACGTAGGCAGATACAAATGCTGAACACACTGTAGCTGGGGCTCTTTTAAAAATAGCCAATGTGCTCTTGGGCGGACAGCACGCAGGCAGACAGGCGGCCGGGCGGGCGGTCGGTCAGGCAGGCAGGCGAATTGTCGATCTGACGTCATCTAGCGAACTCAAGGATGAATCAGTGAAATTTATGCATTTACGCTCGCTCCACACAATTGTAGGTTGAATGCCCTTGACAGAACCTAAAGAAAAAGAACATGTCCCTCTTCCGACCCAATGAAATTAAAACCACAAACATATGCAGATCCAAGAAGAATCTGCCCATCACTCTCTCATTCTCACCGCAGCAATCACTTGTGTAGTTAAATAAAACTCACTGCTGTAAATTTGCCGTTTGAGTGTCCCAAGGGTAATAAATTTGTCGCTTGTTTAAAGGACAGACGGACAGGAAATGACAAATTCACACACATGCATGCACATGCGTTTGTGAATGTGTGCTCAGAGCAATGACAAACAGGGCGGCGCACGTGTGGCAACGCTGGCAGTGAGAGCGCTCGTTTATATTTCCCGATTGAACGAGAGTGCTGTGCACGCGCTACAAAGCGACAAATGAGCGTAAAGCGAAACTCTCACATTTCAAAATGGGACGCGTAATGGCGCATTTCGATTTTGTGCATTTTACTTTGCCCTGAATGTTATTTGTGGACTGAGCCACATTTATTGCATTTAGGTATATTTGCAGCTAGAACACAATGCTGCCACCAGACATAATTGGCCGAAATCTATTTACATATAGATCTACACATGTGATGATTGTCAGCTACAAACTAGTTATGAAATAAAGAGCCAGCGACGGCGACTAGCTGCTAGCGAGAATGTACATATATATATATACACATATATACAAGAGAGAGAGAGAGAAAGAGAGCGAAGAAAAGTGTAATTGTTTTTTTTTTTTTTTTTCGGTTAAAGGCAATGAAAATTACGTTTATTTAACTTGAGTTTCTCATTCTTTATATATATATTTTTTTTGTTACTGGTTGTTTTTGTATCATTTGAGTGTTGATGGTTTTTCGTTACGTAGAAATGTGTATTTCTTTTTAGCTACAAATTGTTGTTTATCGTATTGTAATTGTAAATATGTTTTTACTATTTTTCTTATGGTTATTTTCATTGTCAAAGCACTTTGTGGATGCTGTTGTTGCTGGTGCTGCTGACTTTTCAATAACTAAACTTACTTACTAATTTACAAATTTGTTAGCCTACAGAGGAGTTAAGACTATGCGAAAACTAAAACGAAAATCAAAAAAAAAGAAAAACAAATAATACAAATTGAACAAAAAAAATCACCTTTTTTCTTTGAGTAGGTGGCGTCGTTTGTAATGCGCTCTTGCTACTCTCTGGATTGAGCGCTGCTCTTTGCTCTTAAAAGCTCGTGGCTACATCTGCTCAGCGAGCAGCTTTGTTGCCGTTGTTTTGCCTTCTCGCTTGCTCCGCTGTGATTTCTGGGCCGACAATGCCGACCACATTTGCGAGCAAAGAATGTCGTTTACGAACTTTCCGTTACTTTTGCCTGCTTTTGTATTTGTACACTTTTCTTTTTGTTTATGTCTGTTTGTCGACATCGATTCTTACATACATTCGCTTAATGTTTTCATGTATTTTAGTAGTTACAAAAAACGGTGACTAACTCTGTACGTATATAGTTTGTATGTATGTATGTATATAAGCAATGTCTGTGTCTATATACTGTTGTTTTGCTAGAACTTTTTGCGCTTTCTAAATTGATATAATTAATAGAATATGCATTGAAATGATTGCCTCAGTAGTTAATTAACAGTAGTGTGCCAGTTAAAATACTTTGTCTTCTGGCAAAACAGCAAGCAAACTGGGAGCAAGCAACGAACCAAAGCCACAAAGCAGCAGCTACAGCGGCGACTCGCTGAGAACACAACAATGGCTAATGGCAAAATCAGTGTGTGAGTTTACGGCGGCGCGGATAAACGGAATACGCGCACACTAAGCAGCGCGTAGCACGGCGAAGGCGAAAATAACGCGACGCAAACGTACACACATAGACACACACATTCACAAATACAGGCACGCATACATTCGTAGAGGTAGACAAGGGCAACATTTGAGCACATATCGCGCATGCTCAAGTCTCACTCGCTCGCCATCTCTTGTTCTCTCTCTCTCCCACACTCTCTCTCAACACTACACTCGTACACACATTTTTATTCCATTGTATTTTACTTTCGGTGGCAGCGACTTGTTGTTGTTGGCCGCTGCGCAGCGATTTTTGTAGTTGGCGCTCTTGCTCAGCAGCAACGCAATAAAAGTTCAAAAACAGTTGAAGTATACCGCGACGCGAGTAAAAATCTTTCTTCACCGTCGTCGTGTCGTCTTCCGCGAATTTCAATTTCTTTTTCAATTGAACAAAAGAAACGCTAACGCTTTTTCTCTTTGGTAGATATAAATATTTGTTCATATTCGTGTCAATTATAAAGGCGAAAAAAGTGCATTTTCGACGTTCATATTCAAATGTTTATAAATTGCTCCCATATATATATATATACATATATATATACGTATATGTAAATGCCTATGTATGTACAATGTACACAAATAAAAGTGTCGCTTCAAAATAGGTTTTTGTTTTTAATTCATTGCGTTTCATACATTTAATGTTGCATTTAACAACAAAACAAGCATTTCATTGTTGTTTGTGTGGCTGCTGCAGTGTGCGCGCGGCAATGTGTAATTGCATTTGGTTTTTTTTTTTTTTTTATTTTTTTTTTATTTTGCTTGCTGCTCTGCCAGTAGGGGAAAAAACTGCCTGAAAATTTGCATAAATTGTTTCTTTTAACATTGTACGTTAAACAAATTGTTTATTAATTAATATTTATTGCGGCGTTAATTTATTTAATTATCGTGATTTTGTTTAAAATACTTATTAATTTAAACCAGAAGCAAAAAATTACCAAAAATAAATTCTGAGAGCACTGTATGAGCACACACGTACGTCTTCACAGTCGCTCGGCTCTCTAACAACTGACAGCACTGAGTGAACAGTGTGGCCCAACGTAGCACGCGATAAATGTCATGAGCGGTCACACTGCTACAGTTCGGTGTGACCAAAGCATATACGCGCAAAAATCGAACGGAATTTCAATTACAAATATTCATGTGCGAACTTTGCTAATATTACATAATTTTAATATTCTCAGCAAGTATCGAAATACAATTTTATGCCTACTGGTTCCGAAGTTTATTTAGAGCACATCTTTAAACTTGGTCGGACTATATCCGGAAATGTAAACAAGTTGGAAAACATTTTATGCACTTACAGCTGCTGTTGTCAAAATTATACATGTATAATATATTTCACAGACTGGGACACACCACGTGCTCCAAACTAAAAGAAATACACGTTACTTAAATAATAAGGTTCTTAGCTGCATGCGAGATTGGGTTCAAAATCATTTAGTGTAACATAATAATAAACAAGCATAATTTTGAACAGCTCTTAATGTGTTTTTATTACCCCTTTGGTATGTTTACGAATGCTTCTGCGACACCCACCACACACACACATAGCACAATAGGTTAGTATGGACAGTGTGCCCAACCTATAAAATCCAACTGTGCGTTTGCAGTTGCTTAAATCTATCAAAATATCGATATTCTGTCTCAAACTATAACATTCATGTACAATTCATAAGAAATGAAAAGTGTAAATCTCTTTGCATTTCTTATGATTTGTAAATGGGACCTTGGACAAAATATTTGTTTTAACGTTAATGTTTCAAATAAACGAAATTCAATGTTTGAAATATATTTTCAATAAATATCGATATCATTCAAGTCCAAAATTCACTGAAATATCGATGTGGAATCTTAGAAGAGATGCTGATCTTTTAAATATACTGTATTAATCATCCGATAACTAAAATGAAAACAAACAAATAAATACCAAGAGAAGAATTATTGATATATCGATAACATATCAACTTCCCTTTTTAATTTGTATCATAATAATTACATAGTAGTATTAATGAGCATTTACTGCTGCTGCATCTAAATGACCACTGCATTGGCATTCCTTTTGCTGCTGCTGTTCACGCCGCTCGCGCCACTGGCTCTGGCTCAGATCCACCAATCCCAATACCATACCGATGAGCAGTTTCATGAGGAACTGGTGGTGCGGCCACTTGCCGGCGACCATGTAAACACATACTTTCAATTCACCACACGTTGGCACTATGGCAATCGCAACAATCGTAAGTAACTGAGCTGATTGCCACGCCCATAAGCACGCATTGAACAATTGCCGCCCATTAGTTTATCACACGCAGCTGACGCCGCGCGTCATTGCCGAAATACTGCAAACGTACGATGTGAAAGAGCTGCACATAGGCCTGACACAGGGATTATGGCGATACGAGACCTGGGGCTATCCCATTGTGGAGGCAACCGGTGGCGCCGAACTTTGGGCCTGGTTTAGTTCACCAAATCTGACTAGCGAGGATGTCGACAAGCAATGGATGCGGTTGGCCAATGTGTTCTCCGGCGTACTCTGTGCCTCGCTCAATTTCGTCGATAATACCAATAGCATAGCACCCAAGCATATATTCCGTCCACAGTTTATGCATTTGGGCAATCAGAGCCAGCAGTTTGTGCGCTACGCGACGCTGCCGCGAGAAATTGTCTGTACTGAGAACTTGACACCATGGAAAAAGTTGCTACCATGCGGCAGTGCTTCGGGCCTGGCTACTTTGCTCAACTCGGGCTATGTGCATAATACTAAATACCATTCCCTGGGCGTTAAAGTGCGTACATTGTGCGACAGCAGCGACCCAAACAATTGCATTGTGGAGCTGACACAAACGGCCAATCTGGTCTACGATTTAAAACTGCTGGAGCAGAGCAGCACTGACTTCTCACTGCGCCGTCTGTTCGGTATGGGCCTAAACGGTTACTGCGAGCTGGCCACCAGTAGCAATATTTATGTGCAGCGCAACGAGCAGGGTGAACGCTTTCAATTGGTGCCACCACCACAACACGAATTGACCAGCACAATCGGTGGCTACACAGTGCTCTATGGCGTCTACGATATGCAACAACAGTTTGCAGGTCCTGGTGCACGACTCTTCAACATCGCCTGGGTGGGAGCCAAGGGGAACAGCAACAGGGAGCAAACGTTGCCGCCACCCCTCTATGCGCATCGTTATCTACTGGGCAATGGCCAGAAGCGCGGACGCATTGCCACTGAGGTGACCAACACCCATTACGAGGCACTTCCTGTTGTGCTCATGGAGCTGGTGCCCTGGTATGTGCATGCCTATCTGCACACGTTGCGTCTACGCAGCAAGCCGCAGCATCTGCACGAGTGCAGCGGCAAGATGCTGGAGTTCAAGCTGTTGCACTATGCGCCTGGCAAGCAGCGCGAGTTGCCCACACACCTGGAAATTGGTTTTGTGCTGCCTGCACAGAGCAGCGCTCTGATTACCATTGAAGTGGACTATCTGCTGCTTAAATGGCTTGAGTATCCGCCGGATGCCAATCATGGTCATTATATTGGCGCTGCCGTCATTAGTAGCCAGCTGCCCATTGGACGCAACTATACGGCCCTGCCGCTGGAGGGACATCTATTCAAGGACTCGTTCAATGCCTCGCGTGCCGCATATATGCTGACATTGCGCACCGAGGCACTGATTGTGTCGCTGCCCACGCCCGACTTCAGCATGCCGTATAATGTCATCTGTTTGGCGTGCACCGTGGTGGCGCTGGCCTTTGGGCCCATACACAGTGTCGCCACCAAGTTGATCATAGTGGAGCGGCAAACGACCATGCCGCGCAATCTGCTGCGTAAGCTCTTCCATAAGCTGACCAATCGGGCTGGCAAGCGTTCGACAGATGTTGGCGATCAGCCACTGAAACGGAAACCAGACGGTGAGGCGGAGGAGGAGGAGGAGGTGGTCAAGCAGCAGCAGCCAGATCAGGCGGAAAGTAATCAGTCTTGTGATAAGCAGGCGCACATGTGATAAGCCCGGCAAGCGTTTGACAGCGAGAGATGGAAACAAAGAGAGAGAGAGAGTGAGAGAGAGAGAGAGATATTGATAGAAGCAGGGAATATAGGGAAAGTGGACAAGAGATACTCGTAAGCAGCACCTATTTTGGCAGCTGTTTCAAACATATTCCAAAGTACGCCAGTCATTTTGATATATATGTTAGTTAAAGAACTTTGGCATGTCCTGATCATCCGTTACACAAATAAAACGTTCCATTATCATGAACAATTATTATGGATTTGTTCTCAATCATTAAATAAGATGTTCAATCTGTGAAAGTAGTGCTCCCTCTGTTTCAGCTAATTTAGATGCTAAAATAATTCTGTATACATTGATTTTATGAAAAAAACCATATTCCAAATCATTTTTAATAATTCTTAGCAATCCTTGATCAAGTTGACTGTCTTTTCTACTTGCTGGCAAACTAAGCTCCTTACTAAAGCTAAGGAGTATGTATCCTAGAACACATAGGCTGGACATGCAGTGTGAAATGATGGGGCCACGAATTTTATACGCGGCTGGTCCAAAGTCGCCTTCGTTTTCGTTTTGATTCGGGTTCGAGACACGCTCCCGCATGCTCAGATAGCAAGAGAGTAAGAAATACATATGACTTGTGTGATAGAACGGCATCGCTGCTCTTTTTTATTCGCTCACACTACAGGAAACTGCTTTGGCTTACTCTCTTCCATATGATTTGTGCGATCGAACAGCATTGCCGAAAGGCTTTATGCTTCAAATATCAAGTTTCTAGCTTCAAATGCTTTAGAAATAATTACATTTGTATTGTTAAAAGATTTTTAACTTGTTCTGTGTTCTATGAAATGATAGATATCGTTCCGAATTGCTCTTAGCTCCCAATATAATGGATATAAATCATCGCAAAAAAATTATCATGTTAAGGAAAAATATACATATGCATTCGACAGTACTCAAACATATAGAAAATGCAAAAATTAGACAGCTTGTTGCTTTTATTGAATGCATTTTGCTTTTGTTTTGTTCTTCATTTATACGTAAGTATTTTTAAATAATAATTGTATCTGTTGTGTTGTTTTATTTTGTTTTTGTTAGCAATAGCATTTGCCGTTTCTTAAATACAGTTTCAATATTATGTAAATGCTATCGATGACGATAAATACATACATGCATGTATATCGATCATCGGTAAAGCCTTTCGGCTTACAATTACAGCTAGAATAAAGTGCGCGCGCCACTCACAATGCGTTTGAGCAGGACAGCAGCAGCAACAGCAGCCGCTCTCACTCACACACACACACAAAAAGCTTAGGCGCGTGTTGTCCGTGTTAAAAAGTTGCTTGAGTGTTGGAATATTTGATCATTAAATACTACTTAAATCTTGGTTATATTCATGCTTCTGCTTCTGCTTCTGCTTCTGCCATTTGTCGAATATAAATGGTTTATATTGTAAAATTGTATTAAAAAAAACTACTTAGTGCATGTTGTGCGCTACATTTTACAATTGGATAAGGACAAAAACGTTAATACACAAACACACAAACAAAAAAAAAAAAAAAATAGATAGTAATTTAAAAAAAAAGGGCAAACAACACACACATTTTAAAATCGAGAACATTAATTAAATTGTATATATGTAGGTAGCTGAAAATCGTATAAATTAAATGTATGTATGTATGTATGTAGAGTTATGTATATGCCTAATGGACGCGTCTCGACGCTTGGCTCAATTACAGTCGCTACAAATACAAAGTAATGCTATATGTTAAGAATTATTTTGTTTAACGCTTTCGAATTCCTGCGGAGACAAGTACTGGTAATGGGGAAATAACTGATGGATAGCGCATGACAGAGAGTGAGAGAGATAGGGAGAGAGAGAGAGAGAGAGAGAGAGAGAGAGAAAGGTAGCGATAGATCAAGAAAGAACATTACGTGTCGCGTGTTCTGCTCTTGCCATCCTTGTCATCCAGCCTGCGTTGAATCGTTGAATGTCAAATGTTCACTGCGGCGGCTGACTACCATAGTAGCCATATGCGCCTGCCGGCGGCGGTCCTTGTGGTGCGCCCGGTGGTGGCATCTGTGCACCGCCCGGTGCTGGCCTGTAGCCCTGATAGCCCTGTGACGGCGGATACTGCGCATAGCCACCTGCCTGCGGCGGCTGATGGTAACCGTGTCCTGGATACGCGCTGCCTGGCGGCGGCGGTCCATAGCCCTGCGGCGGTGGTGGTGGTGCTCCATATGGCTGTGAGCCAGGCGCTGGCTGATATTGATTCGGTGCCATTGGTGGCGTTGCCCCATTCGGTTGTGGTGGCGCATTTGAGTTGGGTGGTCCGCCAGGCGGTGGACCGCCCTGTTGCGGCGGTGGACCGCCCTGTGGCTGCTGTTGTTGTTGCTGCTGCTGCTGCTGTTGTTGTTGTTGTTGTTGCTGTTGCTGCTGTGGTGTTCCATAGCCAGCCACGCTAGTGGGCGGCGTCGAATAGGTCGGTTGCTGCTGTGTGGGCAGTGGCGATACACCAGACACAGCGGCATTCAGCTGCTGGCCAGGCTGTCCCTGTTGCTGTTGTTGTTGCTGCTGCTGCTGCAATGGCTTAAAAAAAGTAAGAGCCAAATAGAAAGATTAGCTGCGTTTCATCTATATACTGATTGCTGTCGTTTAACGTACCTGCTGTTGCTGCTGCTGTTGTGGAGCATATTGCGGTTGCTGCTGGGCAGCGTTCGCGCCTGGCGCCTGCTGATTTGGTGGCACACCCGCCACAGATGTGGCTGGAGGTGGCGTCGATTGCGGCGTATTGGGGCCATTGGGATTGCCTGCTTGCTGCTGCTGTTGCTGATTAGACGCCGACTGTTGTTGCTGTGGCGGCGGCGGTGTCTGGCTGGGTGCTGTGCTGTAGCTAGCCGGCGGTGGCGGCGGCCCAGCATTTGTGCCCGCAACGCTGACCTGCTGGGCATTTGGTGGTCCGGGCACAGGTTGACCCGGATAGCTGCCGGGTGGCGCGCCGGTTGCCTGCTGGTATGCCTGGTACGGCGACTGTGATTGGCTTGTGGGCGGCGGTCCATAATTGCCGGGCGGTCCACCGGGCGTGCCCCCCTGTCCGTACTGATTCGGCGGATAGCCTGCATAGCCCATTGGTGGCGGTCCGGGCGCCACAGCACCAGCATTTTGCGGCGGTGGTGGCCCATATTGATTGGGCAGCACATTCTGTGGTGGACCAGGCGGCGGTGGTCCCGACTGTCCGCCAGCTGTCGGTGGTGGGCCGTACATTTGCGTTGGCGGCGGTGGGGGCTGCTGCCCTGGTGTCACCTGCTGGCTGGGCGGTGGTGGTGGTGGATATGCACCCGGCGGCGGCGCTTGCTGCTGCTGACCTCCGGCAGACACGCCGCCAGCATTTGGATTGGGCTGATAGGCATGCACCACACCTTGTGCACCCGCTGCAGTCGATGTGGGCGGCATGCCAGCATGATGATAGGCAGCCTGAGCATTTGGCGGCGGCGGCGGTGGCCCATAGCCCTGACCGGGCGGTCCGTACGGATACGCATTCTGAGGCTGGTACTGGGGCTGCGACTGCGGCGGATAGCCCGGATAGTGTCCGTGCTGTTGTTGCTGCTGCTGTTGTTGTTGTTGATAGCTAACCCGATACTGTGCCTGCGGTGGCGGCACCAGCCCCGGACCCTGTTGCGGCTGTTGCTGGTTGGGCGGCTGCTGCTGTTGTTGCTGCTGTTGTTGCGGTGGCGGCGCCTGGCTCTGCCCGGGCGGCAGCGGTCCGTTATTGGGCCGCTGCTGCTGATCTGTATAAGAGGAGCACATTAAAAATGTTTGCGATTTGCTCGCATTTCACGAGTTTTCCGCCCGTCTTAGTCCACTTTCTGAGTTCCAGTCTTTGTTCGAGTTAACAAGCTAAACCTCAACTAAATATCCAAATGCATGCGTTTTTAACAATTATATCCTGGACTCTACATTCAATTGGTTTACTTAAGTTAAGAAAAATGGCAGAGATGGCCAACCGGAGTCAACATTATATCATTCAAGAATTTACAATCTTTCGCATGGAAAACAGAAAGCGGTACGCCAGGCATACCCCGATATATATATATATATATATACTTTACACTTACTGGGCGCTGCATTGGACACGACCTGAGCTTGGCCAGCGCCGGCCTGTACGTTGCGATAGGCGGCCTGCGGCTGGGGACCAGCCTGGCTAACTTGGGGCGCCTGCTGCACCTGGCCGGCTTGTTGTTGCTGCTGCTGCTGTTGCTGAGATTGCTGCTGAGCGTTGGGCGGCATGCCCGGATGTGTAGGCTGTTGCTGCTGGCCGGGATATGGCGGCATTTGTACAGGACCAACGCCAGCATCTGCGGCATGTTGCATCATCTGTGACTGAATGACACTGCCCGGCGGAGGCGGCCCCGGTGCGCCCTGTTGGCCCTGAACCTGCTGTTGCTGTCCGGGCGGCGGCACACCCACGCCCGACATGCCATGTGGCGCCGGTGGCTGGTTGCCCTGCTGCATTGCCTGCGTTTGCAATAGCTGCGGCGGCTGTGAAAACAAAAGTTTTACGTATATGCTTAAATTATAATTTACGGTGTTGCACTTACTGGCAAAATTTGGGCAATATTCATTTGGGGATCGGCAAGCTGTGCCAAGTAGACCAGATTACGATGCAACGCCACGTGGTAGCTCATGCACTCCTGCGACTTGCCCATGTTTTGAAAGTCCTGTATAGCTTGGATGAGTCCGCAATTCTCGTCCAGCATTTTTTGTATTTGTGCCGAGTTGACCTGCTGCGTGGGAACGCCGCCACGTTGTGCATTCGGATTGGGCGGTGTGCCCATCATGACGCCGACACCACCGACGGGATTACCAACTGGCCCGGGGCCAACGCGCTGCTGCATCGGACCCATGGGGCCCATTGGTCCAACTCCAACGCCACCTGGCGGTCCTTGTCCACTGCCAGGTGGCGGTTGTTGTTGTTGTTGTTGTTGTTGCTGCTGCTGCTGTTGTTGTTGTTGTGTTTGTTGCTGCTGTTGCTGTGGCGGCGCCTGCGGCGGCGGCAACTGCACGGATCCCGGCGGATGCTGCGTCGGTGGCTGCTGCTGCTGCTGCGGCGGCGGTTGCGGCGAATAAACTGCAGACATTTTACTGGCTGCAGCCTTCTTCTTCCGCTTGGGAGTTTTCTCCTGTTTTTCCACAATTTTAGCGGTTATTATAAAACGGTTCGTGAAAGAAAATTCAATTTAATGCCCCCGGTACCACTCCCCGCTCGCACACACTAGCGCTGATGTGGAGTATGCGGACTTGTCTTAAGCAACAACAACAACAACAACAAAAAAGTCTACGCCTCGGGTTTGCAGAGTGCGGCTTTTTTCACATTCGCAGTCGCCGCATTAAAACACATACACACACATGCACAGCACATATATATATATATACATATATAAATATACACATATATATATGCATATATATATACATATATTTATATATATATATATATATTCATATATGTGTATATAATGGAAATTGTAAACTACTTAAGCGTTTTGCGTGGAACGTCTTCGAACTATTTGGCCTAAAACTTTGTTTTTGCAAAACTTTTACAATGATATACTTTTGCCAAAAAGTCTACATAATTTTTCTTTTTCTTTCCACTTTTTTGCGAATTGTAAAGAACGTCAACGACGCTTTAAACGATTACAGCGGTCGAGCGATTAACAGTTATCGATGCATTTCGTTTTGCTTACACGTTCAGACCGTGCATGATGCCGCGTGGTCAAAAGTCCTACTACCCTTTAGGGTTCTGAAGCCAGGCATATAATGGCATTAATGTAGTTCATATCCATAAAAATGCCAAAAAAGGTTTATTCATAGAATACCATCATTTAATTGCGAATTTAAGAATAGATATTTAACATAGACTTGCATGATGCTTGGTATGTCGTGTAAGTCAACATGGCGTTCTCTAAACCTACTGCCGCTACAATATAAAATAATTGGATGTACGATATTATGTTGCAAAAAAAAAAAAAAATACTATACACTTAGCTTAAAATATATTCTCTTAACTCTTGTGAAATTTAAATATTTATATATAAATGAAAATATTTGCTCTTTGTATAGCATAGCGAATTATCCGCCGATATAAATGCTAACCGGCATCGACAATAAAATGTAAGACATTATAGCGCATATCGATAAACAAACGATAACAACACCACGCTCACGGCGACAATCTCTTTTATTTTTCACAATTTATTTTTTGGACTGGCTTTTGGCCAAATTGATTAAAGAAGTGTGTGTCTGTGTGCAAGCACGTCAGAGTGTGCGATTCATTAAACAAAAAGCAAGAACCAGATTACTCAATATCAAAGTGCAATATTTTTTTTGCCGCGCGATACTAATTTTATAAATATAAAGATCAAAAGTAAAGGTTTTTTCTTGCAATTTGTTGGGCAGAGAGGTTGGCTTAATAAATAAATGCAATAAACGCATGTCTAAACATTGAAGCACCGTCCGAAACGACGACAATCAAAATCGACGAAAAATAACAAAAAATTGTGACAGCAATAGCAAGAGGCCCAGCAGTAACAATACAACAGTGAAAATGAGAGAAGTGATGAAACATTTAGCGCAATCAAAGGTGTAAATAGTAAAATAAACCACATCAAAGGCGTGCACACGTATGCATACATGTGCATGTACATGCGTACAAACATAAACAAAAGCAGGATAGATCATATCCTTTTGCAAGGCCCCGGCAGAACGCTTGTGTTAAATATCGATTTTATTCCCTGCGCGCCTCTCGCCTGCTTCGTCTATATATATGTATATATATATATGTATGTGTGTGTATGAAAGGTATCCAAAAGAGCAATAATTGTGATATCGATACCGATAACGATACCGCAAAGTACAACACGGGAACACAAATACAAACAAACAATTTGAGCGCGTTATCAAAAGCACAAGAGCAACAACAACAACTTGGTAGCTCGACAGCCGGCGCGTTGTTTTTGGTTTTGCGTGACTGTAGGAAGCTTTTATTTTATTTTATTTTTTTTTTTTTTTTGGTTTTTTTTTTTGTTTTTTAATTTATGCTAACTAACGTTAAGCTAACCTACAACAATAGTGGAGCAGTACGTTGACAACAACGACGACGACGACGACGACGCGACTGCAACTTTACAAAACTCGATTTGTAATTGCGGTAAGAAGAGAACTTCTTACCAATGATTTCGTTGGTGCAAATGAAATTCCATGCGCTGCTTCTGCTGCTATCGAAGGTTTGGACATGCATTTGTTTCATGTTCAATCGACAAGTGCGAGCTGTAAGTACATCATCAGATATAGATAATAAAATAATTATAACAAAATGATCTGTTTATAGCACACACACACACACACACACACACACGCACACGCACCAAACATTATCCAAATTAGAGCTAAACGTTTTTCTGGTATTGGCACCGATTAAATAACAAATGCCAGCCACTGGTCAAGGCTGCGATAAGCAATAGCAATGCTCTACCCCTTTCAATCACACCCCCCCTGGCACTCTATAGCCCTGCTGCTCATACGATTTTTGAATATTTGCCTTTATCACACTGACATTTGCTCTATAGCTAGCTCAGCGATGCATTTGCATTGAATGCAGTTTGAGCGTCTTATCTCGATTGCTGTTCTTTGCTTTGGTTTCTCTCGTGCCGCATTTGTCTTTATTTGTAAATTGTGCTTTGACAGCATGACACTGCAGCAGGGGATTCACATGCCTTTAGTACTCCGATTTCGAAAGCTTTCATAATCACACTTTTTGTATTGTTACTTGTCCTTATAACTAATCACATTGTATTCCTTTTTATCAGCTGTGCAAAAACAATTGTGAATATACAACATTTGAATGTATAAATTAACTCTCTTAGTTTATCCAGTATCAGCCGGTTAAATATGAACAATTCCCGCTGTCACCGGTATCCCGCCATCGCCTCAGCCTGGTGCAGCGAAAAACCTTGGTGCTGGATCTGGACGAGACGCTGATACACTCTCATCACAATGCCATGCCAAGGAATACGGTAAAGCCTGGCACGCCGCACGATTTCACCGTCAAAGTGACTATCGACAGGCATCCAGTGAGGTTCTTTGTGCACAAGCGGCCGCATGTTGATTACTTTTTGGAAGTGGTGAGTCTTTTGCCGGTTACAACAACCAACAACAACAACAACAGTCGACAAGAGTGGGAAAGCTCAGATGTCCGCCCGCGTCCGGCAATCTTTCTATTATGCGTCATTCTTAAACGTTGCTCCATACATATGACCACCTTCATCAAGGTACATCAGTCATCATATATGGTGACATATGTGCATATGTTGTTTACCCGATAATCGGGTTTCTTAAGTTCTCTTTGTGCGTCATTCTTAAACGTTGCGCCAGTTATAAACATACACACGAACCACAGCCTTAACCTTTAACATAGTGCCTATAGAAAGCTGTAAGCTTATATAACAATTCAATTTGATTTATCAGAAATCGTATTATTCATATAATTTTTTGAACATCAATTTACAAATTTGCAATAAATGTAAAGCAATATAATGGCATTATAATATTACCTTGTATACGATGTGTGGATACTGAAAGATTTACCAGACAGGGAAACACTTCAAAATTCTGGGTTAATTAAAAAAAAAAAGAAAGATGAGATGATAAACCACTGAAAACCGTTGGCTAACTGTAATATGTTCATTTATTCATTTATATAATTATAGGTATCGCAGTGGTATGATCTGGTTGTCTTTACGGCCAGCATGGAGATCTACGGGGCTGCTGTGGCCGACAAACTTGACAATGGCCGCAATATACTGCGGCGTCGTTACTACAGACAACACTGCACGCCCGACTATGGCTCCTATACCAAAGATTTGTCAGCCATATGCAGTGATTTGAATAGGGTTAGCTATCAAATTGTCTATGTGGGTAGAGAGATGACAACTAATATGAATGCCAACTTCGATTCTTGCAGATATTTATAATTGACAATTCACCAGGGGCATACCGTTGTTTTCCAAACAATGCAATACCCATTAAAAGTTGGTTCTCCGATCCAATGGATACGGCACTGTTATCCCTGCTCCCCATGCTGGACGCGTTGCGATTCACTAACGATGTGCGTTCGGTATTATCACGAAATCTTCACCTGCATCGCCTTTGGTAGCGGGTGTGCCGCCACCAAATGTAGCTTATGCACTAAGCAAATGCGTTCGAAAAGTTATAAATAACAACTGCAATTAACGTTTTACAACAATTGAATTAATAACAACAACAAAAACAACATGAATGAATGGTGGTGCTGTGACACAACGAATTTTTTTTCAGTACGATTATACTAAATAATAGACGAGACATGATTGTAATAGAGCAATACTTTATCTACTTCACTTCACAATTATTGCAAATTTTGTAATTTCAACAAACCAAACCCTTCCTCTTTTTTTTTTATTTTTTATTTTGATCATTATTATTGATGAATTGTTTTCATGCGTGTGTACGTGTGCTAGAAAACTAGAAAATGCAACAAATTTTCGCGTTATTTGTACTATACGAAAGAGGCCAGTCTCTAACACACACACAGTATGTTAAAAGAAAAGTTACAACTAAACTAGAAAAAAACAAGCTGATAAAATATCAATCTAGATATACATATATACATATATATGCATATGCATATATACAATATATACAATCTAAGCTAAGCAACCGCAACACAAACACACTTTATATGTATAATATATAAAAATTACATATATTTATGTTAGACATAGTTTGTTGTAATTATATTATAAATATTATTAAATATAAAAGATTGTTTTCTATATTTACAAAACTTACTGTATGCATACTTTTACAATTAGTTTTGACTGTAATTGATCTGGAAATCAGAGCAAAATGCATAAACACATACTTACATTATATATATATATATATATATATATATATACATATATTAAACAAATAACTTTTGTATAGGTTTTGTACAAATCAGGCGAATAACTTTAAACCTCTATAGTTTTCGATTTGCTAACTTGTCAAAAGAGAAACATAAATGAAACGAAACTAAATTAAAAAAAAAAAAAATCAGTTAGGCATATTTGTGTTATTAAAGAGAAGGATTATGTTAACTCTTAAGATATGCCTGCATGCAGGCCAAGGCATTGAAGGCGTACTAAATTTGTATTTAAATTTAAATAAGACAATGATAACTATTAAAGTATAAACAAATCAAATCAAGAAACATCTATTTTAAGGGCATGACAGACAAATGCAACGGTTGAGCCGCAGCAAAAATACACAAACACACGCTTTGGTTCCATAGATTCTTCAAAACACCGATAATATTTAAATAAAAAAAAATAAAATAAAAAATTATAGGAGCAGGACTGCAATTATGATCTAATTAATGATAATATTGATGCCACTTAACTGACAAATCGTAGCAAATTTGTATCTTGAACAGCAAACTAAACTGTTCGCAATACATTATTAATTGGCTGACTAATATTAAAAAAAACAAAAAAACAAAATGAAAAGAAAGAAAGAAACAAATCGCTTCCATAGTTATTTATTGATCGGCAAAACAACATCCCAAGCTTGCGCCAATTGAAATTTGTTTTATATCGCATTGTATTGTAAATGTACGAGAAATGATTGTCTATTTATTGAATATGTATGCGATGTTGTTAACTATAAGTAGTTTGTATCTTTAAACAAATTTGTTAAACAAAACGAAATACAAAAACGCAAATAAAATAAAAAGAAATGGGAACATTAAACAAAAAGAACAAGGCAGAAATAAAAAATACATCAATTGTTTTACTTTTGAATTGCGCCTAGAATATTGCTCGATTTTTGGATTTGATGCAACTAATTCAATTAATATTAATAAACCATTGCAAATGATTGCCCCCTTTAATCTGTGAACTTAACTTTTGTTTTTGGCCATAAGTGTGGAGCCGAAAATAATCGAGATTAAATCGATAACAAATCGCCAAATGCAACATTGAAGTGGGCATTTTTTTTTTCCATTTCTATTTTGAGGTTAATTTTACAGTGAACAACACCGACAAGTGCGTTCTCTAATATTCTACACACATACATACATACATACAAACATAAATTTACGCAACGTTTGTGGGGCAGGCAGGTGAGACAGAATGTTGAATTAAAATTTTTAAACTTTTGTTAGCAGAAACGTTTGACATTTGCAGACGAGAAGGAGAGAAAGAGCGAGACGAAACCTGGAGAGAGCATCGATAAATTGTTCATACACATGGCAACCGCAGTGGCAAAAGTTGGAAAATCAGTTCACCGCATTTTTGTGGGCAATCTTCCTTGGACGGTGGGTCATCAAGAGTTGCGAGGCTATTTCAAAGAATTCGGGCGCGTGGTTAACGCGAACGTCATATTTGACAAGAAAACAGGCTGCTCCAAGGGCTACGGCTTTGTGAGCTTCAACAGTTTGCAAGCACTCGAAAAGATTGAAAACGAACAGAAGCACATATTGGAGGGCAATTATTTGAACATACATAAGTCATAAATGCAATACAAATTGTCAAACCAAATACACACATCCACATCCACACAGAGACACATACACACACATACACATATTCACTGAAAACGAGAGTAAAACAGTTTTTAGATTAGTTAATTAGTTGTTGCAGTTGCATTTAGTTAAGCATGTTTGACAGTGACCTGGAAATCGGCGATGATGAGGAGCAGCAGGAGATCGAAAAGCTGTTTTCAATGGCAACGGCGCACGTGATGCGCAAATCGAACGTCTATGATGCCAGAGATTTGCTCGAGTTGTACGCACTATACAAACAGGCATCGGAGGGAGTCTGTGGTACGCCACGCCCCTCGGTTCTGCAGATGAAAGCGCGCAGCAAATGGAATGCCTGGCACGAGCTGGGCGACATGAGCTGCGCAGATGCCCAGCGCGCGTACGTTGAGAAGGTGCATAAACTGGACCCCAAGTGGCTGGACGACATGTCAAGCGGCGGCAGCGGTGGTGGCAAGCTGAGCGGTTGGGTGGTGCACTCGATTGAATCAGTGCCCATTGAGGAGACCAACAGGCCGGAGCATCTGAAAACGTTATTCGATCACGTTAAGGAGAACAATTTGCAGCGTTTGCGTGAGCAACTGACTCCCGCTGATCTGATGCAATTGGATGATCAGGGTATGGCATTGTTACACTGGGCAACTGACCGCAATGCCACTGAGATCATTGAGTATCTGGTCAAGTGCGGCGCCAATGTGGACCAGCGCGATGCTGAGCAACAGACGCCATTACATTATGCCGCCAGCTGCGGCCATGTGGAGGCATTGCGCTATTTGTTAACGTTGAATGCGGATCTGGATCTGCGCGATGCCGACGGCCAGACGTGCATTGATGTGGCCGATGATGAGCAGATTTGTGCCATGCTGCAAGCCGAGCTGCAGTTGCGCAAGAGCACTGCAGATAATTAAGAAAGAAATATGCATAAATTGTAAGAAACATTCTGTTTTACTATATTTTTAAAATTATATTGTGTGAAATTAAATTAGAATCAAAGTGGTTCAGTATAACTATACGAGGTTTTTACTTCCACAGCTTCTTAATGGACATGTTCTTCTCAGAGTCCTTCTGCATAACCTTGGCAACTGCCATTTCGAAATCCTCCTGGGTTACATGCACACGACGCTCGCGCAGGGCATACATGCCAGCCTCGGTGCATACGCCTTTGACCTCGGCACCAGATGCACCCGGCATCAGTTCGGCAATCTTGCGCAGATTAATGCCGCGCGTTAGATTCATTTTGCGCGAGTGAATTTTTAGAATGTCCAAACGTGCCTCCTCATTTGGTGGCGGAAATTCAATCTTGCGATCAATGCGACCTGGACGAAGCAATGCAGGATCGAGTATATCAATACGATTGGTGGCCATGATGACTTTGATGTTCTTGGTGGCCTCAAAGCCATCCAGCTGATTGAGCAGCTCCAGCATGGTGCGCTGCACCTCAGAGTCGCCGCCAGAGCCGGATTCAATACGTGACGAGCCAATCGAGTCGATCTCATCCATGAATATAATTGATGGCGCATGCTCACGCGCCATCACAAACAGTTCGCGCACCATGCGTGAGCCCTCGCCAATGAACTTCTGGACCAGCTCTGAGCCAGAGACACGTATGAATGTACATTCGGTATGATGGGCCACAGCGCGAGCCAGCAGTGTTTTGCCAGTACCGGGTGGGCCATAGAGAAGTACACCCTTTGGCTGGGCAATGCCTAAGGCGTCAAACAATTCTGGATGCTTAACGGGCAGCTCGATAACCTCTTTGATTTCCTTGATTTGTTTATCTAGGCCGCCCACCATTTCGTATGTGGAATCTGGTACCTTCTCGACCATCATCAGTGAAACTAGAGGATCCACTTTGTTGGGCAATATCTTGTGCAGTGTATAGCTTTCGTTGCGCAGTGCAACACGGCAATTGGGTGTCACATCGTTAATATCAATGTTCTTATCCAAGTCAACAACAAATTTGCCCTCTGGATGCACCTTAACAAGCACCTTCTTCTTGTCCATCGGCTTTACAACCTCACCGACATAGCTACCTTGTTCCTGCAACAGCTGCAGCTCCTCGCGTAGCATACGCACTATTGAAATATAAAAATAATAAAAAAAAACATTATGTGGGCTTTTCTTTTGTGTCGTTTCTTACCCTTGGCATTGAGTTCGTTACGCTGTGCCTGTAAGCGGCGAAGATTTTGACTCTTCTCGGCAACAATTAGCTGCAGTTCCTCAATTTTTTGTATGTAGTATGAGCGGAAGCCCTCGCCTTTTTGGTAGGCTGCCTCCGTATCCACCTGAAATTTACCTTTTTTAATTTGTTTGTTTTTTAGCGAACTTTGGTTTTGCTCAATTACCCGATTTGTGAGTGTCATAATGCTCTACTTTTTTCAATGGATTTTCTTCTTAATAAACGACTGCTGCTTGGATAATAAATTAACAAGTTGTGTTTGATCTCAGTCGAACGCCTGCTAAGTTAACTTCTTTGATTATGACTCGGCAAGTCTACTATTTGATATATTTTGCGAGGCTGCAGGGATGCTAATATTATATCGATTGGTCGATGTTAAAATACTAAACTGTAAGTGGCATGTTATCGTTATCGTTTCAAAGCAAATTTCTGTTAATTGCAAATTTGTCTGGCTGATTGCTTAATTTAGGGCCGTTATGTAAAAAAGTTCAAATTAGGTAAGTTTTTGGCTGAATTTATGTAGCTTAGCATGAACAATTTTTTTTCCGGCGGTCGAAAGTAGTTATATTAACTTATCAATTAAAAATTTACCAAATAAAATCAATCGTGCTAACAGTGCCAAATGAGTCGGGTATCGATAATAACCATCTGCTAACGTAAATAAAATTCAAAAATATGCAGCTGAAAAGTTACTGTTCGCAAGTAAAACAAAAGGAGTTAAATAATTTATTTTTAAAGAATCTAGATATGGGCACTGTTTCTTGGCTTTTTTTAAACTTTGATTAACTAGGCTGAGAACTTTAAATGGCATCAGTGGCTGTGCATATATAGTCGCTGGCATCGTTGTCGTTATTTGAATGAGAATTCAATCAAGTGTTCAATTTGAAAGCAGGGCATTTCTTGTCAAGCATGAGAAAACTTAATTACACAAGTTTTGTTTTGTTATAGATGCACTCAGAATTTAATAAATCAGCGGTGAGTGGCTTGCAGATGTACTAATTAAACGACGCGTTCGTTTTTAAAAAGGAAAAAAAAATCCATATCAAGATGCCGGCTACATTTGGCTTGCTATTTAAACACAATGTTCAAATCGAATTGGCTCTATGGAAGCGCACTGTATTCGAATGCATTATCATATTCATAATGCTGATTGTAATACTAGAAAATCCCATTTCACATTCAAAGAGATTGCTCTATAGCCGCACCGATTATGAGGGAGACAGGACCATCGTATCCCATAAGCTGGATGATCTTAATATACTCACGTAAGCTAAATGCAAATACTGCGTGTCCATTCAATTGAACTTAAAAGGTATCAACTGGCAGGAGTCTGGTCGACTCAAAGCGGGAACAAACCAAATACAAGCTAGCCCACTCACCCAATACGAAATTTGTGTCAGAAGTAATCCAGGAAGTTGCTACAAAACTGGAATTGAATGGATCCGTTGGTTTTGATAACGCTGGGGCCTTACAAAATCAATTCGATGAGCGCACCATACTTGCCGGTGTGATTTTTAAGAATATTGATATAGACGATGAAATGGTGCCAAAGGAACTTTCAATTTCCATACGATTCCCCAGCGAATTTCGTACGCTCAGCCCGTTTCTAACTGAAGATCGTCTATGGCTGACACGGTGCTCTGGCGTTGTAAATCCAAAGCGGGATAATTCCAAGGATTCCGAAATTAATCAGGATATTTACATACGTGAAGGATTCCTTCAGTTACAACATCTAATATTTTTAGAATGGTTCCACAAGCTTCGAACTCAAAATCCTTCAACCGCTACGGAGCCTCGAACAGAAGTTTTTAATGTACGACTCCATGAGGCAGCTGAACGCTGCTCTACTATGGACTTATACACTGTTCCGTCTTTTCTATTTAATTTTCTCTTTCTGTTGCCATTCATAAATATCATACGGGTGAGTCTATAACGTTTACCAAAAATTATATTTAAAACTATAAACAATGTGATCCGACTGATTGGTCATCAAAGTTCCGCCCAAACCGTAAAAATACCGAAGCTGACGTTATCAATTAGTTTATTTGTCCCACAAGGGATGTCAGAAAAAAATGTATTGGTATACGGGCAACTTCTGGAAAATTGCAGCTTACTATCTTATCATCATCTATCAGATACCTACTATCAGTCAGTCAGTCAGTCCATCAGTCAGTCATTGCATTAGTCAGTCAGTCCATCAGTCAGTCTGTGCACCAGTCATTCAGTGCACCAGTCAGTCAGTCAATCAGTCCATCAGTCAATCAGTCAATCGGTCAATCAGTCCATCTGTCAGTCCATCAGTCAGTCAGTGCATTAGTCAGTCAGTCCATCAGTCCATCAGTCAATCGGTCAATCAGTCAATCAGTCCATCTGTCAATTAGTCAATCAGTCCATCAGTCAGTCAGTTAATCAGTTAATCATTCAATTATTCAATCATTCAATCATTCAATCATTCAATCAGTCAATCAGTCCATTAGTCCATTAGTCCATCAGTCAATCAGTCAGTCCATCAGTCAGTCAATCAGGACGAAACAATTCTTGATGAAAGAAGAGGTTGCGGTGCCGACAAGATTTAATATTCAATCATTTTCTTACAGAATATTGCCGGACAACTGAAGGACAACGTAATGACGCATCAATGGCACTACGGATATCGGTTCATGACACAATACTGTTGTATTGTCCTCGTGTTAATGATACGTCTCCTGGTTCTGGTACTTTTCGTGATGCTTGTCACGTTTGTAAGTTGTTCAAATAGTTCGATATATATGGATATGCCTTTTGTTGATTCAGATTGTGTTTTGCAGGTGTGGTGGTCAGTCGAAGATGGCATCTTTTCTGGAATAGCATTGATTCTAATGATTCTCTTTGTGCTCATCTTCACCTTCGAGCTGGTCATAACGGCCATCGTGTTTGCCAAGATCTTTAAAAACGTAATCAATGCTGTGCTCTTTGCGATCGTTATTTGGCTGTTCAATTATGCCGTTTTTGGGGTTATCCTGAAACGGTATTGGGACGTACATGGCCACTATGCGCTCTTCATACTGATGGTATTCTTTAGCAACCAAATACCGTACAGCATGCAACTGTTTCATCGGATCATTGACGAGCCACAGACGATCGCGGCCTATGATATTGGTGCACTCTACATATCTGCCATTGTCTGTGCATTGATATACATCACGTTGCTGGTCCTCCTGCAGTGGCGAATGCCAGGACGTCTAATCAGCCGGCGTATGTTGTATAAGCGGCGGCGCAAGGAAATGGAAATTGATAATACATTAATTCATCTTGGACGATTACCGAGCTGGCACAATTTCGAGTTCGGCGATGTGGGTAGCAAGGAAGTAATCCGATTGCGTCATGTGTACACAACGCATAGCACCTCGGAGCGCAAGATATTGAAGAACATCTCAATGCGCATCTATACGGGTGAGGTCTATGTGCTTTTGGGTCATATTGGATCCGGTAAGCTGACACTGCTGCGCGTCATTTGTGGACTCAAGTATGCGATTCGCGGCTCGGTGCATTATATGGGAGAGGATTTTTATAACGATATGAAGAAACATCGAAAATTAGTCGATTTCCGCAGCGAAGAGAACGGCCTTTGCCCGCATTTGTCGATAGAGCAGACCATTAACTATCACGTGCGACTGAAGCTCAATAACCAGAATTCCGATAGTTACAATCTTGAGCGGAACAAGTGGATTGCAATCCTCGAGACACATGTCGATAATCGTCGAACACGAATTAACAATCTCACCTATGGGGAACGTCGTCTGGTCGCCCTTTGCTGCGCCCTGGCTGGCGATACAAAGGTAATCGTCTTCGAGGAGCCCACCCAGGACATGACGGCACACGAGGCTCAGGTATTTTGGAGCATTATAGCCATGGAAAAGGAGGAGCGCGCCTTTATCATTGCCACATACAGCATTGATGAGACCGAGGCCGTTGCCGACCGGATTGGCATCCTTAGCATGGGTGTCTTGGAAGCCAGCGGAACTCCTTTCTTTCTACGTGCTAAGTTTAGTAGCTGCGTTGAGCTGGTAAGTCACTAAGTCGGTCTGTCCGTCCGTCTTGGAGAATTGCAATTCACCATATATATAATTATGGCATACTATAATAATTTCTTTGGTATTTTGGGCAGGTGCTTATCAAGAAACCACACGTGCCGGATGCACCTATCACAGACTTTATTGCCCTGTATATACCGTCAATTGAGCCCGAGAATGAAATCGGCGATACCTTGACATACAAGATAGAATCTGAACATAGACCGGGATTGCAGAGGATGCTAATACATTTGGAGGCCGAACGCAAGAAGCTGGGCATTGAGAATATACGAGTTGTGGGCTCCGAGATGTCCGACATATACATGAAGCTGGTCACATCGTTTCGCCTGCAGCAACAGTTCATACCCGACGTCAGTAAGTAAATCGATAATATCAGCATACTTGCGTTGATCGATTGTTATCGCATTGTTCGCCTCAAACAGCGCAAACCTTTAAATATGCCGTCGTATCGAAGAAGCAATTGCGAAGACAGCAAATGCGCGCCATGTTCTATAAGAAAATGATCCATTCGGCCCCGAACGTATGGCCCGTTATAATGATATTTACTTGTTTTATATTGATTGTGATTATAACGCGCCTGGCCATGGTGTTGGATGTTCCAAATGCGAGAAGCAATACGATACCGATTGGCTTTATAGGCGAAGAGCAGTATTTGAGAAACATACCAGATATCAGGGAGTGCGGCTACATTGACATCAGATCGGTGGGCAAGATACCTACGTATAAGAAGGCGAACGCGATATCGCGTACCTTTGATGCGAACTCGTTTGCCTGCGAGAAGGGTAAATATAGAGATGATCTGGCCAAGAAAGGCAAACAGACCAGCCTGGGTGCCGTTGAGCAAAATGGTGAACAGGACATAAACGGTTACATTAGCCAGGATACATTCCATTCAGCGCCCATGATGCTTAATCTACTGCACAACATTATAATACAGTGAGTACCGATCCGATATTCAAATGATCCAACTGGTTCAACTCAAATCTCTCAGATTATCGTATACGAATATGACAGACTTTAGGACCCTGGTAGAAAGCCATCCGATGCCCACGCCATTATCCATGAAGATCAATCTGCTGGACAATGAGATAGCCCACATCAATGCACCACTGGCCATTGGCTGTATTCTGCCGTTGGTCGTATCGGTTTTCATCATACCCCTGGTCGAGGAACAGATAAGCCAGATGCGCATACTCCAGGTGATCGCGGGCCTGGGGTTGCAGGTCTTCTGGGGTGTCAGCCTGCTTTGGGATTTTTTCACATACTTTATCTATTCGGTTATTATTGTGATCATTGTGGCCTGCACTAACATTGGTGACTTTGGTATCTATGAGAACCTGCTCCTTCTACTGCTCATCACCGTCTACGGCCTGGCCGCCCTGCCTATCACCTATGTGCTATCCATGTATGTGAACAGGTCAATTGTGCGCGCATTTCTTGCCTCTGTTGTCTTTCAAAGTCTCACGGGACTTGTGCTCTACATTGTTTACTGGGACGTTGCCAATAGCAATGTCATATTCTTCTATGGTGCCTGCATGTCGCCCGGGTTTGCCCTTCTCGATGGGATTAGCAACATCTATATACGCTGCCTGGAGAAGCGTTTGTGTCTGACCAAGTGCGATGCACTTGAAAGTTGCACACCTCAAAATATGCATGAGCTGGTGCCCCGCTGTGATTGTAAGTAATCCGGTTCCCAATTAGTTAAACGCACATATGCTTCAGTTGTAACTGTTCCACAGTTGACACTTACTTCAAATGGGCCGATCCTGGCATTTTACCGGCCTTAACTTTCATGATGCTAGCGGCACTGATTGCACTACTCCTAATATTCTGGATCGAGTTGCATCGCAAGGAAAAGAAGTTTCATACCTCAAAAAAGTAAGTGGGTTAACCAATTACATTTATTTATTATAAGTACCCTGGCATTATTTAATGGTCTTCCTATACATAAGACTTAACTATAAGACCCGCTATAATTTAATTAACTTTTATTAAAGTAATGACTGCGATTGTGATTTAAAAAATAGTAGCTTGTCAAAAAAAAAAAAAAAAAATGCGGAATAAGTTTGAGATCTTTTTGTATAAATGGTTGAAGCAGACATGAAGCAGACGGACATGACTTGGACTACAAACACTTTCTGCTTCCTTCTGCGTGGTTCAAACAAAGGCTCAAATCTAGCATTTCCACTTATACCTATTTTATTGAAATGTTTCGTTTTAGTTTATTTAATTTGAATGTTTTTTGATATATTGAAAAAGATTATTCTGAGTGTTACTAGGTAGAGCGATGGACTGTAGTTAATGGGCACAATTGGGTGCCATATATAGATATCCACAGGTCGCTGGTTCGACTCCGGCTCGAAGGATTGATTTTCTTTTGCCCTTGCAATAATGTTATTAGTCTGTGCTCAATGCATTATTTAATTTGAACAATGCTGGAAATATGTTTGTATGAAACTTGTTTGCTTACCATCCGATCTGCCTCGAACTTATGTTCAAAGATCTTTGTTCAATATCATTTGACGGGTATTTCACATTTTTTGGAAAATCCATTCCACCTTGGTGGAAATGGGGGTCAACAATTTGGTGGGTGACGAAAATCAACCATTTAATTGATTAATTAATTAAACGAAAGTTGATTCTTCAGCTTCAAGTTTCTCACAGCAAGACTAACATGGGCAGAAACCGTTGAGTCAAACACTTGGTTTTTTTTTCGGTCCACTTAAAACATATTTTGTAATCAATATTTTTTCTTGTGGAGATCGAGATGGGTTGATTTTAATTTTCCACGGGCGTGTACTTGTAATATCTAAAATTATAGGCACTAAGCGTTTCACGGGCAAGACCGGGCAATACCCGCTAGTTTTACATAGTATATACATATATGTATATATGTTTTATGTTTTACCCTATGCTGTTTATGTTTTGGGTCTTGGGTTTTCTCAAAAGTAATTTTCTCGAACTAAATAATTCTGGTTCGGCTTTTGGATCGTTTGTTTGTTTTTTTCTTTTTACCGATCGTATCGTTTTAGGGCAATATCATAGCAAAATTCATTTGTTATTTTGGGCTCGAAGCGGTTCTGTTCTCTCTAATTTGGCATTAATTTAATTTTCATTTGTCCCATAGACTACTTGACATGCGCACCGCTACCTATCATTTCGATGATAGCGATGTGGCCGATGTGAAGCAGAAGATTGCCGATGCGGACATGAGTAAATGCAAGCAATCGGTGTTTCTGGTCGATCAGGTTGAGGGCAAGATACCGGTCAAGGGCAACAAGGTCAATACGGTATCGTTTGCGCTAAACAAGTGAGTAAACTTTGTCCATGGCTTAACTAGAATCCATTTGCCCATTCTCTCTCTGCCAGATATATGAGCATGGGCATTTTTGGGCCCCGCAACTCGGGTAAAAGTCATCTAATACGGCAGCTGGTGGGCGTAGATGGATTTGCCTTTGGCGAGATCTATGTAAGGGGCCTGGACTTCAAGTACGATCTGGACACCATACAGGGCTATGTCGGCTACTGTCCTCAGCATAGTGGCTTGCTCGACGACCTAACGCCACGCGAGCATATCCGGCTCTTGTGCATGATACGGGGCGTGACGGAGCACAAGATTAGTGAGAAAATGCATGATATTTGCCTTATGCTCAACATGACCGGCTGGATGCATCGCAAATGCGGCTCCCTGACACCGGAGAAGCGCCGCAAGGTGAACGTTGCACTCTCGCTGGTCGCCTACAATAAGATATTCATACTAGATGAGCCCACCTGCGGCATGCCGTCGACTACTCGTCGCGAAATCTGGAACATATTGCGCTACTTACGCTACTGCGGCAAGACAATTATATTTTCGACAAACGATGAGCTGGAGTGCAAGGTGCTTGCCGACTTTATAATACTATTCCAGGACAGTGAAATGCTCGCAATTGGCAGCATGCAGTACCTGCGCTACAAGTACAGCCACGGTTTCTATCTGGAGGTGCGGCTTGTACGTGATGGAGCCACCGTACAGGAGTCGGAGGCCAAGTGAGTTTTCTATCAGACATTTGAAATTGCTTAAGCTGTTATCTTTCGTTCATAGCCTGCGCAAGGATGTTGACAATTTGGCGCGATTCATTAACTTTCTACATGATAAATCGGAATTGGTGTAAGTAATGCCCAAAGTCAATACATGCACACTGTTAAGGAAATTGCCATTATTTGTTTTTGGTTTAACATTTAAAATCCATTTTTATATGAAAATGGATTAAAAGGGCAATAATGTAATTGATCAGCATCAACAGTCGAGTCGATCTAGCCATGTCCGTCCGTCTGTCCGTCTGTCCGTCTGTCCGTCCGTCCGTATGTACGAACGCAAGGATCTCAGAACCTATAAGAGCTAGAGACTTGAAATTAGATGTATGTGCTCCTAGTTCCCGCGCAGATCGAGTTTGCTTCTGATAATCGATAACTTATTCCGTTTCCAAGTGATCGATAAATCTATATCGAAATCCTTTTTTTGAGCAAATTGGGTAAATATTAAGAGCTAGAGTCATTAAACTTGACAGGTTGCTTCTAGGATAGTATATATATTTGCATTTGGTGTTGGAAGAAGAGGGTTCAGGGTATCCCCTAGTCGGGAGCTCCCGACTAGAACCTATTGTTATGTAATATATATTTTGATTTTGACTTCTACTTGATATTGCAGCGGCCGTTTGCATAACTGGTTCAAGTATTATATACCTGTGGGCCACATAGTCTACTCGTTTCTTTATGGCGCCATGGAGAAGAACAAGGTGCGCCTAAATGTGAACGACTATTGCATCTATCAGGCGAACATGAATGTTGTCATTGCCCAGGTGCAGGAAACGCGGGCCGCACTGAAGCGTGGCTTGTCGGAAACGGACACGCCAGTAAATGAGACTGCAGAGAGAACAGATAGAGGTTACTCAGGTCCACTACACTATACTCGCTAACGAAGCGGCATGAGCATATTTATTTTATATCCTTTTCTACGTCAAACTAGCTACGCATGACTGTAAGCTGATGTTTTGTAAATATAAATTGAGGGTTTTGGGTTGTGAGCAGCACCCGGAACTTCGGTTTACCGTGGCAAGTTGGTACGAACCAATGCCTCGACATTATGTTTGGTTTCCGGATCGGGTGCTTCACATCTGTGAACCCAGCGATTGGCTGAAACCTTAGTTTGTCTTTTTTTTTTCTATTCAACTTTGTATAAAATATTTAAGTTTTTATACCGGGAGCACATCAATAACAAGTAGAGATACCGGGAACGACGCTCCTTGCAGCCCCACACATTGGGTGCATATGTCTAAAGTAGAGTTTTTGCAAATATAGGGTGGCATGGGAGAAGATATCCAAAAAGAAAAAAATCAAATCAAATCAATGAAATGCAACGAACTGAAACAAATAGTTGCCAGGAGCTACTGTTCGACGGAAGAAAGATCGATCACAGGCGTCGTCCATCTGTAACTTAGGCGGGCTCCAAAAGCTTGACTGGCGACTATAACCCGGAAACAAGCTGCGTAGCTCCACCAAGGCGTTGCTCATCAAAACGAGGCTGATATCCATTTGGACCTACGCCGTTCAAGTGTTGGGTTGGCCTTCCATGGTATCTCACATACGACTCTATCGAACGTGATTTTTGCCTCTGAAAGGTCGTAGATCAGATCAGTCTCTTCAGCAGTTTCTAGTCCGACGGGATCCGAACGCAATTGCGTTGGTCCTCGCTGACCCCATGACGTAGAGTCTTCAAAGGATAAACCACTAGACTACATTCCACATTCACTGTCTTTTGCTAGGTAGAATTCGACAAACACACAAAAAAAAGTTATGCAGGAGATTCGCTCATCCTTGCGCCGAGCTGCCAGCATAAATGTTTTAGCTTTTGGCTAAGCACAACAAAAGATTTCGATATTGATTTTTGATCGATTTTTAAGAATTGGTACAATATATCGATAATTTGAAACCAAGTCGGGCGGGATTACGTTCAAATATATCTAGCTCTTATGCTTTTCGAGATCAAACTGTTCAAACGGGCAGACGGACAGAGGACAGACAGGTAGACAGAGGACAGACAGACAGACAGACAGACAGACAGACAGACAGACAGACAGACAGAGGCCAGATGGGCAGATGGACATGGCCAACTCAACTCGACTATTTAAGCTAAAGTTTTATGCTTCCTTCGGTCTGTTACATACATTTGCACAGAACCATTATACCCTTCTTTTCACCGCTTTTCAATTTCAGTTCAGGGTATTACAATCGAGTTGTACCAATATTTTGGCATTGGGACGTATGTTATAGGAGAATATATATCTAAAACAAGTAAAAGGTTATAGTCGGGAGCTCCCGACTAAGAGATACCCTGAACCCTCTTCTTCCAACATCAAATGCATATATATATTCTATTTTAGAAGCTATATGTCAAGTTTGGTGACTCTTATCATTTACGAAAATTGCCCAAAAAACAGGATATCGATATCGATTTTTATCGATTGCTTGGAAACGGAGTAAGTTATCGATTATCGGAAACTAACTCGATCTGCGCAGGCACTAGGAGCATCTACATTTCAAATTTCAAGTCTCTAGCTCTGCGTTCATACATACGGACAGACGGACATTGCTAGATCGACTCGGCTATTGATGCTGATCAAGAATATATATACTTTATGGGGTCGGAGAAGCTTACTTCTGCCTGTTACATACATTTGGATTTTGCACAAATACAATATACCCTTATACCCATTTTTAATGGGTTCAGGTTAGTTTCTGACCGATTGTTTCTATAGAATATGTGGGTCTGATTCTGCCTTTTTTGACGAATAATCTCGTTTCCTCCAATAATATTTGAATTCTAGCGTTTAGTTTTGGTTAATGCTCTGCTTATCCCATACCGGTCGGTCTTAATGAAAGCAGGATCTCAAGATGACTTCATCTATGCGTTGCAATATTGTAATACCAAAGACAATATATAAGCCTCCGTGAGGCAATAAAAAAAAATCGATGCAATTAACTGAGTCAGTCAACGAGTTACTTTTACTATGCTAAAACGTAAGGGAAATTGATTGTTTCCCAATGGAAGTCATTTCAAGAGCAATTATCAAAATTATATTAAGTCGCCGAGTCATTGGGGCAAATGTTTCGCTTATATAAGCCCCACAATGAATTCGTTGACCAATCCTTATAAATATTGAAAATTCGATGGCATGTCTTTGACATTCTCTTGAATATTAGTCAAACAGGTCAAAATGAATATTTTATGACACATGCCTTTCCGTTTTTGAATATACTATAACATTTCGACTGGGAATTTCAGGACGGTTTACATATGTTCACGCAGCCGTGCGAGCAAAATTGATTTTATATTTAATAGTTTGTAATTTGCCGATAGAGCAATGGGCGTGTCAATTAAAGAAGCAGTGCGCACGTGATTTTCAAGTGTATTTGGCATGATTAGGTGCAATAAATTATCTAATTCGATCAATTAATAAATGAATAATTCAATTATGTGCTTTGCAAGGCACGTTTTGTCCGTTGCATTCAAGTTTTCATATCTCAAATATATGGTCACTCTAATCGACAACATCTGTCGATAACCGATAATCGATTGACTCTCGCAGCTGACAGCACGCACGCATACACAGCTCTAATTTCTCACATCTGTTTTCTATTCAGTTATAAATTTCTCTTGGTTAAATTTTGCTGCGGGCGTACTTTTCAGTTACCGCTGAGAGTTGGCTTGCATTCGTGCGCGGGCGTTAAAAGTAATACTAGTCGTTGCTGAGTATTTTTGTTTTGTTTTTGTTTTTTTTTTTTTTTTTTTGCATGCACTTTCTGGAAATTTGTTCAAGTGTGTGACTGTGTGCGCATCGCACAGCTGTTTAGCCGAGGACGAAGGCAGCGACGTCGAATATTGCAATACACATTCATAACCGAATGCAGTGTTTTTTAAAATCTATTAATTTGTGATTTTTGTTTTTGTTATAATATTTGATAATTACCTGCGCATATAAATACATATGTACACAAGAGGGGAATAGGATAACGGGATAGTATTGAGGTACAAGTTAGCTCCACACAACGGAAAGTGAGTTTTTTTTTACAAAGATTACACATATATATTCAAATATATATGTATGTGTGTATGTCTATAATATATGCATATGTATATATCAACATGTTCTTTCTGTTTGACAACACTGCCTTTGCGTCTAACGGAACATAAACATACTCATACACTGACGTGTCTGTTGCATGCGCATTCCTATTCATGGCATTGCCGGAAAATAAACATAACAGTTATAAATCACAGTCAAAATACGCCGGTGTGTTATTGGCCATGTGTATGACAAGCATAAACATTACCTGGGGCATTTACGATGACATTGCAAGAATATTTAATTGTAAATCGAACAAATTAATTTATTTCATATAGGTTTCTATACTTCTATTAGCCAATTGGAAATTATTAATAATTATACATAATAATACATAAGCAAACAAACAAATTGAACCCCTTTGTGTTGAGCAAATCAGCGGTTACGGAAAGGCAGCTAACAAAATTGGTGAGTGTAAATAATTTCGTTTATAAACGTATATACATATATATTTATATATATTGTATATTGTCTTCGTTAAGGCCAAGTATTTATCATCAAATCTAAATCTAGCTTTTCACGCTCTATCAGCCAAATTGCCCACTGTGCGTTGGGTTGATATCTCTAATTCGTCGAAATTTTGTATGTAGAACCTAAGATGACATCTATATACACATATTTTAAGCGGCAATATCGAAGTGGGGATTCAATTATATTCCGATACTAGAAGATAACCTAATTCAGCTCAGAAATGTGTTTAGAATATGCTATCTTCAAATTTGAAGTCTTTTAATCTTACAGTTCTTGAGATCGACCAGACTTGGCTATATCAAGTATCGGTTTTTTTTGTCTTGATTGGGAATATATATTCATGGGGATTTGCACAAAACTCTTTGACACACATTGAATATAAGAACTGGAAAATCGATGTCATCTAATGATAAAACAAGATTTGGGGAATATAAATTCGAAAATGCCGCCCAACATTTATCAGCATGTGTCACGCGGGTATATGCCACGTGCCAGGAGTCCAATTGAAATTATATGGGTTCCGATTGGAATGTTTATGTTTTCACCCTTGAGTGTGTTATATTTTGTTATCGGTTCTGTATAAACTATAAAAGGCACAGTATATATGTACCAAAGCGAATTTGAGTTCTACACCGCATGATTCTTCCAGATAATTTGACAAGTACACCCAAACGAGTTCTGAGTACCGGGTGAATCATCTGGTTCACACGTGTCTCTGATTTATATATCTGTACTCAAATAGATGATAAAGGGTATATTAGTTTTGTGCAAATGCCATTTATATATTATATAGTTTGAAAATAAAAAGACTTTATTTCACGAGCGTGAATTTTTATCATTGAATTGGAGTACGTGACCTTTTGCAACTGGATAGCAGCTGCAGCTCGTTGTTGGGTACAGGGTATCTCCTAGTCAGGCACTGGATAACTCTGGTTATATTACTATTTATTTATTCATATTTATTGGTAATGCGGAGCGCCAGCTGACGGTATTTTATATTGAATTTTAAGTACCTTCCAGAGCTCATGTATAACTTAAATGATGTCTGCCAATTGGTTATTTTTATACCCTGAACCCATTAAAAATGGGTATAAGGGTATATTGTACTTGTGAAAAATCCAAATGTATGTAACAAGCAGAAGGAAGCATCTCCGACCCCATAAAGTTTATATATTCTTGATCCACATCAATAGCCGAGTCGATCTAGCCATGTCCGTCTGTCTGTCTGTCCGTCCGTATGTATGAACGCAAGGATCTCAAATTTTAGATGTAGATGTTCCTAGTTCCCGCGCAGATCGAGTTTGTTTCCGATAATCGATAACTTGCTCCGTTTCCAATCGATAAAAATCGATATCGATATCCTGTTTTTTAGGCAATTTTGGTAAAAAATAAGAGCTAGAGTCCCCAAACTTGACATATAGCTTATAAAATAGAATATATATATGCATTTGATGTTGGAAGAAGAGGGTTCAGGGTATCCCCTAGTCGGGAGCTACCGACTAGAACCTCTTACTTGTTTTTTCATTGGCTGATT